AATAAGTTCCTAGCGTTAAAACACATCAACATTGAAAACTAATTATCAAACTTGGATAATTCATTTTAAATATATATAATTATCAGAATGGGTTTTGTGGAGATTTTAGAAATTTCACAGATTGAAATCATGAGTCAGTGGTGCGGGGTCGTGGATGCGCACTGCTGAGAAGTCCCATACTAGGACGAAACGGCCGTCCAGTGCTTCCAGGTTTTCAATGGTGGTCTAGCTTCAACTGACTCATGATTTCAATCTGTAAAAAATATATATGTTGTGTTATTCATATGTGTTCATTGAAACATAATGAATGAATAAACCTCATAATCTTTTAAACACTTCAATCTCATCGTTCTGAATTATCAATACTTATTCCATTTGTTCAGAATTAAAATGTATTCATATGGCTTTCTATATTACACTAATACTGTATGATAATCTGATTATAATATAAGGATGTTGTATCAAGGGGAAAACTAGACAGGTAATTACAACATTTTTAACGGCCTACAGAACTACTCTAAACTTAACTGTCCCAGAGGGAAAGTCTCCTGCAGAAGCCGTGTTTGAAAGACGTATCCGCACTATTTCCAACGCCATGTTGTCACCCGAAATAGTAGATGGGCATAGACCAAATCTTAACATTCGAAGTTTTAACGTTGGCAACAAAGTGTTCGTTAAGTCTTACCAAATCTTTTTCCTGGATATTTAAATAATTCCTGTCTTTTATTGAAAAACACACACACCCACCGTAACTACATATATTTGCATAGGACTTTTAATTATTCAGTTGTTTAGTTTATCTGTCACAAACACAGAATGATATAAAATTGAGATGATTTATTTATTTTAAATACTTGGTCATTTAGTCATTGTAAATTAATTTTAGTCCTTCAAATAAACTTTATATCAATATTATATAGGGTTCTAATTATTAGTTAAAGTTGATATGGATTGATTATTGGTTACTTAATTAGTTATGATATATATATTTGGTAATTTCTAAATCAATGAAATATTAGCTAGTAGTCACATTAGAATGTTTGATTCAGTTTAAAAAAATGTTTATATACCGTTTTCAGGAAATCACAGCGGTACCTAACTACTGGAAGTACGATGTTGTAAATAAAAAATTGAATTACTTAAAAAATTATGATTTGATAAGTTATCACTGTTGTCCAGACTTACAATGACTTAAGAGTCATCCTTAGGCAAGACTTAAAAACTACTGAGGACTACAGTGCTATAGCCGCCAAAGGTTTTATAACCCTATGTTAGATAGGTAGGGCTATTAGCCATGTCTATGCCAAAAATGTTTTGACTTTGTATACAGTATTCGTGGGGTACTGGATACAAGCGGCTAATACATGCCTAAAAAGAGACAGTGAGAGTTTGGAAAAGGTTGAAAGAACCGTAATTAAGCTGATTTCCGTAATAGAAAAGCTCCCGTCTGATGCTCGACTGGCTAAGCAAACCTATTTCATATTGAAGAAACAGAGGCGACTTGATCACAGTTTTTAAATTACTTAGTGATAAATTTCCATTTGATACGTCCTCATTTTTCTAGTCTTCCAGAACAGGAAATTTACGAGGACACTCCAAAAAGTTCACAAGCCCGGGAAAAATTACTTGTTAGCTGATTATTAACTTTCCCATTAAATGTAATTCATTAACTCAACACATGATTAAATTTCTATCTGTCGACGCTTTCAATAGAACGTTGGATCAATCGAGAGACTATCGTTGCCAGGACTAACACAGACCACCTAGCGCTCCATCCTTTACAAACTGAAACTTAGACTATCATGGTATCTACTGTACAGTTTTAAAGGACGTATAAATTCTCAAGTATTTTGTATTAGCGGATTTAATGGAATAACTGTTGTGCTATGGCAGCTCATAAAATAAATCCATATTTGAGCGATTAAGTAACATTATAGGTAATAATTACATTGAACAATATTTTTTTATTTCTGTGGTTATGGTATACCGATTTACAAATCGATTAATATCGTTTTTCGATACGCTTCATCAAAATTAGATGCAAAATAATATAATGCTTAGATTCAAGCATAAACAACAATGGTTTTCTTATATTGTAATAAATAAGTCTGAAACGGGTAAAAATGTAACCTAATAAATCTAAAAATTCCTGCTGAACTTTGGTTACTGCAGATTTTAACCGATTAAGTAGTGTTTCTAATGATGTGCATCAAATAAGTCGCTAGAAGAAAAGAATATAAAATTATAAAGAAAACTATTATCAGTGATAGGAATTCATTACATACTACAATAATAGTGTATTGTGTAAAATGTTTTGGAGAAATTCACATTGAAGTAATTCAATCAACAGTCAATCTAGTCAACCGATCACTGAATAATGACCAACACCATTTTTGATTAATCCTCTAATGTTGATCGATAATTTATGGTTGATATAAAAGTTTAACATTCTATAATCTAACACAAACTGTTTTTGTGGGGCCCTTTATTTTGTCGTCATCTAGATCGGACGATATTTGTTGATGGGCTCTCCACATTAGTAGCCCGAGATCTGACTCCAAGGAGATCGTATGAATGTTTGTTATCGCCTATCCTCGTATATAATCATAGACTTTAATCGCGTTAGTCAATAACGGAATTAAATAAGTCGAATAACGAGAATGAACTTGTGAATACATATATTTTGTAAATAGAGAGAATGGAATAGAACGAAGCAGAACGACGCGCAGTGGAGATGGCGGGTAAACCAACTTCCATTTAACCAAGCGTTGATCAATATTTATAGTTACACAAAAGTAAGTTACAGACACGTGATGAGTAATGGGACAAGAAATGTACACACACCGATGAACACATATATAACAACAACAATAAGCGAATAAATAACGAAGTCAGAATGTGACTCAAGTAGGATGAATAGAATGGGCTGTTTGAAAGCTAGAATAAGGTATATGGGCTTAACATAATAGCCGACACTACACTGTATTGAACATTATTAAAACACCCTGTTACCCTTCACTAAAGAAGGTTATATTCATAAGAAAATGAAATTAACTCTCTAAACCAGAATGTCGAACAATGTTATCACCTAGATTATCTTAATATTGAGAATTTCACTCTTTTTTTTTTAAAGTAAATGAATACCATATCAGAAATGAATATCTACTTAATTCTATTTTTATACAAAAGTAGAAAAAAGAGAAAAATATGACTTTTTAGAATGGTATCACTTTCTATATTGGATTTCTGTAATATAATTGCTTTCTGTTGGTTACAATCATCTAACTAAACATTGAATTTTGCTTGAATTTATCCATCATATATAAATGACTTATTTAGTTGATAAGTGTACTAGTGAATTCGTAATCGTTTTTTTCTTGGTTACTTAAATAAATTTTTTTTCTGATCAGAACAAATAAAGTAAGACATTAGGCATACACTATCATTCAAAAGATGGTTTTCTTCCTCATATAATTCATATTTCTTTTTTAAATAAACAATATACATAAAGATAACTAAATTGTATCATTTCATTCAATAGTTTGTTTAGTGTTGTTGAAGTATACCTACAAAGTATAAACAATTGAAAGATTTTTCTAGAATGAAAAGTAACCAGTCGATAGATATATGGGAATCAAGTATTAAGTATTATTATCTATTAATCTCAGATGAAGACATCAACATCTGAAGGGAAGCATAGGATAAAGTGGACAGCTAAGATGCAACTAAACGATCTAGACTTCGCAGATGATATGGTTCTTCTATCGCACGCACAACAAAAAATGCAGGAGAAGACGATCAGTGTAACAGCAGCCTCAGCAGCAGCAGCAGCAGTAGGTCTCATCATACACAAACGGAAAAGCAAGAATCTCCAATACAACTCAGCATGCAACAATCCAATCACACTTGACGGATAACACTTGAAAGATGTAAAAACCTTTACACATGTGGTGGGCAGCATCATTGATGAACACGGTGGATCTGATGCAGATGTGAAGGCACGGATCGGCAGAGCAAGAGTAGCATATTTAAAACTGAAGAACACCTCGAACTCAAAACAATTGTCAACCAACACCAAGGTCAGAATTTTCAATATAAATGTCAAAATAGTTCTACTGTATGAGGCGGAAACCTGGAGAACTACGAAAGCCGCCATCCAGAAGATACAAGTGTTCATTAACAGATTTCTACGCAAAATACTTCAGATCAGTTAGCCAGACATTATCAGAAACAACCAATTGTGGGAGAGAACAAGCCAAATCCCAGTGGAGGAGGAAATGAGGAAGAAGCGCTAGAAGTGGATAGGACACACATATATTGAAGAAAGTACCGAACTGCGTCACAAGGTCAAGCCTCCACGTGGAATCCTCAAGTCCAGAGGAAAAGAGGAAGACCAGAGAACACATTGCGCGGAGAAATGAAGACAGACATGAGAAAACTGAACAAAAATTGGATAGAACTGGAAAGGAAAGCAGAGTGGGACAGAGTGTGCTGGAAAATGCTGGTCGGTGGCCTATGTTCCACTGGGAGTAACAGGCGTTAGTATGTAACTAAGTAACTATATATTAAGAATAATATTTATTACCTATAAGGCTTATTCTTAGCAGTGATATAATATAAAGTAATTGGTTTTATTTTTAAAATCACTTAAGTAAAGGTAAGTTTGGGCTTTTCCACATGTGAAAATAACCCTATTGTATACTTGACCTTTTTTTATAAGGTAAAAATTTCTGTGTAAAATCAAATACGATTTGTATTGTATACACTATTACTTTTGTTGTGCCCAGATGTGAATAAGGTAAACTAATCATCAGAGAGGAAAATCATTCACTACATTAGTGCACATAATTATAGACTAACAAAGGTTATACATTGGCTGTAGACATACATGTCTATATGTTTAGATTGATAAAAGTGTAGTTACACATGCTTTGTGCAACACATAAATACACATAAATATATATAACCACAAAAGGCATTGGTAGACAGTACTGACCATTATTAGAATGATTGTCTATTGAAAGTTTATCTACGTTATCGGATTATTTTTGAGTTTAGTTTCAGAAATGCATAACGTAATAGGAAAAATTTATACAAATTATATATATATTATTCTGTTAATATTATTATATGATGTTCAAAATGGGTTAACTCAACTAAATCCATATTTTCAATTCATACCACAAAATGATAATTTACATACTAAAATATATGATTATTCAAAAGGATTTGATGAAGATCATTTCACCTATGAATTACAATATCCGATTCCAATATATGAAACACTAATTAAAAAAATCAATGTAAGTCATTGTCATTTTACAAAAGAAGATAATGTCTATAATATTTAGATATCAGTTTAATAATAATTAATTTTTTCTGTTTTGAATCTCCTATTAAATTCATCCATGTTTGTTAATCTTATCATAAGTACTAAAGGTATATACAAGGTTACTTTTGAGTGTTTAGTAGACTAATTTAAGGTAGGAAACGCTAACATATGAGATATACTGTATTAATTTGATAGTAATTCTTCTTATTACCCACTCACCAGCGATAATGATGATAATGATTTCAATCAAAGTTCTGAATTGTAACGTTTAAAATACTTCATAAATACAATGAAATAACTGTCCAGCACTATGTTGCTACCAGAAAGGTTTGGGAATATACGATTGTTGATACTTTTGATTCAAATTTGGTCAGTCTTTGTTGACATATGGGAATCCGCAGTGGACCCTTCTGACCACCTGGTCGAGTTTCATGATTAGTAACTATGGAATAATCCTGACTCCTAATAGTCCAACAAATATCATTCCAGTTTATCAAGTTACTGACTATTTGTAGGACAATGAGTTAGGCGTTTGAAACGCCAAGTACTAGGCTTCAGTTTTTGAGTGAAAATCAACGTTGGGCTGTGAGTATATCCGGATGAGGAGCTTTAAATAGGAAGAGACGAGCGTACTATATCCCACTGTTATCTATGATTCATTGCAGTACACGATTTTGTTTTATCTTTTATTAATATATATATATACTAAACCCTGTTTCTTACGTGAAGAATAAAGATAGTTTGGAACTTTGGAATTGTCAAAAAGAAAAGTACTAAAGAGTTTTAGGTTTGTCGAGATCATCATTTTCGCGACTCAGAAAAATTTCAAATTTAATATCACTCAGATTGGCTAAATTATTTAGATTTATTTGAATTTGTGCATTACTAATGACGAACTGTTCAAACATATTTAACTGCACTGAACTTTCAGAGATAGACCTTCTTCAAAACACGCAATAATGAATGGTCAACTAAATTTGCTGTCACAATATTGTTTAGGAGGGTAAAGCCCTTAAAAATAATTTGTATTCAAATGAAATACTTCTGAATACATATTTCTCCAGACTATATTACATTATAACAATATATCAAAGGACACTAGGAGGCTCACGGGGAGTCTTGTTCTCTGAGCTGGAATGTTTGGTCATGGAGTATTCATTGTTCTTCTGAACAACATCATCAGCACAAACTCTAAGTAGAAGTGAAGTGTTCGAATATTTCCACATTTGACTCATAGCTTGTACTGTCGACCTTGAACCTGATTGGTTATTGCTGATCTTTAACCTGTCATTGTCTACCTTTAATTTAAGAGATACAATCAAGACAAGGATCGAGGTTGACAGAACAAGCTGTGAGTCAAATGTGGAAAAATTCGAACACTTCGCTTCTACTTGAAGTTTGTGCTGATGATGTTGTTCGGAAGAACAGTGATAACTCCATGACTAAACAGTCCAGCTCAGAGAACAAAACTCCATCTAACTCATCTATCTGACCTACAAATCTTCTACACCATCTCAAAACTAAGAGGAAAATAAAAAGTAGAAAGTAAAGAAAGTTTACTAGTTAGATCATCGTGGTTGTTTTTCATTGTTTCAAAGAATTAAACATACCGATTCATTTCACCGGAATATATGATGAGCTACCTTTTTAAAATGTTTGCAATCAATTAATTCTATTGACATACAAGATTATTCCCCTCTGCATATATTGCTTTTTTCACTATTCTGATAAGTATGATATATTAGACGTGCAAGTTAGAGATTACTCCTCAGTATTCTAACAGTAATTTGTTTAAAATATTATAACATATCAGAATCGCAAATGTTTCTAGTTTATTCATAATTTTCACAGATTTAAATCATGAGTCAGTTGAAGCTAGACCACCATTAAAAACCTGGAAGCACTGGACGGCCGTTTCATCCTAGTATGGGACTCCTCAGCAGTGCGCATCCACGATCCCGCACCACGCGGGGCTCGAACCCAGGACCTACTGGCTTCGCGCGCGAGCACTTAACCATTAGACCACTGAGCCGGCATCCAACGGTGTTAATGTCTAACTTCAACCAATCCACGAAGTGAGCTGATATCTGAGGAGTCCCATACCAGGATGAAACGGCCGTCCAGTGCTTCCAGGTTTTCAATGGTGGTCTAGCTTCAACTGACTCATGATTTAAATCTGTGAAAATTTCTAAAATCTCCACAAACCCCTTCTGATAATATTCATAATTTATTGGTAAGTTATTCTTTACCTGGAATACTGAACATATAATCTATTAAGTCCTAGATACATTCCTAAATGACTAGATAGTTTTTCAGTATATCGTCAGGATACTAAGTACATTCATTTCCATTTAGTACTAATGTAGATTTTTTTTGCAAACCTACCATAAATAAAAAGAAACTGATATATCCTATCTACTTTATTTATCTGAATATTTCCTTTTATCATTCGTCATAGACAAATTAAATATTATTTGTAACCATCACATCCTGTAGATTGATTATTTCAAGTATTGTACACAATGAGTAATTACTGCTTGTCTCTATCACAATACTAATTAAGCTTTTACATAACAGATGTTAACATCTGTCTTAGTAGTTACAGTACTGAAAAATAATCAAAATAAGTATATTTCTAGTTTTCATGTTTATAATTATAAACATGAATACAAATTACTTTTACAGATTGTTAAGTTTAAAAAAAATTATTCACTTATTATGAATTTCAAGCATTAGATACAAAAAATTGTACCAAATAGTTAAGGATACAAAAGTTGGTGTCATTCATGAATATCTATTTACTCCTTTAAATGAAATCAATCATCCGAAAGAATGAATTCAATTTTCTTGAGATTATATCTAATTTCACAAATTGAAATGGTGGGTCGATTGAAGCTAAACCACCATGGAAAGCCTGGAAGCACTGGACGGCCGTTTCGTTCTAGTACGGGACTCCCCAGCGATTTGCATCTGTGATCCCGACTCACAAGATCCAAACCCAGCGCGAACGCTTAGACCTCTAGACCCCTTGATAATAATCATCATGTGCTCACTAGTGACTGACTTCAAAAGATACTCCTGGAGTTCTAGTGAGAAGCTGTTACCAGTGGAGTTCAACCAGGTCTGTTGTGAGATATCAGCTCACTTAAGAAAATGGTGTACGGTGGGGCAACTTCGTGGATTGGTTGAAGTTAAACATTAACACCGTTGGATGCCGGCCGGCTCAGTGGTCTAGTTGGTTAAGCGCCTGGCGCGAGACGGATAGGCCCCGGGTTCGAATCTCACGAGGCGGGGTCGTGGATGCGTACTGCTGAGGAGTCCCACACTAGGACGAAACGGCTGTCCAGTGCTTCTAGGCTTTCCATGGTGGTCTAGCTTCAATTGACTCATGATTTCAATCTGTCAAATTTCTAAAATCTCCATAAACCCCTTCTGATAGTATATCTAATGTTAAACAATTTGATATTTTCAAAAGATAGACTTATAAATGGCAATTGAAAAGGTAGCTTTATTGAATTTTACTACTTAGTTGAACATTGATTGTAATGAAACAATCAGTTTTGTACACTTTACTAATTTATTTGCTAACTATTATCACTCATATCGAAAGTTAATTAGTTTTGGGGTCTAATTTTCTGTAATACTAAAGTTCTTCTGTAATCTGTCTTGTTACTAAATGATCTTATGTGTTTTACTAATAACAGAAAGTTTTTAATCGACAACTGAACTGGTAATATTTTCTTATTGCTGCAGAAAATCCAACTCTAACTTAAATGATTGAATATTTAGGAAAAAAAAGGGCTACAATAACATTTAGATTTCAGCAAACCAACTTTAATGAAAACTCTCACTTAGTTAAAATTCAACAAAACCTGCTTAGATTCATTTAATAAATTTATATTGACCTTATAAACAAATGATTATAAATTATGCTAAAAGTTTATGTCTCATAGTATTAAATGGCCATCTGAACAAAAATCACTTGTTTTGTAAAGTGATTTTAAAAGATGATATAATTTACTTAGACAGCAAGTATTAAACTATCAAAGTACTAGGGTCCTGCACCAATTAATCCTATTTGCAAACAGGTAATGAAGATATATAGTTTGTCTTAAACGAGCTTGTCTACTATAAAAAACTGGCATCTATATTTTTTACTAAATTAATGTAATAATAATTATTGATTCCAATCGGAATATTAGACAAGTATGTATATAAGACCATATCACTGGACAAATATTTAACCGGATAACAAAATCTAATCACAATTTGTTGTTATACTAAGTGTGAGCCAAAATGTATGTAACAGTCTCAATAAGAATAACAAGATGAATTAAACACTATTCAAAGTTCACTTTATTATTGTGTACTATTTTTGAAAACAAACAGTTTTTATATATATTTATACGAGTACACAATAATTATGTTGTCTTATTATTTTGAATGGAAGTGTCCAAAAGGCTCTGGATTACATAAGTTCTTTATGAAGTTTACAACTCTTTGAAAAAACTATACACTGAACATTAACCATCATTAATTTGAAACGTCGGGTTGAGTCGCTGTTGACTATGATCACTGCAGGAAGACTACGTGCCAGTTAACCGATAAGATCTCCCGTAAGCCAAATATCAGGAGGGATGTATTCGTTGGCGATCTCATGGTATCGAAAGAATACCAAGATCGTGTCAGGTTACAAGTGTGGTTACTGAGCGTAACCGAATCCGTGCAAGGTCACAATCAACGGAAGAAAGAATGTCTTTAGTACAGTTAAACAAACAAGTACAGTAATACAATCACTGGTACAATTGGTTATAATAATAATTGTTTCCATTAAACCAATCGCATTCTCTTGATAAAAGTAGGTCACTACAAATTTATAAGATCAGTTTCACTTTAAAGAAAATAGAAAACCTTTAAATAATTTAATTCTGAATATAAACGGATAAAACAGAATGGTAGCTTATTTATTTAATTTAAAAATCATATATCCCTTCATTTTAAATATTGACTTATTAAAGATTCACCGTACGTTTTGCCCATTTTAAACTTTCCATAGTGTATTTTTTTCTCAATGTATCGTCACCAAAATTCTTTAAATAACATTTTCACAAGAAAATGTAACTTAAAATTCTAGAATATTCTAAAGTATCTATTTGATAATTTTCCGATAGCTCAAACAACTGTTACTGAAATATAAGATTTATAGGTAAGTCAATCAAAAAAATAAAATGTGGTGAAAATACAGTAGATTGGTGACTTTTTAAACATGTATGTCGAAGAAAAGGTTAACACTGGGTAGAAATAGTAACTAAGACATTGTAATTACTATTTTTTTTCACTTATCGTATGATAAATCGTAGTTGAAAATGTAAGCTATTTCAAACGTTTTTTTTTACCTTTCATGAGTATATATGTAGTTGTGTACAACAGTCTAACGCTGATAATTACTGAATTAATTTATATTCGTAACACTATCTGTGTATTTCATTTGGAACTAATGAAATTTAAAGTCGGTTCACAATAGTTGTTGATTAACAAACGCATAGTTCTTCTTGTTGCTAAACACAACGAATTGATTCTCATCATTAGTTCAGGTGGCTTGGATAATTTAGACTTTTGAACTTGATTTATTTACAATTACATCTGGTTAGCTAAAGGCTGTACCAAAAGCAAATGCTTAACCTACTCGAGGAAAAATAATGTTAAGTTTAATGGTTGGATTTCTTATACCACTTATTAGCAAAACATTTGGTACGACGACAATATTTGTAATCGTAGAGGAGATTCAAGATGCAAATGTATTGAAGCTAATCAATTGAGAACATCTTTGAAGGGAAGGTAGAAATGATTCCATTGTTTAAGTGTATTATGAGCATAACCTTTTTACTGCATAGCTTGTGCAAGCGAACTTGAAAAATGTTTTGTAAACGATACTGACCGTTTTGATTACTTTGACATGATTATGTTTTAATTAAAAGCTATGGTGGGAAGTACAATTAAATTACCATTTTCTTATACAATTCCAAGACTAAATTATTGCTTCTCACCTTGCAACTTTGAAAGTTTCTGATTTTATTTAAAAAATTCCTGACAAATATTTTCAAGTTAATTGGTCTTATGTTGGATAATTTAGTGAAGAATTTGAATTGTTCGATCGTCGTAAACTTTCGAGCAAACATTTCGGGAAAGTTAATTGTTTTAGATGTTTCGATTATGAAATCCTTGAAGCAGAATGAAAGAAGAATTAAAAACATTGATCAACATGCTTCGTTTAAATCAGTGTGAGTGAGCTACGGAATACCAGTTAATATGTTGTGATTTGATTAATATTGACTGTGTGAGGGCTAGCGATATTACCTTATCGTTCAAACCTAAGTAAGTGAAGCGTAATTCGAACTAACTACCTGATATTTGAAAGCCGAATATTTCAACTGTTGAGCCACCACTGTACATATATTTTAATTGTTCTCACAATCACGCATTAAGATCACCATCTCATTACTTAAAACTCTCTCTAAAATATTCAGAAATGTACTTAAACGTTATTCACACATCAGTGATATAAACTTTATTCGAAAATGTTAACTGTGTTTTAATGACTCTATAATTTTAAATATTTATACGTATGTAGAAATATTTTTCACTGTTGGATACGTTATACACAAACTTTGGTTTTGACTCATCATAAACGTAGAAACTATTTCTATGAATATCAACCATATGATCTCAAAACACTATGACGGAAGACTCGTCTTACTGTGCTGAACAGCTCACAGGATACATTAAGCAGAATGAAGATTTAATTTCAGAACTAATTTTTATTTCAATTTCTTATCCCTTGTCTAGAAACAAATGACTAATTAGACATCAACAGATCTTTGAGTAGCAATTTTTATGAGCTTGCAAAACCTTCGTATTTCAAAACTTAATAATAATTTTTCATTTTGCTCACCATCAAAAAGTGTTCACATAAAGTACATTGATTATTCTGTGACTATTTATTCTTTCAACAAAGACAGTTATTGAAAACTAATGTTAGACAAATAATCAGGCTCTTATTCTTAAATACGGTAGCAAAACATTAAAAGATGAAATGTTATACATAAAAACACTGGAAAATTTAAATTCTTAGAATTTGTATACTTAATTATTATTTTACCAGATCCGTAAAAATGGTCTCCTAGCACTAGATAGCATTTCTGATGATAATTTGCCACCAAATTATCCTGTCAACACGAGTATCACAAATCAACGATTACAAGATTTTGATGGACGATATTTAAGCATTTTCAGTTCAGTGAATGATGGAAAACGTGGAAGAATTAGTGTCACGTAAGTATTTTAAATTAAACTTCCTTATATTAAATATAGGAAGTATATGTCTATATGTTATAGTTTTAGCTGTTGGTTTTACTAACACCTTATTCACCTTTGCAATTGAATTAAACCGTACCAAAGGTTTTGTTGAAGATAATTTTAGGGCAGTTATTAGTGGAAATGATGATATACGGTATCGAATGTGCACTGTGATTCAAAAATAACGTATTCAACCGTTTAAATATCCAAGCAGTCATTAAGATACATTCTGATTCAAAATCATAAGGACATCTAACATTATCAGTTTATAAGAAATACATATGGATCGTTCACACTTTAAATGTTCACAGTTTGTGTCCATGTTAGTGTAGGCATAATTTAGCAAGGTGCTTCTGAAACAAAATCCACTAAGGATATGCTTGAAAGACATAAGTATATGGTGGCCAAAAACTGAGATTGAACTGATATCCATAAAAGTTTATAAATTAGATAAAAATTCGTCTAACATCTAAAGCCCTTCTTACTTCCGCTTATATTAATAAATTTTACATCACTTTACAAGACCGAAGAAAATCAAATACTATAAGTTAGTAACAATAACCTAAAACAGCTATCTGGAAGACACAATATACTTCTAAACTGGTTATCATTGCAAAAACTAAGCTCGTGATTGCATTTGAGCCTCAAAGTTTCATAAATAACATTACAATCAATTCGCGCATGGATGTAAATTAACAGGAAGTGATCGGACAATCTGATCAACTATGGTAGAACATGAACCCAAATGCTTTTAGAATTAACAGGCAATACAATTCTCTGTTAAAAGCAGGAAGCAAAAAGTCCATGCTCTTGGTTAGCAAAACATATAATTGAAACATCACTTAGTATTACCCTTTGAGTAGCTTTTGAGGCTAATATAGAAGTTTTGGAAGCCTTAAACATTACGAAATTCAAACGTTAATTTGTTTTAATTCAGTTCTACATTTATACGCATATTATAAATTTTAAATCAACTTTTATTTCATATAAAAATATATTTCTTTTTGTATTTAGGGAAATTGATTTACTATCACCTTCAAAACTACCATGTGTAGAGAGAATGCAAATAGATCGTCTAATAAAGTTTATACATTTATCATATATCGAAGAATCTGAATTAAAAGCTCAGTATATTGTACATATACTGTGGGAAAACATGACAAACGCTTACCTAATCAACCAGAAAGTAATTTTTTCTTTGATTTTATTTTAATGAGTTATTTATGAATTATTATCATTCAGTATGACTCTATTTATTAGCAATTAACTTTCGAAGGTTCTCTATTGGGAGTTCAGTGTTGTTACTAAAGGATCTGTAGGACTCGACAAACTGTATGCACTAAGGGCTTGGAAAGATAGAAACTCTAAGCTAGAGAAAGCAAAGATTATTGTAATTGAACTTCCAAAACCTTGTTGAGCGAAAACGTCATCAATGTATTAGACAATGATTCTGCTATTATTTCAAAGATTTCTATTTCGAAACCATGTGAATGTGTAGCACATTGCTCAATATCCGGTAATTCATTCAATATTGATCAATATCGTAGTATTTTAAGTGTTTATTTTAGATGAAATTATATTGAATTGCCCATAAAAATACTCCGATCAGCAAACCTTGACTGCACATTTACAACGTAGAATAATATAAGAAGTGCGAAATGAAAAATCTCTAATTGACCGTGAATATGACATCACACAAACATCACTGTGAAGGTCAGATAACGATACCATTGTAAAAATAATCAGATCTGTAACCCTAGAGTTATCTTAAATTTCATTATAACAGAATGTTATATAAGTTTGATGGCTTAAGGACTACTGAAAAACGTCGGCATAAAAGCCATGTATTTCACGTGTAATAACATTTATCCTTGTTCTAAGTACAACCTTTAAGTGATGCAAATGAGATGTTATTGATATAAATATAATTCTAGCACAGTAAATCTTCAAACGATTAGCTCCTACTATCGAATTTTCATTAAGAATCATAGCTAGTTCAAGTAAGCTGACAAATTTGAACTACGAACCAAGAGAGAAGAGATCAATCAAAGCATAAACAGAATAGTTAAACAAAGACATTTGCTTAATTATAAAAAGTCTCTCAAAATCACTAGAATCTAGAAATGTTTTTATATTTTGCAAATAGGTTTAAAGCAATTAATATTATAAAACTAATGATCTATAGAAGATGGAATAGAAGTAAATTATCACACCAGTTACGAAGATATTGAAATTATATTGAAGCTTAAAAAACAAGGCATACCTAATAAATTCATTTAAAATTGAAAACATATTCTATCAGTTGATCAACTTAATAGATTCTAGGCACATTACATTCAGAATTAGTTATATAACACTTTTCCGTGCTACATACCAAACACTTATGGTAAGAATATCAAGAATAAATTTATAGAGCCATATAGTTTCTTTTAAATGTACATAAACATTTGTTTGTTTGGTACATATCTACGTTTTCTGCTTGTACTCTTTCACTAAAACCTTTTTCTGCTGATATGATATGACATAATGTCGTTTAGAAAATAAAATAATCTCTGAAAGCTGTGCATGAAATACACTGTCAGTTGTACTTGTACATGTGACATAGAAATAAGTCTCTACCATTTCATATCTTCAAACAAGTAGAGATGTTGTTAAATGACTAATCTTAAAGCCATTTATTACTTCTTATAAACAATTTTCACTAGTTATGTAATCTTATTTAAAGAGTTTAATGATACTGAATTAACTTTGAGTTATGACTTTTTTTAACTTAACAGGCTAACACGTATGGAATGATAATAATTTCTAATGGAATATGTTCTTACGCTTTCATGCAATACATAAAAATTGAATGGAATGAAAATGATGTCGCAGAGAATCTAGCTTTACCACCTGAATCTGGTATATTTATGAGACCTTTTGGAGGTTATCAGTTGCCAAGAAGTTCTCAAGCTGTAGAACCAAATATATGGTTAACGTAAGTAATACATTAAAATATTTAACAGTAAATGTATAATTTTTAAGGTCCTTCATTAACTGGATAGTTTAAAGGATTTTCGTAATAACTAGGAAATTTTGTTAATGCTTAAGTAATGTTCTGCTTAATACACTTTTGGTTTGAAAATTTACAAAACTACGTAAATCGTTATTTTTCTGTAAAATTTATTACTTATGTTGAAAATAACACTTGGCTAGACAAAATACTCACTATGAAGAAATTTTTTCAATTGTTGTTATGTGGGGTGGTTTGATACAATAAGCTGATGGAGAAACATTGAAGACAATAAGAGCGTGATAGTTATTTGGTCCCAGTTGTATGCTTCCTTGTTTATGAATTAAAACTAACTCTTCTATTTAATCTTCAATATCAAAATGGGTTTTGTGGAGATTTTAGAAATTTCACAGATTGAAATCATGAGTCAGTTGAAGCTAGACCACCATTGAAAACCTGGAAGCACTGGACGGCCGTTTCGTCTCAGTATGGGACTCCTCGGTAGTGCGCATCCACGATCCCGCACCACGCGAGGCTCGAACCCAGGACCTACTGGCTTCGCACGCGAGCACTTAACCACTAGACCACTGAGCCGGCATCCAATAGTTTAATTCCACACTTTAGGAAGGGTTTTGATGAGAAATGTATTTTAAATTATTCATGTGTCACTAAAAAGAATTATTAACCTTTTATCTTTTTTTTTTTCATCATAGTGAAACAAACATAGCCCTACATGGAGAATGGCTTGTTCCTTTATACAAATCGGAAAATATAGCTAAAATAAATGTTAAGAATTTAAGTGCAGTTGCCAGTGAATTTGTTGCATCTTTGACAAGTGTTTGTGAGGGTTCACTTCATTCACGTAAATCAAATAACGAAACACCATCTGATACGGTCGTAATTAAAAATGTGAACATTGACAATACATCAGAAGAGCCGATTGCTAGAACACAGAGTTTTAAAAGAGCTTTGGAAAGCCTTGAAAATTATGACCTTAACGTCTCAGCAAATGACTATAGTTATGGAATGACCGAAAATGTACCGAAAGCTGCATGGAATATCCTAAGAGATGAAACTGAATTCTCAGGTGTTGATCCAATTGATCAAAATGAAATGAATATTCTACCAGAGAATGAAACTGCAAATAACTTTTATCATGAGAGTAATCAACGTGTTGTTGATAATGAAGAGTACACACCCACAGACACAATTACCACACAAACTTACTATCCTTTGGGTCGATATGATGGAGATGAGGAAAGGCAGGAGATACATGAACGTGAGTAAATATTGTTATTTCATTATAACAACATATGGACCATTTTTTCTATTCTCTTAAATTCCTAAGTCTATTATAATTGTGAACCTTAATCTCTTTCGTAAATAACTATGAGATATTTTTCTAGAATATATATCAAACGATTAAATCACTTCTCATTCTACATATGATAAAGGACTAGAAATTCATCAAAATATCATAAGAGCGTATATAGTCACGTCATATCTGTGTCCAACTTTTTTTCTTAACGATATTCTTTCAACGGAAATAACAAATTACTAGTTTTACAAAGTTTTGTACTAATCAAATCTCAACACTATCAAAATGAACTCACACTATGCTTCATTCGAGAGAGACTGTTGTTCTAAAAAGAACAATATTTCAGTGGTTATTATAAATCGTTTTATAAATAGGGATTTTATCATGATAACCATTAATAAAAACATCATAAATTATTTACTTACGCCTGTTACTCCCAATGGAGAATAGGCCACCGAAAAAAGCTGATAATTAGCAAATACGAAATGAAGAAATGATTATAATGAAAAAAATTATACTAATTGAATATCCATAGCACCACTTATTACATAAAATTTGTTATAAATTTTTTTTAAAAAGAAACGGATTTCTATTTGTCATGCTGAACTATAAATTTATGAAATTAGGATTTGTAGTGGCTTTGCTTCGTTAATCGATCAGCTCGATAACCGTTATAATATAAATCTCAACGGTGATTAAAATCAGAAGGCAATAAGAAGTGGCAACTACAATTTATTAGGGGATAACGCATATCACAAAGCTATAAGTACACTAAACGAATTTGAAGCGGAAAGGTGAATAAGTATGTACGAGCAATCACATTGGCAAATTTATGGTCAAGTTAAATTAGGATGCAGCAAGGCAAAGGCTAATAATAGGATTTGAGTACAGATATACATAGGGAGGAGGATCATTTGAAGAACGATTGGAGAACATATGGAACTCAAAACAATAGTCAACCAATATCAAAGTGAGAATCTTCAATACCAACGTCAAGGCAGTTCTACTGTACGGAGCTAAAATATGGAGAACTACAACAACCGCCATCAAGAAGGTACAAGTATTTATAAATAGCTGTCTACGCAAGATACTCAACATCCATTGGCCGGATAGCATCAGCAACAGCCTTTTGTGGAAGAGAACAAACCAGCTTCCAGCTGAAGAATAAATTAGGACATACATTATGTAAATCATCAAACTGCATCACGAGGCAAGCCCTAACTTGTAACCCTGAAGGGAAGCGGAAAAGAGGAAGGTCAAAGAACACATTACGTCGGGAAATAGAAGTAGATATGAAAAAGATGAATAAAAACTGGAAGGAACTAGAAAGGATTGCCCAGAACAGGGTTGGATGGAGAAAGCTGGTGAGTGGCCTATGCTTCTACACGAGGATTTGCAGGTGTAAGTAAGTAAGTAAGTAAGTAAGTAAGTAAGCAAGTAATTAAGGAGGAGGATGAATCATTGAGTGATACTTAAACAATAAACATTTTAGCTAGTCTGTCATGTGGTCTAGTGATCACAACGATACAAGGAGATATGAGAACTGTTCCTGTTCAAATGATATTGTCTGTTAAGTAAGTTAATAAAAGGGCTTAACCAAAATTAACCATCATTGAAATTGAATGTAGGATATTTGCTATAACTTTATCATTCTGTTATGATGAATGTATATTTAAACTAACTAATTCATCATAACAACTGTAAATATAAGCAGAGAAATTCATTTGAAATGGAATTCTATTTGAATCATTTTGGTTCATTTATAGCTGTGCACAAAAATCCTATGAGATTGATTTTATGACAAATTTATTATACTTTACTAAGTACTATGTTCATTATTTCTAATACTAGGATGCGTCCCTACTTTCGTCGGCTATAAACAGATTTTCTACATGGTTTACTTTATTCACCAACAAATACCTAATGCTTTTGTTTATTCATAAATAATGAGTTTATGATAATATCATGACATACTGGTTTATTTTACATTAGCTCTTATTGTGCCAGTCACTATACACCCGTTGGGTGATGAAGATGATGGTGAAGAAGATATAATCGATAATAAGGAAGAATACAAATCCGTGAATGAAACGTTTTCAAACAGTTTGGTGAAATGTGATGCTGTTAGTGAATGTAGTAGTCATAACACAGAATGCTATCGAGTTGACAACGCTGCCTGCTGTGTATGCAGTGATGGATTTTACGGTGCAGGAGATGCCAAGTGTTGGTCCGAAGGTTAGAAAGACTTGTTACTGAAAAAAAAATATATATATGTGCATTTTGTTATGTAATGCAAAGTTGGTCCGTAATCATAACCATATGTTTAAGTTTACATACTACTTAATCTGATTGTGTGATATTTATAATTTTTCGAAATAGCAAAGTAGTGATCAAAATTTGCGCTGATATATTATTATTCGGTAGCCAAATCTAAATGAACTAGTGTTCCAATTAAACTTGTTTTTAAATCTTTGTATTAAAATACCTGTAAGGTAGTTTTCTAATATGAAAATCTGAAAATATTATCAGAATGTGATGAAATAACTTGATTTACCGCATTAAGAATTATATTGAAGGCAAAGTACTTCAATCCCTACCCGAGATTGACAAGGTTTATGATTAATTGACTGGTAGGTTTTCGATATAATTTTTACTCCTTGAACTATCTATGTTCAAAAATTTGTATACATATTTGGAAAACTCAAGTAACCTCGTGAAATGTATATGATAGTGTTTCTTTAAATCTTAAACTGACATCAGCTGTAAAGGTAATTAAACCATCCACAAATTGATAGATATTATTTATACCCTCGTTTCCCTATTACACTTGGAAATGAGGAAACATTAAAATCCCCGAGACGTAAAATATGAACACAAAAGACTGGTATGAGTGAATAATTAATCCCTTCAAAACGCAATAACCCTAGTTGAGAATACACTCATTTATATCACAGTTGAAATCACGAGTCAGTTGAAGCTAGACCACCATAGAAAACCTGGAAGCACTGGACGGCCGTTTCGTCCTATTTTGAAACTCCTTGGCAGTGCGCATCCACGATACCGCCCACGGGATTCGAACCCAGGACCTATCAGTCTCGAGCGCGAGCACTTAACCACTAGACCACTGAGCTGGCCGGCATCCAACAGTCTTAATCTCTAACTTCAATTCATCCACGAAACTGAGCGACACACCCACCATTATCATCAATGAGTAACTATCTCACAACTGACCCGGTTGAATAAATACCACATTGAAATAAATCAATCATATACTGGGTAAAATATCACCCTATCAGTAAAACAAATAATCATCATATTGACTTAAAAACAAATGCCATGTCGAACAAAACTCACAATGTAACAAAATCTAATTATATCTATTCATCACGTCACACAACTATTTTACCTTAGCCTATAACTTCTCTGACGTCTATTTTCATGACACAATAATAATTTTGGGCCAAGACGTTTCGAATTAGCAACTGTCAGGTAAAAATCTATCGTTAAAGTAACCACCCCTTAGACTTTCAACTCATAACACAGCTGAAGTAGATTTTGGTTAAATAAATATAATCTCAGATGAAAAGGTGAAATCTCCAAACTTTCGATGAAGGTTGCAAATCACTTACTACTCGTAAAAATTGGGATATACAGGCAAAATGTAATTAACTACCCTAGATTTCTATAATGCTTTGATGTGTCTGTGACAAAAACTAGCAAATATTTTCCTAAATTATATTGATCTTAACATCAATAGTTCTGATAATATATGAAAAATAAAAGGAAATCATTTACTACAATTCAACCCTACTGGATCACATTTTTCAGTTAACTAGCTTAAATTATTTCATATTGTGTTTTATTATTTGGCTCATTGATCATAGTCTACATTTTTGAACCCTCTGAATTGTGGATAGTAGCGAATATGCCTAAATTGCTCTGTTTGAATATACAATTCTCGGACAACTAGTGCATATCTGGAGTTAAGATTTATGTTAATTGAAGAATAATATCTCACTGATTTTTGGTAACAATAAAATGTATTTGTTTCCACCATTATTGTAAATGTGGATCTATCGAAGCTAAACCATACGTATTCTTGAATATGTTGAATGAATTAACACTGGTAGTCATTTCAATTATTCCCTCTTTGCTTAGCCTTTTAGAAATAGCTGCAGACTTCTGTTTATTGGTCAAGCAACTGCACGTGTTCACCAATTTTATTAACTGACACAAACCTATCAGTATTTGTTATATATTAGCGTACAACTGAATATTTCTTCTGAATGCTAGTTACTAGTTATCATCGTTAACTTTCATTTAAATTTAAAAATGTACATAGGTTTGTCAAAGAATTTTTTATCGACATAGGATTGGACTTTATTAAACTTCCACAATGTTATATAAGCTTAGCATTCCGAATATTATAGTACAAAAATTAACTAGACAGTTGTTTTTAGTTACTACTTGATTAGTTTCAAATTTGTGTATACAAGATCTTTGGATGGGTCAGTCATAGTTTAGATTTATCAGATTTCTGAGTATATCAATAACTCTTAACACTAAGTTATCAACCATAAAACCTACATCATGTCTTTATTGTACAATGTAGTTTGTATTATGGTATCCATATTACTCTTCTCGTTACCTAGGAACATTTTGTGGTAAACTAATCGTAAAGAGATACACTAGCAAGAAAAAATATGTTAATATAAATTATGGCGTAATGTTCATGTTGCACATAAGTAGGCTTTCATTGAAAAAGAAAGCTAAAATCTTTCAAAAGTTTATTTTGCTTTGTACATTACAAATTCTTGATAAATATTTATACACTACATAATATGTGTTTCCTTCGCTCTTTATCTTTCAGTCAATGATCATAAATTTTCTTTTTCTGGTTCCTTAACCACACGCTTTGGTATTGAGAATACCAGTTCACCTCTGCTTATCTATCTGGATATTCAACATGGTTCACTAAGACGCAGTTCTAGCGGAATCCGTGGTGGCCGAACAAACGACAGAATATATTCAACTATGCGTTTAATTACACCTGTATTCCATATTTTAAATTCCATGGTTTCTAGTCCTTGTGAAAATATTCCAAAACGTGAACGTGTTTATAATCTTTTCACGTTAGGAAATGGATTACAACGTCCTTTCAAGGTGTTATTCCAGTTTGATATTGAAAGAGTTGGGAAATTTACAATTCAAGCCGTACTTGAGCTACACGATTTCACAACAGGAGCATATGCCAATGGTGTAATACAATTAGAGGCGTTCAGTACAGAAAGTTTAAACCTACTCGATCAGTCTTATATAGAGGCATACAGTGCTTCTGATAAGCCAGATAAGACGTATTACGCCAATTATAAAATTGATGATCATGGCCGTGTTGTATTTCCAGAGCAAACTGTTAAATTTATTGTTGAGCATCGTGACTCAAACGAAATAAGTAATTTTCCTGAAGAAATTAATGTACACTGGTCTGCTGTTGCTGAGTCAGAAAGTTGCTTGCTCAAACAAGTCAGCTCTATACCTAAGAATAAATCGTATTATATTCGTCTCAAAGATCGTGGTTACTGTAGTGAGGATTGTTCATCACCAGATGGCACATGTAATTTATTCTGTGTAGACGAACCTTTATTATTAGCTACAGAACCAAGTAAGTTTTAATACAATTATTTGTTAAAGCAAGTATGTTTTAATTAATATAGTTTTAGTTGTACTATAAAAAAAGGTTTTGCACAATTTCATAGTTTTCGTGACTTCTGTCCACTTTCACCAACTTCATTACAAGTACTTAAAGTATAATATCTGATGTGACCGTTTACAAATCTAATCACAGATATTGTCATGGAATTATCAGGAAAAAAAATCTATCCAATGATAAGCTGATGTAATTTCACATTTACGCTAACATAAATGGATATTATACATCAATGTTATCAGTGTCTTTGTGTGATGTGATATAAAAGCATAAATCTGTGATGTAGTGAGAAGATGTCGACATTGTTGAATATGAAAAAGTTCATTTGAACTCTTTTAATAAACTTCATCTAAATAGAAATTTAAATAAAAACTAGAAGATAAATGACATTGAATAGAACGAATAAATGCTTACTAGGCATATGTTATTATTAGACCACAACAAAAATAGTCAATAAAGGTTTACTGGAATTAACAACATTTAGTCACTCGGATTAAGCCATATTGTACAGTGAGAAGACGAAGTTTAACAGACCTATGGAATATATTAACTCAACACTTTTCTTACAGTTTAATCATATAATAAACTATTAAGATTCTTGTATGAGAACTAAAGATGAAGCTAAGCAAGTGGCAGCATAAAAATAAACAATTACAGTAAGAAAAAACGACGTTAATCATGTAATTCTGGATACTATGATTAGACTAGTACCATCAAACTGGGTATGGTGTAAGTATAAATAGTTTGCGAACATCCAAGGTGGATTCAATTTTTGTATAACTATGGTTTCAAAAGACGTTTGCCATGTTGTTTGTATACATTACCACAGTGGCTGAACTAATGGCAACCCTGTGATTGTGTCGGTGACATATTTGACTGTTAAATGATTGGAGGTAGTGGACAGGACAAACACGAGATGTAACACTACTCAGTGATTAATCAATTGTAAACATGTTTGGCTTTAGAGATAGATGGGTGTCTATCACCTGCTCTCATATCATACTTGAATCTTATTTATTTTCGCAGTAATTTTGGTACATTATCTATCCCTTGCTTGCAATTCCCTATGTATTTGTATAGCATGTAAATGTCATCTCCGACTTACAATCAAACTGATTTGAAGTTCGATGAAGCCTTGAACATGTGGAAGTTTATATGGATTCTTGATGATAGTCTATGATTAGAATATCAATATAAGGAATATTTCAGTATTTTCACTCTTGAAATCGCGATTTCTAAAGGTAGTCTAACTAAGATTATTTTGTAATTTCAAGAGTGAAAATAGTACAATCTTTACAAATCCCCCCATACTAATCACAATCATGTGCTCACTAGTGACTAACTTCATTATTTAACTCTTGGAGTTCTATTGAGAAGCTGGGATCGGCAGAGTTCAATCCGTGCCTGGTATGTGGTAGTTACCCACCGCAAGGCATGAATGAACGTTTGAGCAAGCTCATGGATTGTTACAGATCAAATCATTGAATGCTCAGTGGTCTATAGGTAAAGCATCTGTGCAAGACACTGGGTCCATGATTCGATTTCCGAGTTCAAGGTAGTGGGTGTGAGCTGCTGAGGAACCCCACTATAGGGATAAAGCGGCCTTCTAGTGCCCCAAGTTCTCAATAGTGGTCTAGCATCGATTAATGTGTGGATTCAGCAGTGAATCGTAAATTATGATGGTGGAATACTGAAGGAATTGTAATTCATTTGTTTCTCAGAATAAGCAGCGGTTTGCCCTGTAGAAAAACTATTCATTTTAAGATGTTGTTTTCTATCAGTTATTTATATGAATAAATAGGTTTTTGAAAAAGTTCAGTTGAGTGAAAACTCATGTTCGTACTATATAAGTAATGTAATTTAATTTTGACTCGCTAATCTGGATTAATCCATATTGCGTTAGTTTATATTTGATGCGATTTTCTATGACGTTTAATTTGTTTCCAAATAACTTTTATCTAAACTTTTTATAAAATTCTATTCATGAAATTTTAGGTCCTTGTGACTGTGTAACGTGTGATCGTCATGGTGAAGTGTGTCGACCAGAGGGCGCGAGTTATAGATGTGAATGTGGTCAGGGCTTGAAGTTAATGCCTGACAACACATGTCAAGGTAAGTTATGCTTTTTCGGATCTTAACCCCCTGACCATTAATTAAAACCATGTAAATGGGAAATGAAAACGTGGATTTATTAATATCTTGGTATATATATAAGTTGGAAGTTGGGATATAATCTCTATTTTTAATGTGAAACGAATTCTGGTAGAAAACATCTAAGGAGCATATATTTTGGAGCATCTTGGACTGTCAGTTATGAACGTGACATTTTGATTCAGGTAAATATTGACGACTAGAATACAATACTCTATGGATTAAAGCTAATCGTGCATGGAGGACAATTGACAGACTCGTTAGAGGTAAAGACCGGTGACAGGCAAGGTTGCTTACTCTCACCTTTTCACTTTCTCCTGGCGATCGACTGGACCATGAAGACGTCAACATCTGAGGGGAAGTATGGGATAAAGTGGACAGCTAAGATGCAACTGGACGATCTAGAATTAGCAGATGATCTGGTTCTTCTATCGCACACGCAACAAAAAATGCAGGAGAAGACGACCAGTGTAACAGCAGCCTCAGCAGCAGCAGCAGTAGGTCTCAACATACACAAACGGAAAAGCAAGAATCTCCAATACAACTCAGCATGCAACAATCCAATCACACTTGATGGATAACACTTGGAAGATGTAAAAACCTTTACACATGTGGTGGGCAGCATCATTGATGAACACGGTGGATCTGATGCAGATGTGAAGGCACGGATCGGCAGAGCGAGAGTAACATATTTACAACTGAAGAACACCTCGAACTCAAAACAATTGTCAACCAACACCAAGGTCAGAATTTTCAATACAAATGTCAAGATAGTTCTATTGTATGATGCGGAAACCTGGAGAACTACGAAAGCCGCCATCCAGAAGATACAAGTGTTCATTAACAGATTTCTACACAAAATACTTCGGATCAGTTAGCCAGATATTATCAGAAACAACCAATTGTGGGAGAGAACAAGCCAAACCCCAGTGGAGGAGGAAATCAGGAAGAAGCGCTAGAAGTGGATAGAACACACACACATTGAAGAAATCACCGAACTGCGTCACAAGACAAGCCCTCACATGGAATCCTCAAGTCCAGAGGAAAAGAGGAAGACCAAAGAACACATTGCGCGGAGAAATGGAGACAGACATGAGAAAAATGAACAAAAATTGGATAGAACTGGAAAGGAAGGCAGAGTGGGACAGAGTGTGTTGGAGAATGCTGGTCGGTGGCCTTGAATTGGTTAATATACGATATAGAGCTGAACGATGATAAAAAATAAATGTAAACCTGTTGCTGCCCTACTGATGTCAAAACAGTAGAATTTTAGCATATCGTAACAAGTGATGTATATTTTAGTATTTTCGCATTATCATGTACCAAAATAATTTAAAATAGTTAGCATAAATAAAGTTTCATCTTTCGCTCAATCTGTGTACAAATAAACGATTTCTTAACATTTAAAAACATCTAAAATTACTGCATCCAATATCCGATATTTTGTTACTATCTATACTAGTATGATTATACACTGAAAAGTCTTGTTTAAAATATTCATTATAATTCCAACCAACATATAAATCACTCATTTTTCTGTTAGAAATATTTTTAGGAGAATATCAGTCAAAAAAATATATTTAAATCAAGGAAACGAATAATAATTTTGTTATTGAGAGCATGAAGATAGATAATGAAATTATAATTGGGAACGGAAGGGTCGGTGAGTTGAAATTGAGATGAACTGAATCTGGAGGATCACAGAGACAAATCATTTAGGAGTAAAATGTTTGTGAAAGAAGTATCAAGAAAGAAAAGATTTACAAGATATTAAGACTATAGTAGAAGAATAAGTTGTACCAGTTTCTTTCGGACAGTTAACTCTTGCTTTTCTAGATGTCTAGCAATTGCTTCAGCGATACTAGGAAGATGGAATATAACCTCCTTTGGCAGCTTTCTATTTACCTTGTAGATGACTTTGAACTTGCAATCCGCTTTGAGTGAATGACTTGTGTTCACAAGGTGTTCGATTATTGAACTTCTTCTTGAGCTGTTTCCACCTCTTGTTCGGCCAAGCCGGTTAATGTTCTTGATTTTTTTTGAATAAAAGACTCATTGAAAAACCTATATACCTAGCTCCGTATGAACAGATAAATTGACAAACGCACACAGAATTGGTCAAATAGAATCATTTATCCTTAAGATTATTGATGAGCATTGATCGGCTGGAGGACACTATTCTCAAAGTCGCTGTGAAAACTTGAAAGCTGGCTATTCCACAAGAGTTGCTTGTGGATAGATCATAGAGTTTTGTCATGTTTTCGTGTCATCTCTACATCAAGAAAGTGAATATTTTATTTGTTTTCAATTTCAAGGGTGAAATTTATTGCCGGGTAGCAGTTATTAAATGTCTTAAGAGGATGATTCACATTATACCTATTGTCACAGATGATAAAGGCATCATCCACGCACTTTTTATAAAAGTAGAGATTATCAATAGTCGTTTGAAATTGATTGTTTTCTAGGCTGCACATCAAACAATCTTATTCATGCCTTATTCTTTCACAAGCATGTGTTTTCCTTCTATCTTTCTGTGCGGACCTTTAACCCCCAACAGATTTGTCTCTGTCTCTAAGATCCCTCTGATTACAATTCAAAAAATATATCTCTCAATATTGACAATGTTGTGTACACATTTAACATTATCAATATCTGTTCATTCAAAATCTATCATGTAAATCTTAAATGACCCTTAAAAATCCTTACCCCAGACGACACCAATAAAAAATTATTTTTGCTGTAGCGCAATTGATAATTCTTTCATTTCTTGTGCAAAATATCCGAAATGATTTATCCTGTTTCCGATATATCTTTTTACGATTAAAATTAAAGTTTTGTACTCCGATACGTCAAATAAAGCTTGTGGTTTGCAAAAAAAAGCGAACATAAATGAAATGAACTTGAGCAAGTGAATAAAAACATTGTCAAGCTATTCGTTAACTTGTTGAAAGTGGTGAATCGATACAAAATATGAAGCTATCAAATACGAGTGATACTACTGCTAAATCAGTGATGAACAGTGTCAGTAGTATGTTAGCGAGAAGAATATTTTTTTAACTGACAAAACCTTTATCGGATCCTTTGAAAGGTGACGAAATATTTTACTTCGTTGAGAAGTTAATAGTAATATATTCTAACATAATATTTCTAAACTTTTTAAAAAAATTTCTTAAATTTCTGTTTTAAATTTGTATCTTGTTTATTCATTCTATTTCATGGATTCCACTTGGTGTTATAAGCTACTTCATTGGTAGATGGTAAGTTAACTATTTACAAACTGTTTGCTAGGATATTTTTATTTCATTGTAATCATTTACGTTAAATAATAATTCCGCTGGCTTTATACTGTCACATTCACAATTCGGTAATATTTATTCATCATTTCTACTTAAAGCTTTATGTTTTTGAGTTTGATCTATACAATAAAGAGGTTGACTAATATAAGTTCATGAGTAGAACTAAATGACAATTCATCGGACTAATGATGGAAAAAAATGGAGGTTCAAATTTGAAGGGTCAGTTTTTAACTTGTTTCCCAAATAGTTTCAAGTAGCTACCAGTAGTTTGAAACAGTCCATAGATTTCGAACATAACCCATGATATAGGTATCATTACCAAGGTTTGACTTGATAATTCCGAATAAATGGAGCATTGGGCAGATCGTTATAAATACATTGATATATTTGTAAGATCCCAATGTGTAGAAAAATTAAATCTTTTGACGTTTCGTGACTAAATGTAAGCTACGTCTCCAGAGAACAAATGACCCAATCAAAATTAATCCAAGTTTAAACAGTACAAAGGAACAACGCAAGAACATTATGTGCAATCAATAAAAAAACAGGCTATTTATTCTCTGAAGAATTGGCTTACACTAAGTCACGAAACGTCAAAAGATTTAATTTTTCTATCCATTGGGATATTACAAATGTATTATTTTATTTATACCACATGATATTTTACTCAACCATATAAAAATATTCCATTTGATAAAGTTTTCAAATTAAGATAGTAACTCACGGAAGACAATGGTGGACATATGGCTCAATTTTGCGGATTGGTTGAAGTTAGACATTAACATTGTTAGATGCCGGCTCAGAGGTTTAGTGATTAAGCGCTCTCATGCGAGCGGGGTTCGAATCCCGCTGGGCGAGATCGTAGATGCACACTGCTGAGAAGTTCCAAAACAGGACAAAACAACCGTCCAGTGCTTGCAGGTTTCCCATAGTGGTCTAGTTTCAATTGACTCATGATTTCAACTATTAAATTAAGAGATATCTGTTTGATTGTATTTTTGTAGGTTTTTTATTCTCAGTGTTTTAAATGACTAATGCTCGGTATGATGAATTTATTGTTTTCTTAATGGGTTTAAATTCTTTTAGGTGTGGCTAATTTCCAAATCTTTCAATTTTATGTTAATTTTTGAACATAATCGTCAGTCACATTTTGTTAGACATAACTGTTTTTTTATTTTGATATATTCTACAAGAAAATCTCTTTTGGAAACAAAGATATTTAGTTCATAATACTAGTATCATACTTACTTTCATTAAGACATTGAAACTTGATGTATTCATTAATTCAATGTGTTAACTTCAATGTTAACTTTAGTATACATATTGTTTTAGTAACTAACTATCTCGGTGTACAGTGTGGTTCTGTCAATTGTCATACCCATGCTCGTTGTATTGATCCAAATCAAGCGTTTTGTCAATGCTTACCTGGCTACAGAGGAGATGGTGTTAGCCATTGTGAAAGTGGTAAGATATACTTTAATAATAATGTAATATACTCTTAACAAAACATTGTGCATTTTTATCCTCTCCCAAAACCTTAATGCATTTACCAACACTTATTCTACCAAACTAACAAAACTATTACGTAAATTGTTAAAGTACAATTGTTGGAAAAATAGCATCTGTTTAATAAGGTATTTTTATGTCAAATAGGATCTTTTATGCCCTATACCGTAGCCCACTTGTTGCATATACAAGGCCTCAGCATGTTCAATTTTCACAGTTCACTGGGAATTATTGTCATACTTTTCTTAAAATTTATTAAGTAATATTAATCAGGTTAGAATCAAATTATTCCTAAGCACTGATATTGAAAGTGTTTATACTTCACTTATTTGATCGATTTTGCAATTGCTAAGTGGTTAAAACAGTGGAACTTAACCCTTAAATAGTATGAAAAATAGGTAGTATAAATAAATGTAAATTTTACAAATCTGTTTAGATCTATTATACTTTTTGTTAGTCTTCACAGTCTTTACACTAATTGATTACCAATTAGTAACTAATGCAACATTATACTCATCTACTTGCTGATCCAATACTATCAATTACATTCCACTGATTTAACAAAATCTAATCAAAAGTATTTGTTAAATAAAATTGTACTGAACAAAATTTTCAGGGCTCTCTTACCAGTCAATAAATAGTTTAAATTTATCATAGTATATTTCAATTAATTTGTTGAATAATATCTTTGAGCACTGTAACAACTTTATCAACCTTCATCATTTCAATTACATTTTGAATCATTCGTAACTATCTTTATAAATAGTTTCAGGTAATCTGTATTATCATCTGATACATCACTTATTTATTAGTAATAATTGTATTATTATTGTAAAACATGTATAAATAAGCGTAGAAATGTAATGAAAAGCTAAAAAAAATACTTCGTCATACTCGTGTTTAATCATAAGTAGTTGAAAGAACTTCATCAGACTATGGAAAATTAGACAGTTTTGTGAAAAAAAAACGGTCAAAAGCAAATGAATAACTTAGATTTAGTTGAATACATCAAAATTACTACTTTCAGAATAGAAAATTTTCCAGTTTTGTTTTAGTGTAGCACAAAATTAGAATCAATGAATGCATTTGTAATAGCTTCAACAGTATTTTACACCTGATAAACATGATATTGACCTTTAAATAGATTATTCAATCTTCCAAATCAGTGGTAAAGCACAATAATGAACCTGTTAATTTTTGAATTCCATTCTATTGATTCTCTGTTTGATGATACCAACAAAATAGAGCAGATATTATTCAAGTGTATTATTGATACTCATCCCATACATGTTAAGCACTCTGTTGTGTTTAGAAAATTTCGAATTGCATCTCCTGAAAGACTGAATGACTTTTAGTTTCTTTGTTAAAAAATCTATACGAATTTTTAAAAAAAAAATATCGTTTAATAATGAACTATTGAAAGTTAAAACAATGAAATGTAACTCTAGGCAAATTAACAGTTGTGTTATAATTCATTTGGAGTAATAATGTTTGACTATGAGAAATCATTTAAAGAGTTGTAAAGTAGCCACTTGTTTCTTTCTTTTTTTTCTCCCTACAATCTGTTAGTTTCTCGTTCAATAATTGCAAATCATAAAATAATAAGATTTTCATTGGTTCTAAATTATCCATGTTTATTACCATGAATAATGGAGTAATTCTTTATCATTAGATTACCTCACCCCCCCCCACACACACATTTTCCGGTAATTAACGGCTAATAAAATGAATACTGTATTACACTTACATAATAAAATTTCCAAATATCAGTTAAAAACATTTATAGTAGTTCATACATTCTGTTATATTTATATTTATTGAAACAAATGAGAGAATAAACATGATTCTACAAAGTATTCTAAATGATACAATAAAATAATATACTTAATACTACCCTAAAATTAATCATGATGCTACAATTGGTTCTAATCACTTTAATACTCTTTTTTTATTAAGATACATCTAGTCGAGTTTTCATTTACAATGCATCATTTATCCGAGTGTAAAATAAACTAACTATAACAAATAACAGTTCAATATGTGTTTATCTCTTAATGGAAAAAAATATATATTAAAGATCTATAATTCAGTATAATGTTGTTTCTGTATGACTTTTATCATAAAGTATATGTATGAGATATTTTTCTATTAAACAGTCATGTGGCGCCCAAGTTTGTTAATGGCGCTATAATTAAGGTTATGAATCAGTGTCTAAATTATGGAAAATCGTATTTGTTGAGTACATTTTGGATAACTTTTAAATCGTAACTCATATTGGCATTATTTTAATGATAACAATTTCATTAACAATCAATAGAAATCTCATATATATGTACAGTGGTGAATTCCATTTAGCTAATTGTTTCACAATGATGTGTAGTGTTGCGATTTGGTCGATATAAAATCGATCCTTACGGAAACCAGCCTGTTGATCTTATATATATATATATATATATATATATATATATATATATATATATATATATATATATATATATATATAGTGGTTCTTTTTTAGGAACATGCCATATAGATGATCATAGTAAATATATTCAAACAACATAGCTATGATGGATCAACAGAATTCACTTTCGTCTCCTAATATGTATACAAACTAAAGGTAAAGGTTAGAGTAGATTGGGATCATACTAGTTAAAAATTTGGAAGTTTTCGAGTCACTAAGACTAATATACATACGGGAACTTGGCCGATAAAATTTGACAGATACTAAGAAATATATAAACATAAAACTATTTACTAATTAGTGTCAACATCTTATCTTTATCGAGGGCCAATCGTAGATTGTATATCTAACGGATAAAGTCTGAGAGTGAGATACAAATTGAGAGAATTTCGATCCACTTCACAGCACCATTTCCCATTAAGTTGGAAATGAACTTTTCTGATGAGTCATAAATAATTCAAGATCCTGGTACACAGCTAGTTGTCAATTGTCTCCAATGACTAAAATCATTTCATGAACTCATTTTCCAACTATTGATTGATCAATCGTTCTCTTCATACTAACCACATTTTTATTGGACTTCTTTCGAAAACACTCAGTCACACGTATTTTAGGAATATGCACCAAAAACTACAGCGAAGAAAAAGATAAACAGAGTTTGAAACTTTGGGCTACCTGTTTTCTTCAAAACACTTTTCATATGAATTCATGTTAAATGATGCATTATGTAAATAAATCGGGCTAGTGTCGTACTTAATATATATTTCGAAAATGTCATCTTTTCCTGTTTGATTTTATTATTTACAAAGGTTACCTCATCAAGATTTTAAATAATTCGAAAGTGATTTTAATTTAGAAGCGGCATTGGTTAGTGAAACAATAAAAAATTCAGTGTCTAATTTACAATAATTCTCAGCGGCTTTTCGGTTGGTGTTAGTTCGTGAGCAAAGTTATCTTGAGATCAGTTTTATTAATCGTGCATATTTAACAAACACGATACTAATATCTATCGTCAAGCAATATCTGAAATTTAGAAATTCACACTACTGGCTTCGAGAGTCTGAATATATTATAGTCACTGAAATACTTAGTTGTCTTAAGTTTGTTTATGTACAATATTTTGTAAAGAGCACCAGTTTACAGTATAATAACTGTTTAGTGCTCTATGTTCTTTGTGTGACATCAATTCATGATTTAAATTATCCATCTATATTTCCATCAATGAAATTTAAGTGAAAATCTATTACATTGTGAATTATTTTATCTAACGTCCTTTGAATACAAAACAGAAAACCCCTATATATATGTAACAGAGCTTTGGATTGTTAATGCTAGTAGCATATATAAAAATATGTAAGATACGTTTTTACCAAAAATGTATTTCAAAGTATAGTTTAAGTTATTAATCAGACTGACATCTGTTGGACGTTATTTTTTTTATGAAGCAGAAGTACCCTGTACATGGGAATTTCTGTAAATCTTTAGTTACTTATTGAAAGTTGTTTCTCCAACATCTGCTTCACACATCTGTCTGTTATATACCAAAATTTATTATCTTTCCATCGTATTGTTTTCATATAAGCTTTTTTCATTGTTTATAAAATAAGTAAGTGATTATGATAACAGTAAATGTTTATGTGTTCATTGGATATCTGAATGTTTTCCTACGGACTCTTTATTGCAAAACAAGTTCATATTAGCAAATTCGAAGAGTATAAATAAGAGGGAAATAATTATGATAAAAAAGTATTTGTCTGGAGTTTCAATCAATAAAAGTTCCAGTGTGATATATATCTATAGTTATTATCATTACATTACCTAAGATTTCGAAACCTCTCATCATTCTTCCATAATATTTACATCTAACCAAGAAAACAGATTTACATGGAATAACCAAATCGAAATTGTTATCCTGAGAAATATATCAGACGATGTTTTTCACTTCCAAATAACATCTTATCACAGATTGAAGCAGTTGAAAACATTCATCATAAAAAGTTTTATTCAATTAAAATAACCGTCATCAACTGGATTTCTTCTCGATGAAACAAACTGTAATGTTTACCGAATGATAGTAGTTAGTTATATAATGAAGCAATATACCTTTATTTATAAGCTCCATATCAAATTTAGTAGTGGTATCTATGTAGTTTCACCCTGATAACTTCAAATATTGAGGGATACAATTCGTAATGACAGTGTGAAATCGCTAACTCTCTCTTCTGTTCCAACCATTTTCATTCTGGTTAATGATCATCCAAAAGTAATTAGATAAAACATTTTCAATATTATCCCTAGATTTTGAACTGTGAACTAAATCATTTATCTTTTAGACAGGGATATTGTTGAACTCTGCTTGACTGTATTTTTGCAAATGAAAATTTATGATTCTTTAACATTTTTTAGCACATAAATTTTCCTTAGATTTTTTTCCATTAGGTATTACCATAAAATCCATAGAAACACAGATTTGTAAATGAATTTGGCCTATTTCTTTTAAACTACTACCTAAAAAATGTGAACCATCCAATAAATAACATATTACCTAGTTAAATATCTTCAGTTGGTTAGTGGATTAACCGTAAGCTAATGTAAATTATATCTGTTCTTTACAATACCAAAACCTGATAATATTCTTAACTTGAATTACCTGAACCTTAAAAGAAATAAAATTAACCGATTTCTTCCAACCTATTTCAACTGTACTAAATGGCTTCCAAGAATACAAAAACATCAAACTTTAGTATCATTAGTAAAGTTTGGCTTGATCATTTGAAATAGACTGAGCGTTGGGTGTACTGTGTACTGATTAAAACTAAAATGACACATATGTAAGTTCATACACTTAGTTCCCAAGAACAAGTAATCGAGCAGAATAACATGAATTCATTTTATTTCATTAAGTTCTCATCAGCTGTTTACAATCTATAATATTTTATAACCAAAATTAACGTCAAATTTGCTTACTGATAACAGTTAAATATGTATCATCGTGGTAAAATAGTGGTTCAAATAAATGTAATGTGGTTGCAGACATAAAGTACATTGAAAATAGATATATGTCAGAGAAGATCCTAGATCACCAGATATAATAACAAGAGATCATCGAGCTAAAATAATTTCTTTGTTATTTTTACGAAATAGTCGAACATTCATTGGAATCGCTATTCCACCATGATGATACATATTTAATTTTACCATTATAAGTATGTAAACTTCACAATCATTTTGATTTTAAAATATTATAGGTTGTAAACAGCTGATGTGAAGCTAATGCATTAAAATGTTCAATTCTGTGTTCTTGTTTTCTTCATTATACATAAGTGAATTTCTGACGTTTCACGGTTCAGTACAAACCATCACTTGAATATATTAATTAGTAATTTTATTCAGTCATCTATCTATCTTTTAAAGAAGCGACTTACACTAAGCTGTTAGGCGTTAAGTATTCAATTTTCTAATCAACGAGATAATAAAAAGCATTTTATTTTGCTATCACAATATTAATAACGTAAAATATATCATACACAAAATATCTTTCAAACTATACTTATAATCATTACGCTTTTATTTTCCATCAAGTATTTGATAACATTTGCTTTTAAGACATGTACTTTGCACAGAACAATATAGAAGCAGTATGCTAGTGGATTTATCTTCAAAACTTTGATTTCATCTCTTTATTAATACTTCACATGTGTATCTTTTAAGGGGTCATTTTTCTTGATACATTTTTAAATCCTGGTAATTAGTTAATATCATTTAGGTAGTGTTGACTCTAATTAAACCTAAAGATGAATACAGATATGGTTTAATAGGTTAAGTAAACTGTTTTGATTTTATGTCCGGCTTTTTATTACGTGATTTATCCACCAATCGAAATACAACTTATACAATCTTAACACTATGCCAAACCAATGACTTTCAATTGGTATGAGCAGTCTAGCGTCCTTATTGGTCCTATGTCCTCCTAGCCCGTCCACTTGAGTCCAGAACATAATACCAGCTTCTGCAATATGAATCGAATCATTTATTCCAGACATGCTGGGTTTATGTATCAATCAAACAGACCGCAACGCACCATAAAATAGGAAATAACATTTGTACACAATAAAGCCAAAAAGTGGCTGTGAACGTGGGAGGCAGTAGTCAATAAACTGAACATAGCTTAAGAACAGTAAATCATACAATAATAAATTATAGGTCGAAATAAAGCTTATAATAAAAGGAATATAAATATGCATAATCCAACTGTTGAATAGTTATACAATAAGAATATATAATATTAGTCACTTAATGTATCAGAAGTTACTCGTGATTTAATCTTCGCTCGGATATAACACAAACTAATCCTTATTTATTCAAAACAATTGAAAGAGTTCCAAGAATGACGTAACAAACTAAGGGTAACTTCACAATGTTATGTATTTGAAAATATATGTAATACGTCTACCAAGTCACCTGGTCTTATGGAGCTAGGTACATAGACCATAGCCAGCGCTCGCTTTCAACTCAGATACGAGAACATATCCCTGTGGGGTGGGGGGAGGACAGTTAGAAGTTCTATTCTTGAACATCTGATCGACTCTATTCATTCTACCGATTCAAAGGTTGATTTTAAAATTTGTGTATACAATTCGTACAAAGCTACATAGATTTCTTCGTATCCAACTCCTTAAAATAGCAGAAGCTTTTGCTATCCATTAGCTCAAACCAGAATTGCTCATACAAAAGGAGTACGTTCTATCGTTATCGTTACCATGACTTTAATCTATTATTACTGTTATTATTATTTTTCCATTTTCTTATTCCCCTCTCCCTATACTTATGCCTCATATTCTCATGATTTTATTCATAATTGTTTCTGATATAAATTCATTTAAATGTGCACCTATATAACCTTTAATTACCTTCAACTATTGTAATAAAAACATTTTAATCATCGTACTACATTCACATTACAATTCGTTGATAACTTATTAGTTTTATTATTATTTTCGATAATGCAATGACAAGACGTAGTTTATCAGAATTCTGATAAACTACGTCTTCTCATTGCATTATCGAAATTTATCAAAGGGACTGATTGTTTTAAATTTATTATTATTGTCACATTACGTAATCTAGTATCATAATCTTTCGACTGCATCATCATATTTATTCCTTGTTCATATATCCTCACGAAACTAGCACTTTAACATAAGAAGATTTTTATATATACATAAATACGATTGTACAGCTTGATAATAAATTCGTTGAAATGAGATCCGTTCTCTGAACTTTTTAAATGTTTAAACTGGAATTATAGGTCAGCATATGCAAGTGTAATATGGACAGTCTTTTAAATCCCTTACTGTGTTTGAATAAGCGAAACAATAAATTTTTCATGTCATTTTGTTAAATCATTACTAAGATAGTAACCAAATTAGGTCACAGTATTAAGTAAAACTAATTTTGTTTGCTTAAAAAGTAAATTTTTAGTTAATTCAACTAATGAAAATGACCTGATGATTTATTAAAAGATAAACAGATTAAGAAACACTCTGTGATCATTCGAATAGATTATGTGTAAGTCACTGAATTGAACATCATGCTTTTAAAACCACATTTGTGGGGGTATTTGTTCCCTTTGTTTCAGATAGTCATACTATGATGAATGAATTGTCCCCTTTAAGAAAAACTTCTTCATGTGTAATATTATTCTAAAGGTTTTAGTATTCATGGTAGTTATGTATGAAATATTTAAAGGCAAATCATGTCATGTTTCACCTTAAATAATCTTACTTTTGTGAAATCTGTACAGAATTTGTAATTTTTCCTTAGAATATATAATTAATACCTTTGAGGTTAACAAACCTTTCGTTGTAATGTATTGAACTAAGGACAGAAAAATACATTGTTATTATTATTTTGAAACATCTGGTTTGTTCCTTTTTTTGAATTCTGTCTTCGATTTGATATATTTTCCCGAACGATAAGTAGGATGTAGTATATTAACTGGAAAAAACGATGGTTTTTTTATGAAATCCTTGTATTTATTTACAATGAAAATCTACCATCAAATCAGATGAAGTATTTATATAATACAGTGATTGTGGCAAGAAATATTTGAATAAACTAAATATCCCACGTTAAATGTATGGATTGAAGTTACTTATAATAACAATATAGTAGGAGTTATTTTGTATGGTAATTAGACATTTTTCAATAAGCGGCCATTAACATTAATCTAAAGGTGAATGATTCATTGTCGAAATATCTAAGGTTAGTAATACTTATAGCTAGTGATGCCAGCAAGAACTAAACGAGGGTTTAAATCTCTTCCTGACTGCCTACAAATTCCATTTACCATCTGTGATCCTTTAGATTATGAATATTGACGGTGGTAAGGCTTGACTAATGATTAACCCTGAAGTGGCATGTATTCGAAATACCGTAATGTAATTTATAAACATTTTCAAATCTATTGACACCATTCTAATTTTTTATGTTAAACAAAATGGTAAAAGACAATAGATCACGAAAAATATCTACATAAATGTATGATTCAAATAAACGTTCACTGGGTTACTTTATTCGTACTTTATACGCAGGAGTATTAGCCTTTCATAATAGTTTATCTGATTTGTCTTTGATTTTTCTTTAGGTTAGTACGAATAAACGTTTTACTATATACTCCTCACATTTCCATGATCAATAATAATACAGAAACTTTAACTGCCCTATACCAAGTAAAGGAAATTTTTATAGAAGTGAATATGAAGTTTACTACGAATGTTTTTCTCAAATTATGTTTAGCATAGGAGGATCTAATTACTTTCCCTTCGATTCTCATTATTTTCTTGTTTTGCCTACAAATCAGTAGATAAATGAATTTGTGACATAGCAGTTCTTATATCATCAAGGAGTCCCAGTGTAGAGAACATTAAATACTTTGTTTGCACATCTTCCATCAGTTGTCTCTTACAAACTTCATCGTTCCTTCATTTCTGTTGTTATTAAAACTGCTCTCTGTTTACATTCCTGTTTGCCTCAATTAAATATTCTTGACGTTCTGCTGCCACGCATTCCACTTCTGATTAGTGTTACATACTACTTATGTCGACAGACATAAGTGGCATACACCACACTTGTACTTTTAGAAGAAAAACAAATAGATAATTTATGTAACAAACGAAGACGAAATCGTAAATTATTTATATTTCCTAACTCCATAATACCGTTACGTAGTGTGTTATTCAAAATACGCTGGACTCATGAGCTAAACATTTTAAAATCCGTTTTTATTTATCCACTATTTAGCAGAAAAAAAGTTTACCAAATCAATTATATTTATTTTATAGATCCATGTTCTAAATGTCGTCGTAATGAGATTTGTGAAAATGGTATATGTATAGCAAGTGGTGTTGATCTATGCGAAGGGATTCAGTGTGGAGAACAAGCGTTCTGTCAAGATGGTGCTTGCGTTTGTACACCAGGTTATACTGGCGACCCAGTTGTCAAATGTTATGAAGAAAGAGGTGAGTTTACGACATTAAACGTAAAGCAATTAATCCCTTTGATAAATTTGGGTAATGTAATAAGAAGACAAAATCATCAGACCTATACGATATATTGCGTCACTATATCACATAGTTCTGATAATTTTGTCTTCTGATTACATTATCCGTAATTAAATATATCTGTCTTATTTGCATAATCAAGACTTTTTTCTTCACTTGGGAATTCCAGTTACTTTTTTTTATCATATCCGATAAAAATCTTCTCTACAATACACATTATGGTCGATATCTGCGACTAAAAGTCACGAAGATCTCTCTAATATTTGTTTCTTGGGGTGATATATATATATATATATATATATATATATATATATATATATATATATATATATATATATATATGAAGAGAGAGATAGATTGTTTTTGCCAGAATACATAACATCTCTCATTTTATTAGATCGATGTTTTCAAGTACGTTGTCATCCAAATGCACAATGTTATAATAACGAATGTCATTGTGTAGAAGGTTTTCAAGGTGATGGGTATTATGATTGTAAGCCTGTCGTTTACGGTAAGTTAGCTTCCCTTGATTATCCCTTTTTTTCCCCATTCCTTTCGTGTGATTTCATTCTTCACACAGCTTGTTATTGTGTTTTGAAACAGTGCATTTACGTAAACTCCAACTATGCCCTTTCCCATTCTGTTTTTTTTTAAAAAAGAAATACTACAATTTCAAATGCTAAATTCTTAAGTTTATTTATTATTTGGTGTAAAAACACTTTATTTTCTGCATTACCACGGTACGTCTGCATGTCTTCCTAAACTAAACTGTATAACACAATAATTTATGCAGAGATTTTCCAAGTGTTTTATTCAATCTATTTTTATTGAATACCTATCTTTATGATACTGAACACTCAATTTTTGACATCTTATGTTTGTACTCAGTACAATGATATATTTTATGTCATACTAACATCATGAATATTATAAACTCTGCATCAAAAATTTCTTTGGTCATATACCTTATGATGAATAAATATCATAAATACTTATTTATCCAGATCGAAAAAAAGAAGTTTAATACTATTCAAGTATTTGCCGTTAACTATATCTACTTAAGTAGTACATTTAACAAATAATCTCTGATCAACATGCTTAACCTACCATAGTTAAGAAGATAATTTCTTAGAAAGTAGTTCCAAAAATATCCAGAGTTAACGGATGGTGAGTGGAGCTTTGAAGTAATAATCTGTGTTTAGTGAATGACATCAATTTCATTCTACTATGGGACTCCTTGGCGGTGCGCACCCACGACCTCGTACGCCCAATTTGAACCTAAAACCTTCGGTCTCGTCCTGCATCTGAGTTACGTGTACGAGATCGTAGATATACACTTCTGAGGGGTCCCATATTACAATTTTATAAGTTTTAAATTGAGACCTTTCTTCTCTGTTTCCAGTCTTTCGAAATAAATTTGATCAGATTTTAGTTTGTTTCAAAGTTACTCATCTCCATCTATTTGTTGTATACGATAACTTTTCTAACTTGGTGTTTTACAACTCCTAAGCTTACTTAGAATTTATAATTGTGTTTTTCAAGTTTAATTTTGATCAAATTTACTTTCTCAATGATCGCATATAACTCCTCGCCTAGTTTTATCTCAGGGTTAAAGTTCACGAAAAACAATGACTCATTCAATTAAAATATAACATTTTTTTCTGAAATACTACAATCAGCATTTTCGATTTGCAAATAGCGATAACTACTAAGGGTTTTTTTAGTGAATCTTATTTAAATGAAACTTTACACTCACTAAACTTAAACAGTTGTGTAAGCTTATGTATCAGAAATAAGTTTTACAGAGGAAGATATTGTACCTCTAATCTACTCTAGTTCGTAACTGCAACCACACGATGTTTAAAGCTCCGCACTATTCAGTCAGTTAAGGTTTATTAAGAAAATATTACAACTTAAGTTCCATGTTAATAAAAATTCTGACCCTTTAGTGATCATGAATCTTTTAAACAAAAAAAATAATGTACTGAGGCCTTGAACTGTTTTGATCTGAGGTTGAATTCAAGTAACAACTAGAAATGATGTGAGGAATCATAGTCATCGTCCTTTCAAATAGTCTCAACCCTAGTGCATAATCTATTGTTAATTGGCTCGCCGTATTCTCAAATGAAAACATTTAAAATCAGTTCACAATACAATCTATATTTTGTTCAAATTTAATTTTTGTTTTCATAAATATTATTATACAAGATCCATGCTCTGAAGTTAGGTGTCATCCATATGCTAAATGCAGAAATGGTAACTGTGAGTGTCTACCTGACTATTATGGTGATGGTTATCATGTTTGTAAACCACGTAATTACGGTAAGTTAAAAGAAAATGATGAAGCACTAACACGCATGGATTCATTATTTGTATATAGATTCATAGTAGGGAGATTGACTACACATACAGCTACTTTATCAAAAGATATTTGTGCATGTTTATATTCTTGACATCATATAAGATAGAAAATTGGTGTGTTATAAAAACATATGCTATCTCTATACATAATCCATTTTACTTAACTATAAAATATAACTGAATTTACCCTGCTTTAAAAATAAATACCTCAAAGAAACAATATATAAAATATTTTACAGCACGACAAGTTATGCTAGAATTTCATTTGAATGCTATGTAACATTGCATATTGCCATAAAAACCTTAGTGTCATTTACTCATGAGTTGCACATTTCAAACACCACTCATCCACTTAAGTGTTCGCTTGTAACTTATAATAATCATTCTGATATAGATCCATGTGATTATGTTCAATGTCACCAGTATGGATATTGTATTAATGGTAGCTGTCAGTGTCGCACTGGATTCGAAGGAAATGGTTACTACGACTGTCGCCGTATTCAAGTAGGTGGGTAAGACTACTAAAAGACCTCTATTTTGATTGGAATCTCCCCGAAATTTACCAAAAAAATGTAGGAAGTTTGAAGCGTATTCTGTCAGTAAGTGTTCTCTTAAATAACTCACCAACTAACATCTATTGTTTAGACAGATAAATCTAAATACATTGGTTAGATCGCATACTTCTAATAAATAAATAAAATGTTTTCAACATAGTTATTTAATTCATATGCATGATAAACATTTATAGAAAAAGTTGAGAAAGCAGAAATTCTGCAATAAAACTGTAGGCCAAATACATCAATAAAAAGAAGCTTTTACTGAATATGTAATTAGTTAAAATTTGAAGCCTCTACTACCTTCCTCAATCATGTTAACACATTTAAGAGTTAATCCACAGCTGTCAACAAAGTGGCAGTTCACTGTTCTTCATCCATTATAAAATTCTTCCTAACCCCCTTTACATATACACATCCTATTTCAAAGTAAAAACACATTCTCTTTGAAAAAAACTTGGTGGTTATAATGGTATTCCACATATAGTTTATAATATAAACAAATGTGACTCTGCCTTGTAGATAAACGGTAACGGGTCCTTCATTGAACATGAATTTTTTTAATTTTCTCAAGGGTGGTAATTCTATAAAACTTTAAAGTAGTATTGTAATGAACGAGAACACATGTGAGAACGACTAGTCGCATTTTAGCACAAAATCACAAATTTCTTTCATCAAATGTGAGAACTATATTGGCAAATACTGTATTTGCGAATCCTCCATTAATTGTCACAAACTTCATCGTTCCTTCATTGCCATAACATTTACCCTCTGTTCCCGTTCTCTTCGATTCGTTCTTCCTAGTCTTCTGCTCCCAGGCATTCCACTTCTGAGTGGCGTTACATACTATTTATGTAGACATAAGTAGCATATATCACAGCAGCACAGTAGTGTTTTTAAGTTTTTTTTTAAGGTTTATTATTGCTTTTTAAAGTGTCCTCAATTTATTTTGTTCATTAAAGCGAGAACTGAAGATGATTCTGACTGATTATACTTTAAACATATACAATCGAAATTATTTCGAGGCTAATGTCCTCAATATCTGACTCCAATAAATAATATCCCGTAAACTGAATATTTTTGGTAGGCTTAATCTCCTAGTAGAATTACAGATTTACTCGAGATTATTCAGAAGCCTGAACACCAGTTGTAGAGATAATTTATTGTTAATGATTAATAAAAATCCGCAAGCGTACAGCGAGCAAGCACACGATGAAGCCAAGTAAAAATGACACGCAGGAAAGATGGCTAGGAAGCATTCAGTGTTTATCTGAACAACATCATCAACAAAAATTTCAGACAGAAATGAAGTGTTTTAGCCATTCAAAAAAATCAAGGGCAAATATAAAACCAATAATCAGATCAAAGGGCGATACAATCAAAATAAGGAGGTAGATAATGACAGGTTGAAGCTCAACAATAACCAATCATAATAGAGATCGACAGGATAAGATGTGAGTCGTATGAGGAGAAATTCGAACACTTCACTTCTACGTGAATTCGTTCAGAAGAACAATGAAAACTCAACGATCAAACCATCCAACTGAGACAACAAAACTTCATCCAAATTAGTATATATCAGTATAGACTTGTGGAGATTGGTAAGTTTTCGATCGAAATCATGAACCGATTGATGTTAGACCACCATTGAGGTTAAGCGTACGCGTGTGATACCGAAGTCCCTGGGTTCGAATCCCACAAACGGGATCGTGGATGCGCACTGCTGAGGGGTCCCACAACTGGACGAAACGGCCGTCCAGTGCTTCCAGGTTTTCAGTGGTGGTCTAACATCAATCGCTTCATGATCTCAATCATAAATAGATAAATATTTATCAGTGGGAATGAATAAAAACAATACAGTTTTATTTTAAATTATTTTTGATGATCAACTCTGCAATTAATATTACTTTCATATAAATAGAATAAATGTGTACTAAATGTTTTAAATATGCATCACTAACAAACTATTTTTTTTAAAATTATTTTAATACTACCCTAACAATAGATCCTTGTTCTCATGTACAATGTCATTATGATGCCACATGTCACAATGGTGTTTGTACATGTAAAGATGGTTATATTGGTGATGGTTATAGAGAGTGTAGACCTAGAGAAACCGGTGAGTAGGTTGACAGAGTAAATACAAATTCACAAGTACACTAAAAATAATTAGCATGTTGGTTTGCAATGTTTGCTCAGCAAAGAAAATAGTAAAAATCGGAATGCTATTTTTAGCATGTGAGTAGAAAATATGTAGTATTTCAGTTATTTTACCCCTAATCTACCCATGTAATACTGATTTATTATCTAGCGTGGTTTTCACTTTCTTTTTATGTGATTTTTATTAGTTTTGTTCCCTTTACCTTTTAATTTATCCAGTTGACCTTTTATTTTCCATATATAATGTCTTAAAAAGTATATGTATGATCAGATTGTTTAAAATGCATTACACAAATATATCACATAATTCTGATAAATTATTATCTTCTCATCGCACTATCCAAACATTCTAAACTTGTAAATGTTATCTCAGAGATTGTAGTTGCTACCGGGCAACCAAAGGTCAAAATAACATTTAAATTGTCTATTTATTGTTTTCTCACTCATTTATTCGTAAACGTTTTCTAGATTATGATCATACTGACTGAAACATGATGATAACTATTACAAAAATGTTTATAACTCAATGAATCTTATTGTTTAAAGTAACTTTGTCATTGAATAATCTGAATGCATGATTTGTACACATTATATCGATATTTCTACTATGTTCTCTCAACACTAAACTAAAAATTATTATAGTGGAATTCATGAGTCAGTTGAAGTTAGACCAGTATGAAAAACCTGGAAGCACTGGACGGCCATTCCATCCTAATATGAAACTCTTCATCAGCGCTCATCCATGATCCCGCCCCCTGAGATTCAAAACCAGGACCTATCAGTCTCGCACGAGAACGTCTAACCTCTAGACCACTGAGCTGGCCGGCATCCAATGGTGTTAATGTTCCATACTAGGATGAAACGGTCGTCTGGTGCTTCTAAGTGTTCTATGATGGTCTAACTTCAATTGACCCATGAATTCAACTATAAAATTAATAAAATCTCCATAAAACCCCATTCTGATAATAAAATTTATTACTAATCTCATTGTTTTCTTCCAAGTATAAATAATGTTCCTTAATTAATGGAAATGGATGAAGTTAGAGACTAAGAGATAACAAAACGTATTCACTTAGTGAAATTAAATTTGATTTCCATTCATTCTAATCTGCATATTGAACAATACAATGATAAACTAGATTAAACAGGTTACCAGATCTGTCGTATTTCACCACAATTTGTTTCTTGAAGAATCAATAATGTTTTTCTTTAATTTCGAGTCAAAGGTAAGCTTAAAGTGTAATAAAATTCTCCATTTAACATAGTGACCATTTATTAATAATATCAATGATTAAATTGTACATTAAGCATATTAGGAAAGTAGAAATCTATCATCTTTAAATATCATATTTTAAATTAATGAACTATTATTATTGCTATTACTATTATTAGTGTTATTCATTATTATATTTTTGGTACAATATAGAATAATTCTCAGCACAAAGTATTTCAACAAGTTCCCGTTTCTTACATTTTGGTCGATCTTGATGATAAATATTGAGTGATCGCCAGTTAGAAGTTAGCAGTCTAGTTAATCGACATCCAAATAATGTGCATCCCTTTTGTTGCATATTGATATCAAACACGATATCTCTGATTGGGCTTTTTGTAACTCGGATAACGAAAGGTTGTACACTTTTCAGAAACTCATTTGAATAGGTTATGCGATTAATAACCTGTGGGGTCCTTTATTTTGTCGTCATTTAGATCGGACGATATATGTCAACGGGCTCTCCAATTCAGTGGCCCGAGTTCTGACTCCAAGTAGATCATGTGAATGATCGTTGTCGAACTATATATGTCACCTATCGTTGTATATAATCATCGATCTGATTCGCGTTAGTCAATAACGGAATTAAATAAGTCAAATAGCGAAAATGGACTTGTGAATACATATATTTTGTATATGCAGCGTATAGAATAGAGAGAAGCGAAACGACGCGCAGTGGGGATGGCGGATAAGCCAATTCCATTTAGTCAAGCGTTAATCAATAGTTATAGTTACACAAAAGTAAGTTACAGACATGTGATGAATGGGATAACAAGTGTACACACACCTACGCGCTCATATAAAGGTAGTGAAGATTGATAAGCGAATAATGAACAAAATATGACTCAAGTAGAATGAATAGATTGGCCTTTCCGAAAGCCAGAATAAGGTATGTGGGCTTAACATTATAACCGACACTACAAACCATAATGTTGTATTAAGACAAACAAAATTAGACGACTTGTTGAAATATTAAGATGTCAGGACAAGATAACCCAGATGTTCAGGCAGACCGCCATTAGAAATATATTGTGTTAAGTCTTTGGTTTCACTTACAAATCAACCTAATAATAATATTACTTTAAAACTCGTTAAATTTATCTAATTAGACAGTCATCATAAAATATCATTAAACTGTTAGTATAAAAAAATGGTTCTATGTAAAATTTATGATGTCAATATTCTTTTTCATGGTTAGTTACTGAGTATTAAAATAGAATAATCAAATAACAATGAAAGTATGTATATTATAAGTTAAGTAATCCATTTAAAAGAAAAGGCAAATGAAAGTTATGTTAAATGTTACTAAACTGAAGGGTTGTGAGTTATAATGTACGAAAAAAAGATATGGGAAACTAAATAATTATTTATGAATTCATTGTAATTAATGTTGTTACAATACACTAATCAGTAGGATTAGCCAATTAAGATCTTTAAAAACCTGCAAATCATATTACATACAATATACAGTAGGAGTATTTACCATTATTATTCGGTATATACTGTACTTAACAATAACATTTAAAACTGAAAGACTGTAAATGAATGTACCTACATCTAGCTTGTTTCCTATTATGTTTTGATCGATTATTAAACCCCAGCATTTCTGATTTATTTCATTTGTAAAACCTGTTTTACTGAGTATGGTTATGATCATACTTTTGCTTGTAAAGTTTGTATCAATGGCATTTTTTTCTAATGGATTAATACGCATTATTAAACTTTTATTATACAATCAGATTTATAAAGTCAATGAAACATAATTCCTATGTTGTATGCATACTTACTACTTACTTACGCCTGTTACTCCTCGTGAAGGAGCATAGGCCGCTCACCAGCATTCTCCATCCAACCCTGTCCTGGGCAATCCTTCCTAGCTGCGTCCAGTTGTAATTCATCGTTTTCATATCTGCTTCTATTATCCGACGCAATGTGTTCTTTGGCCTTCCTCTTTTTCGCTTCCCTTCAGGATTCCAAGTTAGGGCTTGTCTCGTGATGCAGTTTGAAGATTTGCGTAATGTATGTCCTATCCATTTCCATCGTCTTTTCCTAATTTCTTCTTCAGCTGGAAGTTGGTTTGTTCTCTCCCACAGAAGGCTATTGCTGATGGTATCCGGCCAATGGATGTTGAGTATCTTGCGTAGACAACTATTTATAAATACTTGTACCTTCTTGATGGTTGTTGTTGTAGTTCTCCAAGTTTCAGCTCCATACAGTAGAACTGCCTTGACGTTGGTATTGAAGATTCTCACTTTGATATTGGTTGAAAGTTGTTTTGAGTTCCATATGTTCTTTAACTGTAGGAATGCTGTCCTTGCTTTGCCAATCCTTGCCTTTACGTCTGCATCTGAACCTCCTTGTTCATCGATGATGCTTCCCAGGTATGTGAAGGACTCTACATTTTCCAGAGTTTCGCCATCAAGAGTGATTGGGTTGTTGTTTTCCGCTTTGAATTTGAGGACTTTGGTTTTCCCTTTGTGTATGCTGAGGCCTACTGATGCAGAGACTGCTGCTACACTGGCTGTCTTCATCTGCATCTGTTCATGTGTACGTGATAGGAGGGCTAGGTCATCTGCGAAGTCCAAATCGTCTAATTGATTCTGAGCTGTCCATTGAATTCCGTGTTTTCCTTCAGATGTCGAGGTCTTCATAATCCAGTCGACCACCAGAAGAAAGAGGAAGGGAGAGAGTAAACAGCCTTGTCTGACTCCGGTCCTTACTTGGAATGCATCTGTCAGCTGTCCTCCATGCACGACTTTGCACTGTAGTCCGTCGTATGAGTTCCGGATAATATTGACAATCTTCTCAGGAACTCCGTAGTGTCGAAGAAGTTTCCATAACGTCCTCCTATCCACACTGTCAAATGCCTTTTCATAATCAATGAAGTTGATGTATAGTGATGAGTTCCACTCAACTGATTGTTCGACGATGATCCGTAGTGTTGCAATTTGGTCTGTGCATGATCGATCCTTACGGAATCCAGCTTGTTGATCTCGAAGTTGGGCGTCTACTGCATCTTTCATTCGGTTCAGCAACACTCTGTTGAAGACCTTCCCAGGTATTGACAGCAGTGTAATGCCTCTATAGTTTTCACATTTGCTCAGATCTCCTTTCTTAGGAATCTTGACGAGGTGTCCTTCTTTCCAGTTCATCGGCACTTGTTCCTCTTCCCAAATCTTTTTGAATAGAAGATAAAGCATGTTTGTAGTTGCTTCGATGTCTGACTTCAGTGCTTCAGCTGGTATGTTGTCCGGACCCGCTGCTTTCCCGTTCTTGATTTGTCTGACGGCCATTCTGATTTCTTCCTTCGTTGGTGGGTTGACGTCTATGGGAAGATCTGTGTGTGCCGCTTCGATGTCCGGTGGATTCATTGGAGCCGGCCTATTCAGGAGTTCCTCGAAGTATTCTACCCATCTGTTCCGCTGTTGTTGAATTTCGGTGATTGGCTTGCCTTCTTTGTCTTTGACCGGTCTCTCTGGTTTACTGTATTTTCCTGCTAGTTTCTTCGTTGTATCGTAAAGCTGTTTCATATTTCCTTCTCTAGCAGCTTTTTCTGCTGTCGTTGCTAGTTCTTCCACATATTTCTTCTTGTCGGCTCTAATGCTCCTCTTCACTTGTTTGTTTGCTTCTATGTATTCAGCTTGTGCTTGGACTTTCTCTGCTCGTGTTCGGCTGTTGTTTATTGCTGCCTTCTTGTTCTTCCTTTCTTTGATCTTGTCCAGTGTTTCTGTAGAGATCCATTCCTTATGATGGTATTTCTTTAGACCCAGAACCTCTTGACACGTTGAAGTCAATGCTTCCTTGATGCCTTTCCAGTTGTCCTCCATACTAGTTTCTTCTTCTTTCAGTAGATCTTGTAAGGCTTGGAACCTGTTGTTGAGAGCTATCTTGAATTCATTGAGTTTGTCAGTATCTCGAAGGAAGGCTGTATTGAACCTTTGTATTGCTGTTTGTCCACTTGTCCAGTTCTTTTTTAGCTTCAGTTTTAAATTGGCCACAACTAGGTGATGATCTGAAGCTACGTCAGCACCTCTCCTGGTTCTCACATCTTCCATTGTCCTTCTGAATTTTTTGTTGATGCAAATATGATCTATTTGGTTCTCTGTAGTGTGGTCCGGTGAGATCCATGTAGCCTTGTGTATACGCTTGTGTGGAAATATTGTGCCTCCTATGACCAATTTGTTGAATGCACATAGATTTGCAAATCTTTCTCCATTTTCGTTTCTTTCTCCCAGTCCATGTCGTCCCATAATATCTTCATATCCAGTGTTGTCTATTCCGACTTTGGCATTTAGATCTCCCATCAGAATAGTTAGGTCCTTCCTTGGGCATTTCTCAATAACTGACTGCAGCCGCTCGTAGAACTGATCTTTAATGTCGTCGTTGCTATCATTTGTGGGTGCATAACATTGGATAATATTCATTAAGATCCCCTCCTTCTTTGTTTTGAATGATGCTTTGATGATTCTGGATCCGTGGGATTCCCATCCTACAAGTGCATTTCGTGCTAATTTGGACAGCATAAGAGCGACTCCCTGAGTGTGTGGAGCATTGTCCTCTTCGTGACCGGAGTATAGCAGCATCTCTCCCGTAGCTAGCCTTTTCTGTCCAGCTTGGGTCCAGTGGGTTTCGCTGATTCCCAGTACTGCTAAGTTGTATCTCCTCATTTCCATTGCTATTTGACTGGTCTTCCCGGTTTCCCACATTGTTCGAACGTTCCATGTACCTATAAAAATTTTTGCTCTGGTTGTTAGAAGGGGCATCGGCCTCTTGGCTTCCGAAGGAACTCGGCTTTCACCATGTTGTATGCATATCTTAAATTAATCTCAAGCATGAGGTATGTCATCCAGTGATTTAAAAAAGCACCTCGTAGTATTGGTTATTTTAATAAAAGGTTACAGCAAAGCATTTGTTTACAGATTTATGTCATCACATTCAATGTCATCCATATGCACAGTGTGAAAATGGACAGTGTTATTGTATTGAAGGTTATATTGGTGACGGATATTACGATTGTCATGTAAGAGGTAAGGTTTATGTTTATTAACATAAACATTGTTGAATTAAACTATGGTATGGGTAAAAACTAATAATAATAACTCTTAACATTTATTGGAAAGAAATGACCGTTAAGATGATTAGGCAATTATACATAAATGTTAAACCTAACATTCATATAAGTACTATTTCATATATTCTAGTTATTCAACAGTCACATCCCTGTCAGTGCTGATTATTTTCGACAGAAAAACAAATATCTATATATGTTTTACCGATTATTTGTACATAGAAGCTGATCTTTTAGCTGAATACCTATGTGATATTTAATAATTAATTTTTATATTCGTTATATTGAATAAAATTAACACAAATATTCACTGGTAAATATGAGTGTATCATAAACTAGCATATCTACTTTATCATAATCAATGTCGCATCATACATTTTTCTATCAATACATTCATTAGTTGCTAAGCTTTTTTAGGAATTACACTTTTTAGATTATCAGTTTAGGGGTTGTGGAGATTGTTAAGTTTTTGATTGAGATCATGAACCGATTGATGTTAGACCACCACTGAAAACCTGGAAGCACTGGACGGCCGTTTTCAATGGTGGTCTAACATCAATCGGTTCATGATCTCAATCAAAAACGTTTTAGATTATCAGTAACTAAAGAATATACTTGATTTTATTTTAGATTACTTTAGATGAATGATTGAAATGCTAACAGAGTTAATGCATTAAATTTCTATAAAACTTCACTTTTATAATTAAAAAAAAAGATAAATCACTAGTTAATTTATTTCTACGGTATATCATTTGTAACATTTTAAATATTGAAAAGAAATTCAATCATTGGGGTCTGTTGTATGCATGGCAACGTCCTCCACATAGTCATTTTTATTTCTATCACAGAATTTTAAAGAATGTGTTTACAATACAAAGAAAATACTGATAATGATATTTGAATTATCTTGATTCGATTTTTCGTTTAGTGGTGTTACGAATATGTAATCTTCGTAGAAACTAGCTGCCTTTAAAAGTGACCTATACTGAGTAACGAAACATTAGAAAATCTTATTTTTCTACTCATTGGGATATTACAAATCTATCAAATTATTTATAACAATCAACCTAATTCACTTGGTATTATTTGGCTTGTATCTTCCCATATGCCGATAACAGATTGATCAATTGCAGTCTTAAACCTCAATGGGAAGATACAAGCCAAATAATACCAAGTGAATTTACATTCACCCCATTGCACAAGCAAGTGGCTATCAGGACTCAGTAGCTAAGTGGATAACGCGATGGCGTTTGAAGCGAATGGTACTGGGTTCGAGTCCCAGAGTGAACATCAACTCTGAGATGCAGGTACATCCGGCTGACGAGTCCCAAATAGGACGAAACGCGCGTCCTGGATTCCACTGCTAGCCACTATCCATCATTGCTTACAATCTATCTAATACTTAATTTATGCGAAATTATCAAGTCAAACCTTGGTAATGTTACCCATAATATTGGAAATGTTAATATCCATTTGCGGTAAATATTGATAGAACAAAAAGTGAAACAATGACTACTTGAAAGTTACACTTAGATGATACACAAAATGATAAGTAATTTCGTAACTTAATAGTTTGTAGTCATAGATTAGCAATAGTAATAGTATACAAAAAATTAAACAACCTTTCTTTTAAACTTTATTCTTCATTCCTTTAATGTTTCATCTGTAAATTAACTAAATTCACATTCTTATAAAAATCGCCTACCCATGAAGTAAATATCTTCTTGATAAATATCTGTTGAATGTAATTTTAAATTATTAAAGTATGGATCCAGTTACTTTTCTACATCTGAAGTACGCCCGCTAAATATAAAGTGAATCTAAATTCATTGAAGTAAACTGATTTATGGTGCCAGGTTTATGTTACTTTTGTGACTATCAGTTTACACAGCGTTCGCTTATTACTTGAGGACTGTTTACTGAATTTCATAAAATAAAAACAAAGTTACCTTCAACTTAATGCTTCAAAAACCAGTTTTAAAGCAACAAAGCAATTATTTCTACATTCTAAACCTCTAGATCCTTGCACTGGTGTAAAATGTCATCAATATGGAGAGTGCATCAGTGGACGATGTCATTGTCTTAGAGGATACGAAGGTGATGGGTATTATGATTGTAGGCAAACAGTTACTGGTAAGAATTTTCTGCATGCGAGTTATATAAAAATATCTATGAGCTCGTAAACTCAGATAATATCAAACGGCAATGTTCAGTTGCATGCGGTTCCCTTATTTAGTGTTAAGAAAACATGGATCGTAAAGAAAATCATTAACTATCAATACATTATAACAATGCTTTTTTCTGAAATGATACATAACTTTTATTTAGACAAGAATATGTGTACTTTATACTTTCAAAATAATGTAACTTTAAGTAAACACTATTTTATATGTAAATCAAACTCATTATTTCGATACAGTGTTATCGAAACATCACACAAAAGCGATGCTCTTAAACTGGATTCATAAATACTGTAAATTCGAGGATTAGAAATGCAAAAGATGGTCTTTAACTGGTTTAGAAAAACCTTTGTTAAAGAATAAATATGAGAAGTTCAGAGTATTCCTACTAAAAACTGAAAGATTCATTTGTGCTTCTAACTTGTCTAATTGCCATTCGTTCAAATAGTTAACGGATTGTAGGCAAAGTAAAGAAGAATGAATATAACTTAAAACAGTTCCCTACAATCTCTAAAATAAAGTAGGGCTAATCGTTCTAATTACTAAGACTGTCGCGTAAGTTGCTAAAACCATTTTTGAAACGATACGAAATATATTATGCATGAATCGGTACTAAAACAACCAAATTTTTCTTCAAAGAACTCAGTAGATAAATTAATCATTTTCATCAAGACATAAAGGAAATATGTTTATCGGAAAACGTTCCTTCATAACTATTTCAATTTAAAAATATTAAAGTCCTATTCATATATAACAAGTAAATTTATTAAGACCTCACCCCATTGTACAAGCTAGTGGCTATTTGCACTCAGTAGATAAATGCATGATATGATGGCGTTTGAGTCGCACGATGCTCTCTTTGAGTCCCAAATAGGAAAAATAAGCATCGTAGATTCCATTGTTAGCAACCATCCATCTCTGCTTATAACTCTGTTATAAATTAGAGTTTTATTAAAAAATATAGTCACATTATGAATGTAATGAATATAAGTAAACGAATTCAATAAATAAATCATTATTCCAAGCCATAAAAGACTTGAGGTCAAAAATAAAAGAAAGCAGTAAATAATTATGGTGTAACGTTTCAAAGTAGAAAAGCGTAGGGATTGAAAAGTAATAAAACAGGAATAAAATGGAAAATATTTTTTAGTTTTTCTATGACAGTAATACAGAGTACTGAAACAAGAAGGAAATAGGGTATATAAAAATGGAACTATGAAATAAACGTAGAATATTCTTTTCAAAAAATTCTCATACTGTTCTACAGCTATAAATCTAAATTCATATTACAAAGGGGAGAACCTAATCAAAGGTCAATACATCATTTACAATTACAGGTCATAAAATGTAGGATTGTTGTTAGAAAAATTTTTTTCTTTCAGATGTAATGCCCCGGCTTTCTGATTGGAATAGCTTTTGGTTCAGCTGTTTGAAGTACTCTTAGTTTAACAGGTTTGGAAAAACGACTAGTGATCCGCTACATTACTGAAAATGGCTGATCCATGTTGACTGTATTGCACGTTTTCACTAAATAAGCAAGAATTAAAGTAAAAACACTAAGTTCAGGGAAGAGATCACTTTTTAACAAATTTATCAGCAAGCTATACAGTCATATATATGAACGATTGTACAGCATGCTAACAAATTCTTTAAAAAGAGATTCCTTCTCTATGCATCTTGTTTTTAATGATTATCTAGGGATTCTACGTTCATGAAAGAATTGAGTTATTGACAGCTTTAACTACACTAGGAGATGGCCTTTTGACTGAGAACACAAATTCCCGGGTTATTTGTCAAGTTACCTTTCAATTTTAGAGTTATCATCGGACACGTGATAAACTTCATCTGTGTCTTTGACATGATGGGAATTTTCTAGCGATTAAAAATGGTATAAAACTGTCCCTAATAAAAAAATAATTAGATAATAGGACACAAAAGTGTAATCTGAAAATTTCTGAACTTTTGCAGTTTGATGACAATTAAATACCAATAGTCGAATACTGTCAAATGGTTTGTTTTCTGAACAATACTAAATTATTGTGTTTATTTAATAATGCACTTGAATAGACCATGCAAATCATAAACTAAAACTGTAAATTTGCTTATAAATAGATAGGGCTTTTTACTATAAAAATTGTCATAGATTTCGCAAACATACATGGACTTTCAACCTTTTTGTACCGGTAGATCCATGTTCAAATGTTCAATGTCATCCTAATGGTTATTGTAAAAATGGACGTTGTTTATGTTTAAACGGTTATGAAGGTGATGGTTATTATGAATGTCGTCCAGTTCATAATGGTGAGCTCATCAGTTCCTAGTATGCATCTCATAACATTATCTATACAAATAAAAGAGCATGCTCTTTCATGGAGAAATTTATTCTGAAACATAAATAAATATCAAGAGAAATGTTGGTTATTTCTCAATGAAAACTACTGTTTAAGTAGCATGAAATGAACTTGTACTCCATCTATTTGCATTGTTCTCCCGAAAATACTACTGTTTTATTCATATGGGAATAGAAAGACTAAAACTGAATTCACTTATTTCAAGCAGACATATACCTGCATGTGTCACAAACATCCTATGAAATCATTATCATAAAATATAAGTAACATGATGCATGTTAATAATTGGGAAGAGATAGATTTACATCGTCTTTTTAGGTTTCTAAAATGTTTGTCTCCTTTGTAGATCCTTGTATAGGAGTACAGTGTCATTCTAAAGCAGAATGTCAAAATGGTTACTGTCGTTGCCTGAATGGCTACGAAGGGGATGGTTTTCATTATTGTTATGTAATGCAAGATGGTAAGGACCGTAGTAAATAGTTAGAAAAACAAAATTTTCCACTTCCTTATTTCATAATTAATATACTGTTCTATGTACATTATATAGTATAGCTAAGGATAATCGGTGATATGATTGCACACCAAAAACAATTGAGTCTGAGAATATACCTACGTCTGAAAAAAACTAGGGCTGAAAAACTTAGTGCATATAAAATAAGTACAGGCTACATTTGAAAAATGAATTTTAGAATAGATTATTATTAAATATTTCATGCAGTTAGTTCCCATTACGAATTTAAATAAAGCCAGAACAAATATAGGTGCACAATAAAATGAACATATTATATTTCATGGCGATTCATCAGATCATCATCGTAAGACAATAGTTTTAATGAAATTTATAAATGATGAATCTTGTGCTTCATATAAAATATACGATAGTGATCATATTAACAAAGTGACATTTACCTACAATGAAGTCATATGGACAGCGTAAAAAACCATGTTTTGATGAGTTATAGTGCAATACTAATGCTACGATACAGAACAAACAATAAAGACCAATAAAAACGTGAAGTAAATTCAAAATTTACTACGCTATAAATCTGACACGTTAATCTCAATTATATATCACTAAGTAGATAAGACCATTTTGAAAAATGTGCTTAACATAAATGATTCTGAGTGGTTCTGAGTGTACATTCTAATGAATCATAATTATTTAATTGTAGATCCGTGTTCTAGTATGAGGTGTCATATAAACGCTAAATGCTTTGATGGTGAATGCCGATGTTTGGACGGCTATCAGGGAGATGGAAAACATTATTGTGATCCTATTCAGCAGGGTAGGAGTATGCAAATAATTCATTCTCACGTTTTATTGCATGCTGAATAGTAGGAAATTAAGTATAGTTCTGATATGAAAACGAGTTATTTTGAAACAACAGTTCTTTCTTTTGACTTCTAAACAATCGAATTTCTAATTTCAGACTATTACTTCAATCACTAAGATACAAACCAGATGTATAATCTTTTTGAATCGATGTTAATGATCTGATAGGATTATCCACTTACATATTCGGGATGCCTTTACTCACTTTTAGTGCAACTCAATTTTAGATATAAATGTTTACTGACGGATCTAAATACATATTTTTAGAAACCTTCATATATTTTCATCCTTAACTGAAATTTTATTCAATTATTCAACGTTACTAAAATGTGTTTCATTATTATGACTCATAGTCATTGAAATCATGGACGAATGACTGTGATTATTTTCCAGTATCTAACGTGTTTCAGAGTGTTAGCACGCATATTTCATGTAAACAGTGATTAATAGGCATTTCGCTCTGGTATCGAACACATCACATGTGATCAGACGATAACCTACATAGGAATAAATCACTAACACTCAGATCATGGGTTGAGCACTGGATTGTAATTTAATAAATCATTTCTATCAGAATACCTGACCGGTGAAGATGGTTATGTATAGATCAACTGAAGTATAGGTAGTAGCTTTTTACTACCACGATGAATATTTTTGTGCTCTAATAAAATAAGATATAGAATAACGATTTAGTGCTCTTCCAACACTTAGAATTATTTCCCAATCCGATTCATACTCAACTGAATATCGTTGTAAATGTGGTAATATAGGTTGAATAAATTTACATGAAGCTTTTTAATAAGTATGTAGTGATTTTTGATAGTTGAGATCATGAATCAACTGTAGCTAGACCACCATGGGAAATGTGAAAGCACTGGATGGCCTTTTTTCCCTACTGTGGGACTCCCCAGCTGTGCGCATCCGCAATCCTGCTTCGCGGCATTCGAACCCACGATGTATTGGTCTCGCGCGTGAACACTTAACCTCTGGATGTATGAAAATAAGTACAGATACGTGACAAATCCGATTACTTTATATTAATTATAATTGGTATTTCAAATCCATAAGCTTTCATTCAATATGTATGTCACACTTTTGCACGTAACAAAGCAAGTGACATTCACCTTCAAATAATTTCGCTTTACGAAATTGGAAACCATTGCTTACTTATGAGAAGCTCAACTGGTGATGCATGATATCCATTTAATTAATGAAAAGTGGATCATCACACTAATATATGTATTATAGTGAATGTATTAAAGGAAGAAAGCTTTTGTTTACACAACTATTTTCCTTTAATTATTACTTCACCACAGGTAAAATGCCATTTAATAGAGAAGTGAAATATCCGAAGGGTGTGAAAATCTCGACAGTATATCAAAAGCTGTTTTCGTTTCTATGTATAATTCCGTGTGGTAGATAACTGAATCACTCCTGACACTGATGACTAAATGACTGACCCAAACTTCAGGAAATCCATATAGAAGGTGATTTTTGAAAACTACAGGATTGTTATTAATTAAGCAGTTTGTAGAGATTTGTTTTACGCAAATAAAGTTAGGCTTTTTGTGTTTACATTCAGTGGTGTGTAAGTATCATGCTAACCACAAAACCTACAGCTCCGTGCTATAACTCCATGTACAGTTTTGAGTCCATAATATTGGAACAGTCCCAAACCTTCCTGAAACACACGCTCCTTGCTTTCTCGTTAATCATATTTCTTTATATAGTCTCAGTCATCTGTTTACGTTTGTGTACATTAAAATGCTCCTAGAACTAATTAAATATAAAACGTAGATGCGACAAATTCATGTAGGTGATAAATCTATCAGTTGAATATTGACATGCAAACTAACACCTCTTAAAACTACTATATTTTACACAGACCAGTGTCAAAATATTCGTTGTCATGAGTTTGCAAACTGTCAAAATGGTAGATGTCAATGTAATGCAGGTTATGAAGGAGATGGTTACTGGGAATGTAAATCCATAAAAAGTGGTAAGATACAAAGATAATTTACTGTAATAGGAGCTTAAAATATTACTAAAACCCCTGCATCATGTTTTCGCATGAGTATTTGTGCATAACTTTTGAATAACTTTTATTTATTAAGGAATAAGTGAAATGTTTATAATCAAAGTTTATCCGATGTTTGTAGCAAATTTTAGTTGAGATAGTGTCATTATGAATGCCTGTCTCTTCAATTTCTGTATCTTGACTGAATAAAAATCCCTAATTTTGAATGGATAGAGACTTGACAGTTGTGTGAAAATTTATATTCATATGTTTGCTATCGGATATTTCCTTTGAATTTTCCCCAATGGCACTACGCAAACAGAGATTTTACTGAAGTTCATTATTGAGAAGCTCAAATTCTGAGACGCTCATCTCAATTATATATCACTAAGTAGATAAGACCATTTTGAAAAATGTGCTTAACATAAATGATTCTGAGTGATTCTGAGTGTACATTCTAATGAATCATAATTATTTAATTGTAGATCCGTGTTCTAGTATGAGGTGTCATATAAACGCTAAATGCTTTGATGGTGAATGCCGATGTTTGGACGGCTATCAGGGAGATGGAAAACATTATTGTGATCCTATTCAGCAGGGTAGGAGTATGCAAATAATTCATTCTCACGTTTTATTGCATGCTGAATAGTAGGAAATTAAGTATAGTTCTGATATGAAAACGAGTTATTTTGAAACAACAGTTCTTTCTTTTGACTTCTAAACAATCGAATTTCTAATTTCAGACTATTACTTCAATCACTAAGATACAAACCAGATGTATAATCTTTTTCAATCGATGTTAATGATCTGATAGGATTATCCACTTACATATTCGGGATGCCTTTACTCACTTTTAGTGCAACTCAATTTTAGATATAAATGTTTACTGACGGATCTAAATACATATTTTTAGAAACCTTCATATATTTTCATCCTTAACTGAAATTTTATTCAATTATTCAACGTTACTAAAATGTGTTTCATTATTATGACTCATAGTCATTGAAATCATAAACGAATGACTGTGATTATTTTCCAGTATCTAACGTGTTTCAGAGTGTTAGCACGCATATTTCATGTAAACAGTGATTAATAGGCATTTCGCTCTGGTATCGAACACATCACATGTGATCAGACGATAACCTACATAGGAATAAATCACTAACACTCAGATCATGGGTTGAGCACTGGATTGTAATTTAATAAATCATTTCTATCAGAATACCTGACCGGTGAAGATGGTTATGTATAGATCAACTGAAGTATAGGTAGTAGCTTTTTACTACCACGATGAATATTTTTGTGCTCTAATAAAATAAGATATAGAATAACGATTTAGTGCTCTTCCAACACTTAGAATTATTTCCCAATCCGATTCATACTCAACTGAATATCGTTGTAAATGTGGTAATATAGGTTGAATAAATTTACATGAAGCTTTTTAATAAGTATGTAGTGATTGTTGATAGTTGAGATCATGAATCAACTGTAGCTAGACCACCATGGGAAATGTGGAAGCACTGGATGGCCTTTTTTCCCTACTGTGGGACTCCCCAGCTGTGCGCATCCGCAATCCTGCTTCGCGGCATTCGAACCCACGATGTATTGGTCTCGCGCGTGAACACTTAACCTCTGGATGTATGAAAATAAGTACAGATACGTGACAAATCCGATTACTTTATATTAATTATAATTGGTATTTCAAATCCATAAGCTTTCATTCAATATGTATGTCACACTTTTGTACGTAACAAAGCAAGTGACATTCACCTTCAAATGATTTCGCTTTACGAAATTGGAAACCATTGCTTACTTATGAGAAGCTCAACTGGTGGTGCATGATATCCATTTTATTAATGAAAAGTGGATCATCACACTAATATATGTATTATAGTGAATGTATTAAAGGAAGAAAGCTTTTGTTTACACAACTATTTTCCTTTAATTATTACTTCACCACAGGTAAAATGCCATTTAATAGAGAAGTGAAATATCCGAAGGGTGTGAAAATCTCGACAGTATATCAAAAGCTGTTTTCGTTTCTATGTATAATTCCGTGTGGTAGATAACTGAATCACTCCTGACACTGATGACTAAATGACTGACCCAAACTTCAGGAAATCCATATAGAAGGTGATTTTTGAAAACTACAGGATTGTTATTAATTAAGCAGTTTGTAGAGATTTGTTTTACGCAAATAAAGTTAGGCTTTTTGTGTTTACATTCAGTGGTGTGTAAGTATCATGCTAACCACAAAACCTACAGCTCCGTGCTATAACTCCATGTACAGTTTTGAGTCCATAATATTGGAACAGTCCCAAACCTTCCTGAAACACACGCTCCTTGCTTTCTCGTTAATCATATTTCTTTATATAGTCTCAGTCATCTGTTTACGTTTGTGTACATTAAAATGCTCCTAGAACTAATTAAATATAAAACGTAGATGCGACAAATTCATGTAGGTGATAAATCTATCAGTTGAATATTGACATGCAAACTAACACCTCTTAAAACTACTATATTTTACACAGACCAGTGTCAAAATATTCGTTGTCATGAGTTTGCAAACTGTCAAAATGGTAGATGTCAATGTAATGCAGGTTATGAAGGAGATGGTTACTGGGAATGTAAATCCATAAAAAGTGGTAAGATACAAAGATAATTTACTGTAATAGGAGCTTAAAATATTACTAAAACCCCTGCATCATGTTTTCGCATGAGTATTTGTGCATAACTTTTGAATAACTTTTATTTATTAAGGAATAAGTGAAATGTTTATAATCAAAGTTTACCCGATGTTTGTAGCAAATTTTAGTTGAGATAGTGTCATTATGAATGCCTGTCTCTTCAATTTCTGTATCTTGACTGAATAAAAATCCCTAATTTTGAATGGATAGAGACTTGACAGTTGTGTGAAAATTTATATTCATATGTTTGCTATCGGATATTTCCTTTGAATTTTCCCCAATGGCACTACGCAAACAGAGATTTTACTGAAGTTCATTATTGAGAAGCTCAAATTCTGAGACGCTCATCTCAATTATATATCACTAAGTAGATAAGACCATTTTGAAAAATGTGCTTAACATAAATGATTCTGAGTGATTCTTAGTGTACATTCTAATGAATCATAATTATTTAATTGTAGATCCGTGTTCTAGTATGAGGTGTCATATAAACGCTAAATGCTTTGATGGTGAATGCCGATGTTTGGACGGCTATCAGGGAGATGGAAAACATTATTGTGATCCTATTCAGCAGGGTAGGAGTATGCAAATAATTCATTCTCACGTTTTATTGCATGCTGAATAGTAGGAAATTAAGTATAGTTCTGATATGAAAACGAGTTATTTTGAAACCACAGTTCTTTCTTTTGACTTCTAAACAATCGAATTTCTAATTTCAGACTATTACTTCAATCACTAAGATACAAACCAGAGGTATAATCTTTTTGAATCGATGTTAATGATCTGATAGGATTATCCACTTACATATTTTCGGGATGCCTTTACTCACTTTTAGTGCAACTCAATTTTAGATATAAATGTTTACTGACGGATCTAAATACATATTTTTAGAAACCTTCATATATTTTGATCCTTAACTGAAATTTTATTCAATTATTCAACGTTACTAAAATGTGTTTCATTATTATGACTCATAGTCATTGAAATCATAAACGAATGACTGTGATTATTTTCCAGTATCTAACGTGTTTCAGAGTGTTAGCACGCATATTTCATGTAAACAGTGATTAATAGGCATTTCGCTCTGGTATCGAACACATCACATGTGATCAGACGATAACCTACATAGGAATAAATCACTAACACTCAGATCATGGGTTGAGCACTGGATTATAATTTAATAAATCATTTCTATCAGAATACCTGACCGGTGAAGATGGTTATGTATAGATCAACTGAAGTATAGGTAGTAGCTTTTTACTACCACGATGAATATTTTTGTGCTCTAATAAAATAAGATATAGAATAACGATTTAGTGCTCTTCCAACACTTAGAATTATTTCCCAATCCGATTCATACTCAACTGAATATCGTTGTAAATGTGGTAATATAGGTTGAATAAATTTACATGAAGCTTTTTAATAAGTATGTAGTGAATTTTGATAGTTGAGATCATGAATCAACTGTAGCTAGACCACCATGGGAAATGTGGAAGCACTGGATGGCCTTTTTTCCCTACTGTGGGACTCCCCAGCTGTGCGCATCCGCAATCCTGCTTCGCGGCATTCGAACCCACGATGTATTGGTCTCGCGCGTGAACACTTAACCTCTGGATGTATGAAAATAAGTACAGATACGTGACAAATCCGATTACTTTATATTAATTATAATTGGTATTTCAAATCCATAAGCTTTCATTCAATATGTATGTCACACTTTTGCACGTAACAAAGCAAGTGACATTCACCATCAAATGATTTCGCTTTACGAAATTGGAAACCATTGCTTACTTATGAGAAGCTCAACTGGTGGTGCATGATATCCATTTTATTAATGAAAAGTGGATCATCACACTAATATATGTATTATAGTGAATGTATTAAAGGAAGAAAGCTTTTGTTTACACAACTATTTTCCTTTAATTATTACTTCACCACAGGTAAAATGCCATTTAATAGAGAAGTGAAATATCCGAAGGGTGTGAAAATCTCGACAGTATATCAAAAGCTGTTTTCGTTTCTATGTATAATTCCGTGTGGTAGATAACTGAATCACTCCTGACACTGATGACTAAATGACTGACCCAAACTTCAGGAAATCCATATAGAAGGTGATTTTTGAAAACTACAGGATTGTTATTAATTAAGCAGTTTGTAGAGATTTGTTTTACGCAAATAAAGTTAGGCTTTTTGTGTTTACATTCAGTGGTGTGTAAGTATCATGCTAACCACAAAACCTACAGCTCCGTGCTATAACTCCATGTACAGTTTTGAGTCCATAATATTGGAACAGTCCCAAACCTTCCTGAAACACACGCTCCTTGCTTTCTCGTTAATCATATTTCTTTATATAGTCTCAGTCATCTGTTTACGTTTGTGTACATTAAAATGCTCCTAGAACTAATTAAATATAAAACGTAGATGCGACAAATTCATGTAGGTGATAAATCTATCAGTTGAATATTGACATGCAAACTAACACCTCTTAAAACTACTATATTTTACACAGACCAGTGTCAAAATATTCGTTGTCATGAGTTTGCAAACTGTCAAAATGGTAGATGTCAATGTAATGCAGGTTATGAAGGAGATGGTTACTGGGAATGTAAATCCATAAAAAGTGGTAAGATACAAAGATAATTTACTGTAATAGGAGCTTAAAATATTACTAAAACCCCTGCATCATGTTTTCGCATGAGTATTTGTGCATAACTTTTGAATAACTTTTATTTATTAAGGAATAAGTGAAATGTTTATAATCAAAGTTTATCCGATGTTTGTAGCAAATTTTAGTTGAGATAGTGTCGTTATGAATGCCTGTCTCTTCAATTTCTGTATCTTGACTGAATAAAAATCCCTAATTTTGAATGGATAGAGACTTGACAGTTGTGTGAAAATTTATATTCATATGTTTGCTATCGGATATTTCCTTTGAATTTTCCCCAATGGCACTACGCAAACAGAGATTTTACTGAAGTTCATTATTGAGAAGCTCAAATTCTGAGACGCTCATCTCAATTATATATCACTAAGTAGATAAGACCATTTTGAAAAATGTGCTTAACATAAATGATTCTGAGTGATTCTTAGTGTACATTCTAATGAATCATAATTATTTAATTGTAGATCCGTGTTCTAGTATGAGGTGTCATATAAACGCTAAATGCTTTGATGGTGAATGCCGATGTTTGGACGGCTATCAGGGAGATGGAAAACATTATTGTGATCCTATTCAGCAGGGTAGGAGTATGCAAATAATTCATTCTCACGTTTTATTGCATGCTGAATAGTAGGAAATTAAGTATAGTTCTGATATGAAAACGAGTTATTTTGAAACCACAGTTCTTTCTTTTGACTTCTAAACAATCGAATTTCTAATTTCAGACTATTACTTCAATCACTAAGATACAAACCAGAGGTATAATCTTTTTCAATCGATGTTAATGATCTGATAGGATTATCCACTTACATATTTTCGGGATGCCTTTACTCACTTTTAGTGCAACTCAATTTTAGATATAAATGTTTACTGACGGATCTAAATACATATTTTTAGAAACCTTCATATATTTTCATCCTTAACTGAAATTTTATTCAATTATTCAACGTTACTAAAATGTGTTTCATTATTATGACTCATAGTCATTGAAATCATAGACGAATGACTGTGATTATTTTCCAGTATCTAACGTGTTTCAGAGTGTTAGCACGCATATTTCATGTAAACAGTGATTAATAGGCATTTCGCTCTGGTATCGAACACATCACATGTGATCAGACGATAACCTACATAGGAATAAATCACTAACACTCAGATCATGGGTTGAGCACTGGATTGTAATTTAATAAATCATTTCTATCAGAATACCTGACCGGTGAAGATGGTTATGTATAGATCAACTGAAGTATAGGTAGTAGCTTTTTACTACCACGATGAATATTTTTGTGCTCTAATAAAATAAGATATAGAATAACGATTTAGTGCTCTTCCAACACTTAGAATTATTTCCCAATCCGATTCATACTCAACTGAATATCGTTGTAAATGTGGTAATATAGGTTGAATAAATTTACATGAAGCTTTTTAATAAGTATGTAGTGATTTTTGATAGTTGAGATCATGAATCAACTGTAGCTAGACCACCATGGGAAATGTGAAAGCACTGGATGGCCTTTTTTCCCTACTGTGGGACTCCCCAGCTGTGCGCATCCACAATCCTGCTTCGCGGCATTCGAACCCGCGATGTATTGGTCTCGCGCGTGAACACTTAACCTCTGGATGTATGAAAATAAGTACAGATACGTGACAAATCCGATTACTTTATATTAATTATAATTGGTATTTCAAATCCATAAGCTTTCATTCAATATGTATGTCACACTTTTGTACGTAACAAAGCAAGTGACATTCACCTTCAAATGATTTCGCTTTACGATATTGGAAACCATTGCTTACTTATGAGAAGCTCAACTGGTGGTGCATGATATCCATTTTATTAATGAAAAGTGGATCATCACACTAATATATGTATTATAGTGAATGTATTAAAGGAAGAAAGCTTTTGTTTACACAACTATTTTCCTTTAATTATTACTTCACCACAGGTAAAATGCCATTTAATAGAGAAGTGAAATATCCGAAGGGTGTGAAAATCTCGACAGTATATCAAAAGCTGTTTTCGTTTCTATGTATAATTCCGTGTGGTAGATAACTGAATCACTCCTGACACTGATGACTAAATGACTGACCCAAACTTCAGGAAATCCATATAGAAGGTGATTTTTGAAAACTACAGGATTGTTATTAATTAAGCAGTTTGTAGAGATTTGTTTTACGCAAATAAAGTTAGGCTTTTTGTGTTTACATTCAGTGGTGTGTAAGTATCATGCTAACCACAAAACCTACAGCTCCGTGCTATAACTCCATGTACAGTTTTGAGTCCATAATATTGGAACAGTCCCAAACCTTCCTGAAACACACTCTCTTTGCTTTCTCGTTAATCATATTTCTTTATATAGTCTCAGTCATCTGTTTACGTTTGTGTACATTAAAATGCTCCTAGAACTAATTAAATATAAAACGTAGATGCGACAAATTCATGTAGGTGATAAATCTATCAGTTGAATATTGACATGCAAACTAACACCTCTTAAAACTACTATATTTTACACAGACCAGTGTCAAAATATTCGTTGTCATGAGTTTGCAAACTGTCAAAATGGTAGATGTCAATGTAATGCAGGTTATGAAGGAGATGGTTACTGGGAATGTAAATCCATAAAAAGTGGTAAGATACAAAGATAATTTACTGTAATAGGAGCTTAAAATATTACTAAAACCCCTGCATCATGTTTTCGCATGAGTATTTGTGCATAACTTTTGAATAACTTTTATTTATTAAGGAATAAGTGAAATGTTTATAATCAAAGTTTATCCGATGTTTGTAGCAAATTTTAGTTGAGATAGTGTCATTATGAATGCCTGTCTCTTCAATTTCTGTATCTTGACTGAATAATAATCCCTAATTTTGAATGGTTAGAGACTTGACAATTGTGTGAAAATTTATATTCATATGTTTGCTATCGGATATTTCCTTTGAATTTTTCCCAATGGCACTACGCAAACAGAGATTTTACTGAAGTTCATTATTGAGAAGCTCGAATTCTGAGACACTAATCTCAATTATATATCACTAAGTAGATAAGACCATTTTGAAAAATGTGCTTAACATAAATGATTCTGAGTGATTCTGAGTGTACATTCTAATGAATCATAATTATTTAATTGTAGATCCGTGTTCTAGTATGAGATGTCATATAAACGCTAAATGCTTTGATGGTGAATGCCGATGTTTGGACGGCTATCAGGGAGATGGAAAACATTATTGTGATCCTATTCAGCAGGGTAGGAGTATGCAAATAATTCATTCTCACGTTTTATTGCATGCTGAATAGTAGGAAATTAAGTATAGTTCTGATATGAAAACGAGTTATTTTGAAACAACAGTTCTTTCTTTTGACTTCTAAACAATCGAATTTCTAATTTCAGACTATTACTTCAATCACTAAGATACAAACCAGATGTATAATCTTTTTGAATCGATGTTAATGATCTGATAGGATTATCCACTTACATATTCGGGATGCCTTTACTCACTTTTAGTGCAACTCAATTTTAGATATAAATGTTTACTGACGGATCTAAATACATATTTTTAGAAACCTTCATATATTTTCATCCTTAACTGAAATTTTATTCAATTATTCAACGTTACTAAAATGTGTTTCATTATTATGACTCATAGTCATTGAAATCATAGACGAATGACTGTGATTATTTTCCAGTATCTAACGTGTTTCAGAGTGTTAGCACGCATATTTCATGTAAACAGTGATTAATAGGCATTTCGCTCTGGTATCGAACACATCACATGTGATCAGACGATAACCTACATAGGAATAAATCACTAACACTCAGATCATGGGTTGAGCACTGAGTTGTAATCTAATAAATCATTTCTATCAGAATACCTGACCGGTGAAGATGGTTATGTATAGATCAACTGAAGTATAGGTAGTAGCTTTTTACTACCACGATGAATATTTTTGTGCTCTAATAAAATAAGATATAGAATAACGATTTAGTGCTCTTCCAACACTTAGAATTATTTCCCAATCCGATTCATACTCAACTGAATATCGTTGTAAATGTGGTAATATAGGTTGAATAAATTTACATGAAGCTTTTTAATAAGTATGTAGTGATTTTTGATAGTTGAGATCATGAATCAACTGTAGCTAGACCACCATGGGAAATGTGAAAGCACTGGATGGCCTTTTTTCCCTACTGTGGGACTCCCCAGCTGTGCGCATCCGCAATCCTGCTTCGCGGCATTCGAACCCACGATGTATTGGTCTCGCGCGTGAACACTTAACCTCTGGATGTATGAAAATAAGTACAGATACGTGACAAATCCGATTACTTTATATTAATTATAATTGGTATTTCAAATCCATAAGCTTTCATTCAATATGTATGTCACACTTTTGTACGTAACAAAGCAAGTGACATTCACCTTCAAATGATTTCGCTTTACGATATTGGAAACCATTGCTTACTTATGAGAAGCTCAACTGGTGGTGCATGATATCCATTTTATTAATGAAAAATGGATCATCAAACTAATATATGTATTATAGTGAATGTATTAAAGGAAGAAAGCTTTTGTTTACACAACTATTTTCCTTTAATTATTACTTCACCACAGGTAAAATGCCATTTAATAGAGAAGTGAAATATCCGAAGGGTGTGAAAATCTCGACAGTATATCAAAAGCTGTTTTCGTTTCTATGTATAATTCCGTGTGGTAGATAACTGAATCACTCCTGACACTGATGACTAAATGACTGACCCAAACTTAAGGAAATCCATATAGAAGGTGATTTTTGAAAACTACAGGATTGTTATTAATTAAGCAGTTTGTAGAGATTTGTTTTACGCAAATAAAGTTAGGCTTTTTGTGTTTACATTCAGTGGTGTGTAAGTATCATGCTAACCACAAAACCTACAGCTCCGTGCTATAACTCCATGTACAGTTTGGAGTCCATAATATTGGAACAGTCCCAAACCTTCCTGAAACACACTCTCTTTGCTTTCTCGTTAATCATATTTCTTTATATAGTCTCAGTCATCTGTTTACGTTTGTGTACATTAAAATGCTCCTAGAACTAATTAAATATAAAACGTAGATGCGACAAATTCATGTAGGTGATAAATCTATCAATTGAATATTGACATGCAAACTAACACCTCTTAAAACTACTATATTTTACACAGACCAGTGTCAAAATATTCGTTGTCATGAGTTTGCAAACTGTCAAAATGGTAGATGTCAATGTAATGCAGGTTATGAAGGAGATGGTTACTGGGAATGTAAATCCATAAAAAGTGGTAAGATACAAAGATAATTTACTGTAATAGGAGCTTAAAATATTACTAAAACCCCTGCATCATGTTTTCGCATGAGTATTTGTGCATAACTTTTGAATAACTTTTATTTATTAAGGAATAAGTGAAATGTTTATAATCAAAGTTTATCCGATGTTTGTAGCAAATTTTAGTTGAGATAGTGTCATTATGAATGCCTGTCTCTTCAATTTCTGTATCTTGACTGAATAATAATCCCTAATTTTGAATGGTTAGAGACTTGACAATTGTGTGAAAATTTATATTCATATGTTTGCTATCGGATATTTCCTTTGAAATTTTCTCAGTGGCACTAGGGCATATCTTTCTTTTTCGAAATTTCCCTCAACTTCTCCCTGTGTTACTGTAACGCTGTTTCATGTGCTCTCGTGTTGTGGTTTTCATCGCATCTTCTATTGATTTATTTACCTGTTCTCTTATGTTTGATCGATCGTTTTGGTTTTGCTTTCCCCACAAGTTAAACTAAATATATAACATAATTCAATATTATGTTGGACGTGAGCCTTGACTATACTGAATTCTATTAATGGCTTTATTATATTGTGTGTATGATGAACTCTATATTCTTGAAGAGTGTTTAGTTTGATGTATAGAACCGTTTCTCATTATATATATAATCTTTGGCATGCAAATGAATTATTTATTAGTTGAAATACTCACCCAATTATCTTGTTAAAGACCTTTGCAAATATGTTCGATGTCATGAAAATGCAAAATGCAATGAACAAGGTAAATGTCAGTGTCTTGATGGTTATTCGGGAGATGGATACTATGAATGTCAGAAAAGTTCACAAGGTGAGTTATTTTACTGTCACCGAACTAGATGATCTTGTATAATGAATACATATTAGTGTTCACTATGTACACAGGCTTAACGAAATATTTGCTTCTGATTTTTAATTCCGTTATAATCATTGAAGAAAATCTCATATGTTTAAGCGCTATTCTACAAAATCTAGTCAGTGATGAGTACCGAGGTTTTCACAAATAATTTCGAAGCTGGTGACTACAGTAAATTTCATATAATCTCATATCTCAGACTCAGATCAATAATTTATGGTTTGATTAACACAGTCTTGCTGGTTATTGTTTTTAGCTTTAAAGGCTATCCATTATGTTAGTGTATTTTGATATTATATAAATATATATAAGCCATTTTATTTGAAAATTCATAACATTTAAGTACTCCTATCTATTCTTACTCCTAAATTATTTTCCTATGATCACTTATCTAACATATAATTGTTTGAATTGTATGATACCATCCGATTATTATATACATTATTCCATGGTTGTTTTATATTTATAGATGATAGCCTAATGAGAATAATAATGATAAACCGAAACGTTGATTGACAAAAATATAACAGTAAGGTTGTAAAAACTTCGAGTCCCATAGAAAACATCGGCTTCCTTACGTTGCAGATGCACCTTACTGATGTATTACTAATATCATAAAACCATCTAACATAAATTACTAACTAAATGTTTATGTTGTTTTAAATTCTTAGACCGTTAATGAATAAAGAGATTACTTTTGTAACCTATCGATTTTATACCATTACCTGAGAAAATTAATCTTAAATATGTATCGCATTATTTTCTAACCGATTCTGTTTCGTTAAATTCTATACCGACTTTTTCATTCGATGGTACGCCTACTCATGATACTAATTTTCCTGAACTAAGCAGTCTGTGTTATATAAATAAATATATCTGTGATATAATTAAACCAGATTATTTTATGGTTTCGTCCATTTATCTTATCTTGATTACTAATTATACTTGTCAGATTTTGCCCGTTCTGTAAAGATTTTATTTTCGGTAAAATAGTATGACGCTCGGATGACTTGAATGTTTTTTTATGTTACTGCAGATTGTTTTATAGATCACTGTAGAAGTAACCATCCCACACTGTAAAAGACACAAAAGGAATGTATTTATATTTGCAGCTTGTCATTAATTATTAAGGGATAAAAACCGTTACTACGCGAACATCTGTAACTAGGCCTTGTATTTTTGATGGTAGCTACATTCGTTCCGCTTATTCTGTTCAGGAATTTTTGTTTTATTTTGAAATACCGAAACTCATAGATTTAAATGCTTAATAGAAAGTGTTTGGTCTAAGGATGCTACTACTCTATCAAATCGTTCTATTAATAACTTGAAAGTATTAGTTTTGATTTATTCTGAGTTTTTTTGAAAACTTTAGTACAATTTTTTGAACACTTTAATTGTGTAATGTCGAAGAAACGATGAAATAAAGCTGAAGTTTAGTTGTCAGTTAATTTCTTTGCTACTTTTTTGAATATATTACAATAAGGCACAATCTGATACACTTTATTTTAGATTTCTTAAGTTCCAGAATAGACAACGAAAATATGCATAGAACAGTTAACTAAAATAGAATAATTTATCCCTTACATAACAGACTATCATTTTGCAAAACATTTCATTCAAATCATTACCTTATTGTTATTACTCAATATTTGAGCCCAAAATCTATACAATCACGAAATCTCAAAACATTTCTAAGTAATTTAAGTGGTTCTACTAACGTTATATTTGTCTAGACCACGTCAAAACAAATAGACAAAAAACAGAAATAAATCATCTTTCGGTACCCAAGAGACCGTATCATCTATATCATTTAATATCACATGTAACACTCCAAGAAAACAAAATGCTTAATCTACTCTATTTTTTGAAAAAAAACACATTTTTCTTTCAATAGTTGAAATCATGAGTCAATTGAAGCTAGACCACCATGGAAAGCTTGGAAGCACTGGGCGGCAATTTCGTCCTAGTATGAGACTGTTGAAATTACTAAAGATATCCACGAAACCCCTTCTGATAATAATCAACTGCTCACTAGTGATTGACTTCAAGAGGTATATCCTGGAGTTCTAGTGAGAAGCAGTGACCAGTGGAATTCAACGAAGTCTGTTGTCAGGTATCAGCTCACTGAAGACAATGGTGACGGTGGCGCACTTTTGTGGATTAGTTGAAGTTAGACATTAACACCGTTGGATACCAACCAGATCAGTGGTCTTGTGGTTAAGTGATCGCGCACGAGACTGTTAGTTCCTGGGTTCGAATCTCGCGGGGGGCGAGATCGTGGATGCGCACTGCTGAGGAATCCCACAATAGGACGAAACAGCCATCCAGTGCTTCCAGGTTTTGCATGATGGTCTAGCTTCAAGTGACTCATGATCTCAACTATTGAAATTACTGAAAAATCTCCATAAAACCACTTCAAATTTTTAAAAATTGTTTTATTCACCTAGATAATTTTTTTGTTTATTGTATGCGATGAAACGTTTTTATAAAGAAAATAATACTGGAGATTAAATTGTATAAAAATGAATTCAAAGTTACCGTTTAAAGATCTCCATCATATTAAACGAAGAATATTTAAACGATAAATTCACTTCAGATTCTAGAATTCATATATCCAAATTAATAATCCGAATAATGGCCAGGTTAAGGGTAAAATGCATCATTTACAGTTAAAGCATGTGAATTTAGGATTAGCAAATAAAATAGAATATATTTGTTAATATTGATATGACATATAGAATGTTAACTTAAATCTGCTTGTATGTTAAGTGAAATGTTAAAATCCATGATTAGAATAAATATGGGTCAGATAAGGTGAGAGAAATAATAGTGCAATTGCAATTTGATCAAATGTTTAGTGGAAGACAATGTTGTGTAAAAAATTATTAGTAAGACATAATAAGGTGGGATGAATGAAAAGTAAATGAATCATGTATTTGGGATATCAATAATCATGTTTAACCAATAGTAATAATAATAATAGTACAAAGATTTGTGAATAAAGATAACAGATAATTACATTTGATTACGAAAGGTCGTAAGTACAATAGTCACTTAAAATATAAAAAGATCCAAGTTAACATCCTAAATGAGTCATATAAACATTAACAATTTTCAGTATAAGGTTGTGGAGAATATTAAGTTTTTGATTAAGACCATGAACTGATTGATGATAGACCAACATTGAAAACCTGGAAGCACTGTACGGCCGTTTCGTCCTATTGCGGGACTTTTCAAATACTAACACCGTTGGATGCTGGCTCAGTAGTCTAGAGGTTAATCATTCTCGCGCGAGACTGAAGGCCCTGAGTTCGATTCCTGCGAGCGGGATCATGGATAAGTACTACTGAGGTTTTCAATGTTGGTCTAACATCAATCGGTTTATGATCTCAATCAATAACCACTTTATCCTATTTTGTTTGACCATCCTAAATTAACATGCTTTAACTTTAAATGATTCAATTTACCCTTAACCTGGTCATTTATCGATTTGGAAATATCATTGTAGAACCTAAAGAGAATTAATCGATAAGAATATTAATTTCTCAAAAGTTATCATTAATCTGTAGAATTATGATCTACTATGATATTAGTACTGCTCTAATAATAGACCTAATCCTAAATTTGTAGATTTGTCATGATATGACTGCCTAATCTATAAGATCTTACGTGGAAGTTACACCATCGACTACACCAACTCACTGTATCGTATCAATTACCAATACATGATGTAGAACAAGGTTAGGTTAGAGAAAGAACAATATATTTAATATGAATAGAAGATATAAGGTAACATTCAGCAGAGACCACACCTGCATGGCCGAGCCATGCCGTTCGATCAACTCTAATCTATTCAATTCATTATTCGCGCCTTCTCCATCGTTAGGTATTTCTTCGCGTTAAATATTGAATACCTATTTTCCGAGTAATCTCGTATTCAGCTTTGAGGATTGTGTGGTTATGGTCCAATGCCACTACAAATCTACTACTTTAAAACTTGTTATTGTTTTAAATATTTTCAGCTTGAGTTTTGTTAACTCAAAACATGATAAACACGTTTTATTTTGATGGAGTTTTGTTCTCTGAACACCATGACCAAACTATCCAGTTCAGAGAACAAAATTCCATTCAAATAATCTATTTGAGCTACAAATATTCTCCACGTTTTATTTCAGAATTAAAATTTTCAGTTTGATCTCATACTTTTAATGTTGATTTGTTGAACTTTATTTCATTTATCAACAGTTTATAGGTTTACACGTTGAATAACGAATGAAATTACTACATTCCAGTGTCATAAAAAAGTATATTCTCCTAGACGAATTACACATTATGTTTCATAATTACTTGTTCTTGGTTAATAGTGAAGACTTAATTACAATAGACATTCGTATTGCCTATCACTTTTGTTTAACTAAGAAATTTAATACTTTTATAGAGGACAGTCATTTGAATAAATATTGTCTTTTATCATGAAATTTTTTTCTTACTGAAGTAACGGTTTACTTAGTTTTTACTATGAATTTGATAATCAGGAAGAAATAATTGTATTGAACTCCTTTGTTTTTATATTCGTTTTTATGAATGTTTTTAGCACTTAATGATTCATTTTACGTAAAAACCAAATTATTAAATAATATTGGAAAGGGGGTTTTGTGGAGATTTTAGTCATTTTAATAGTTGAATTCATAAGCCAAGTGAAGCTAGACTCCAGCATGAAAAACCTGAAAGCATTGGACGGCCGTTACATCCTAGTATGGGACTCCTCAGCAGTGTGCATCTGTAACCCCGACCCACAAGATCCGAACCCAGGACTTATCAGTCTCGCGCCCGAACGCTTAGACCTTTAGACCTTCTGATAATAATCATCGTATGCCCACTAGTGACTGCCTTCAAGAGGTATATTCTGGAGTTCAAGTGAGAAGTAGTGAGCAGTGGAGTTCAACCGGTCTGTGATGAGATAGTAACTCATTGAAGACAATGGTGAACGGTGACTCAATTTTATGGATTGGCTCAGTGGTCTAACGGATAAGCGTTCATGCACGAGACTGATATTTCCTGAGTTCAAATCCTGCTGGGCGGAATCGTGGATGCGCACCGCTGAGGAGTCTCGTACTAGGACGAAACAGATGTCCAATGCTTCCAGGTTTTGCATGATGGCCTAGCTTTAATTGACTCATGATCTCAACCACTAAAATTATTAAATAATAAATATTGAACTTATTATTTGTTGCATGATAAAAGCCCTGATTTCCATTTTTTTTAAAATTGATTTTGTAACATTTAGAATTGAATGATAAACAAAACGATATTTTATCATTATAAGTCCCACTTTACATTAAAATACTCTTTTAACTAAACTTCCTTACTAATTTTAAAGAAAATACTTTTTAACACATTAGAAATCCTTTAAGCTCAATTCTCATAGTATCTGGTTTTAATTTCTAGATTAGTGAATTCATAAATGATGTACAATTTTCTTGTAGATTTTAATTTATTCTAGATTTACTGTAGATTGCTTTGATTGTTTGCAAATGATAAACATTGTCCATGCTTTCAACTTTAACTTCTACATTTATCTCATATTAATTGAAACATATTAATGACGATGTAAATACATGATAATATTATTCATATAGATCTTAATGTTTGGTTCTTCTAAAGAAGAACACACTATTCACTTAAGTATTTATACCACATTACTTATATTTTTACTTAATAATTTTTCTAACTTGCCATTCGTCATAATTCCAAAAAAATCTATTAAATTTCTAAAGAGAACCAATAATTGTTTTGAATGCCAATCTTAAATATTACAGAGTTATGCGCTGGTGTTCAATGTCATCGTTTTGGTCAATGTTATGAAAATCGATGCTACTGTAGTCATGGATACGTTGGGGATGGGGTTAACTTTTGTGATGCACGTGCAAACGGTAGGTTTTAATTTGATTTGATATCCCTTTTTATGATTGAATATTTGTAAGTTTGAAATAATTTAATACATTGGTGGATAGTATTTAGATATCAGTTATAAATAAACTCAAGTTTAGTTTACCCTGATGTTATTTAAGTTGTCAATTCATTTGATGAAATGTATTTGGTGCTTTCAAGCTGAAAATTCTCAAAATACTGCAAGTAGAGCTGTTTAAATTTTGGGTTTCATGACTGTGAATAAATGTTTATGTTATAATGAAGAATAACTTGAAACTTCAACGAGAAATCGTGAACAGTTTGACTCAAGCAAGATTATGAAAATGGTGAACAAGGATTTCTTTAACATCCAAAACAAACCGAATTATCATTATCGGAATACACTCAATTTTAATATGACTGATTAAAAATGATTTAATCAGATTTGTATAAACTAAACTGTGCAATTTCCACTTGAACACAAATTTGCAATGAATTAGTTAATAAAATGAAAATAAATTGAAAGTTAGAAAACAGAATTCACAATCAATTGACAAACAAACCAAGTGTATACGAATAACGTCAAAAAATCAATTCACAATTCAACGATTCTCCACTATCCTTACAACCAGTGAGACAAAACATTTAACGTAGTTAATTGTCAAACGAAGATTTAGAATAACTCAAATGCTGTAGTTGTTTTAACAATTCTGTCAGCCATTCAATTCTTATTATTATCAAGCGAATTTCCCAAATGTAGGGAAGCTTATTTGATCACCAAAATTAACTACTTGAGAGATGCATAATCAGAAAGCATTAAAGCCTCTTCTTAGATATTTAAAAAATGTTTATGAAGTTAGTTTGCTCTAATAAGTTTTTAATTTTGGTTGATTCTGTTGGGACGGCTTCCAAAAACTACGAAGGAACCTCCAGAGGCCCTAGAAGGCCGGAGACTTTCATCCAACCAGAACACAATGGAGCTTTCTAGAATATCAACGTTGCACGCTACTATTGGTCAGTAGCATGGCATGCCTCTTTGCGGATTGATTGAATTATAATGTCGATTTAACAAGCGTTAATATCTATAAATGCCCGTGGTTTTCTGTACATTTTGATTCTTGCCCAACAAGCACTTTCTCCAGTCTTCTTATGTTTTCTTATTTGCGACTTGAAGGGTTCTAGCATTCAAGTGCTCGCGTCATACGTGATATACTAAGAATCCAACGTTTAGATATAACAAATTCCATTTTTATGCTTTACCTAAAATTATTATTAGTAATCAAAGTGATCTTTGCTACACTTTTTGTTATTAATAAAACTCAGGAAACATTCGGGATTTCTGTTTACCCGCTTTGTTACTTCACACGAGAAATTTACTCATTCAGATTTTCATTTTACAAACTTCTACTTTGATCTTTTAATAGATTGACATAGCGTTAATTGCATCTTTCCAGTACTTGAACCTATCATTAAAGTTGTCAATAAAACTACAAATCTGAAATGTTCATTACTAAATTATCAAGTATAGATTACTGTTTACAAATGTACAGAGTTAATAGCAGAACTAAAAAAGTCATTATATAGCACAAACTTAGGTTTCTGTTTCGTAATTATCAAACAACAAATTTTACCAATGACGACATTCATGTTTTTAACATTAATAACACTAAACCAAGTTATTTCTTAGTTTGCAGCCTTCAGTTTCTTTCAACTTCTACTACTCTTCTTATGAAAATCTCTTAGATACACACATCTGAAAATGATCAGTTCATGTTTAATTCTTTTTAAAATATAAGCTTTCATCAATTCTGAAAATAAGCTGAAAGGTTTAGTAGCTATAAGAATCAATAAGATGTTGACTTCATCATATCTGTAAAGATGACCCAAATAGGACGAAACGCGCGTCCTGGATTCCACTGCTAGCCACTATCCATCATTGCTTGCAAATAGCTTGTGAATGAAGCTAATGTCGAGGCATACGCACAGCATGTACATATGCCAATAACAGACTGATCAATTACAGTCTTAAACCTCAATGGGAAAATACAAGCCAAACAATACTAAGTGAAGATGTCATTTAGTCTAACATATTTCTCTATACATATATTTAAGGAAAAGAATATGCTTTCGTAAATTAAATTACTTTTTATTATTGATTAAAAATAATATAAACATTAGGATATTTAGGATCTTATAATAACCAGGAAGTTCCTTTACAGTCATTCATCTGATCAATATTTCTAATAACAGTATTTTTACTTGCATATAAATAAGATATTCATGAAGTAATTAGTAGAATACGCTAGTAAGTATACATACAACTCAATACGTCTATCTCTCAAATGTCTATTCTAGATCCATGTGATGGCGTTCGTTGTGCTGCTAATGGACGTTGCCAAGATGGTCGATGCGTATGTGATCCTGGTTATACAGGAGATGGCTACAATGAATGTCGAGAAGCTGAGGGTGGTAAGTAAATTTTAATCAGTTAAATGTAAAACTTTATAGAAGATTTCATTGTTAATTATAATATCTGATTGTTTAAAAAAATTATTACTGCTTATTTTTGCCAATTTCTTATTCTACTTAAGACATAAACATTTTACCAGATAATTAATAATGAATCAACCAATTTATGTATATGAATTCATATCTATAGTGCATTTGTATTTGTCAAATATACTTAAGGTGAAAACTTGTCTCAGATTAATTAATAATTTTGCTATCTCCTCTTTAATTGTATATATAAATCTTAACACATTGATCAGTGTCTATGATCATTCATAACAAGAATGTGTTACATTTCGAATACATTTCACATCGGGTAACTCATATTCTTACTGTACATAAAATAAACCAATCTGAACATCACTGATCAGTTTTAAATAAATAGTATATTTGTAATATCCCAATGAGTAGAAAAATTAGATTTTCTGACGTTTCGTGACTTAGTGTAAGTCGTTTCTTCAGAGAATAAATAACCAAATTAAAATTAATCCAAGTTTAAATAGTACAACAAAACAATAAGAATAATATGTGATCAATCAAAAACCAATCAAAAACAGGTCTGAACAGGTTAATGTCATGTCATTTCGGTCACGGTGATTTGTAAGTGATATGTATGTAGATTCATGTGTATGTATGTGTGTATTGTTTAAGGGTATAATATACTATTTATTCATAATAATCTACCCAATGCTCAATTTATTCGAAATTATCAGATCAAACCTTGGTAATGATACCTATCACTGATAAATTGTTTAATATATTCTTATTTTTAACATAATGTATCTCTAGAGATTTTAATTTCGGTTATTTCCTAGAAGAAGTTTCAATTAGCTTGTAAAGTGTAACTGCAAAATTATTTAAATTTCTGTCACTGTAATTATTTCAAGTAGAATTTTTCCTTTTATTAACTATTAGATACTCACGGTAAATTAAATTTACTAAAATTGAAATCTACTGTGATTCTTCAGTATTCTTGGAATTTACAGTTATATCATGTAATTGTTTCCCGTTATGAATATGAATAAAGCCAAACCAACAATTGATGCAGAATAGTATGAATTCATTACATTTTGTGGTTTCTCACAAGTTGCTTATTATCATATATGTAATAAGGTTTAACACTGAGATATAATACAATACTAAGTAATCGATATTGATGACAGAAAGTGTTCATTTAGAGATCAAATTTAAAGACATAAATGATCCTATGATAATTATAGAAGTTGCGAGGAATATTCATAAGTTTCATACGGCTTGAAAATAGATACAGAAGATTAAGAGCAATCAGATGATAATTGTCTAGAATTTGAAATTGAGTGATTACATAATACTTATACAAGTTTTGAAGAGTTTATCTAAGTTTAAAGAATTGAGTGAATGAAAAAATGGATAAATGAAAGAATGGTTTCGGCGTATCCGAAATAACGACCAGTTTAAAAAAGATAAAAATAAACACTGATAAAATCACAAAACGTTAAAAAACAAAAAACTTCCTCGTGATATTAGTCAAAGCTATGAATATTTTTAAGGCATTAACAAACTGATTATTGTCTATTATTGAACATGTAAACCAGTTTTTCAGTTGCTACTGTTTCGAGAAACCGAAGTGACATCGAGTTCTCTTCTCTACTGATAGTTATGAAGGATTAGAAAATGTCGACGGTATGCTCAGTAATAATTGAATGCAATTATACACTAGGTGCACAAAACCAGTTGCATATAACACATTCCTTCATCTCGGGGTTATAAGGAAATTTAATTAATTCGCCTACTTGATAGACTTTGGTTTTCTTTTTAAGCAAATCTAGATGGCTTTTGTGTGTGAACAGTCATGATGGATCATTTTTAGAATGATGGAAATCATACATTTTCCAGCTTGAGAGATTTATATCTGAAGCTTCAAATTAAAATAATATCAGCCATAAAAAACCATATTATTTTATCATTATTAACTTTCATTTACTGATATTTACTTCACATTGTTTCATCCTCATTGGTCATCAACAATAAATCCCTAATCTTTGATAACATTTTTCTACACTTGATACACTATTGAAGTTCCTATATTTCTAAACTTCCAGTTAGGGAAGAAAGCCATAACTATTAGTCATTATTACATCATAATATTGATTTATTATTCATGTTAGTGCACTATCATTCACAATAATATATAAATACAAATAATTGCACAGGCCAAGACATTTTGTATTTAAAAAATGAGTAATTTATTCATTACTAATGAACTATTGCTTTTAAATAATCATAAAAGATTTTAGACTAATTACATTTTGTTCTTTGGAAAAAAGGAGACTTTTCACCAATTTTCTTTAAAACATATAAGAATATCAGAAGGGGTTTTTGTGGATATTATAGTAATTTCAACAGTTGAGATCATGAGTCACTTGAAGCTAGACTATCATGCAAAACCTGGAACCACTGGATGGCTGTTTCGTCCTATTGTGGGATTCCTCAGCAGTGCGCATCCACGATCTCGCCCCCCGCAAGATTCGAACCCAGGAACTATCAGTCTCGTGTGCGGTCACTTAACCACAAGACCACTGATCTGGCTGGTATCCAACGGTGTTAATGTCTAACTTCAACTAATCCACAAAAGTGCGCCACCGTCACCATTGTCTTCAGTGAACTGATACCTGACAACAGACTTCGTTGAACTCCACTGGTCACTGCGTCTCACTAGAACTCCAGGATATACCTCTTGAAGCCAGTTACTAGTGCGCATATTTTGACTGATATCAGAAGGGTTTTTTGTGAATATTATAGTAATTTCAATAGTTGAAATCATGAGTCAATAATAATATCTCATGTCTGAATGGTTAAACCAGATAATAAGTAAAATGCAGAAAAAAACTTTTGGAAAGAAAACCAATTTGTATTTCAATAGATTTTCTATTTAAATTCAATATGATTTATGTTGATTACAGATAGTCAAATGATTATCTATACTTTTAATTCAGTTATTGTAAGTTTTGAAATTTCATTGGTTTTATAGTGAAATTATGTGGTAATGTACAATGTCATCAATATGCTACATGTGATAGAGGACAGTGTCGTTGTGTTACTGGTTATGATGGTGATGGTTATTCAGATTGCCGACCAGTTACAGAAGGTAAGATTCATTTTTCTTCTCTAAAAATAATTTTGTTATTATTTACAATTTTTTGAATTGTTTTCTATCCAGTAAATTGTAATGTTATTCCTTTTATTTTCAGGTTAGAAACAATGAAAGTATAAGACAGACTATTGTTATTGACAAATTAACATTATATTTTGGATATCTTTAGTAGTTACAATTTCTATTGATTATTAATCCCAGAACCTTTAACCTGGTAATTGAAGGTTGATTACTTAAATCACTAAGTGATTGTTTTACTTTTTTTTCAAAACTGTGTTACTCTATATTTCATTTTGTCAGTAAGTAATAAGTGACCTGGACTTTCATTTGGTCTCGAAGATAATTTGAGGAATCAGTAGTTTGAAATCCACTACATCAGAACCTTGGATTAGTTAACATTAGTACTAAAAATAACTTAAAAGTAGATATTTTTATATGTGATTTGTTTTTTTTGGAATTTCCTATGAGATAGTTTCTTTTCAGTTTTTCCCTTTATTTAATGTAATTCTACATACATTTATAGTTGTCTACCGAATTATTTGTTTGTTTTTCTTGAAATGACCCCAATCATATAGATGTGAGTCAGTGTTGTATTTCTGTTTAACTTAGACTAGTGTTCACTGGATTCATTTATATGACCTAATTTTCCGATGATTCAATATCTTAAATTGCAATGAACAGATGTGGAGAGATTATTGTCGGTGGTCGCAGTAATCCGATTGTTCAGCACAGTTACTATTTATGTAGTTCTTCCCACGAAGATTACACATAGTGGTTGAATGTCATATATATATATATATATATATATATATATATATATATATATATATATATATGCACATATGCCAGAACAGACTGATCAATCGCAGTCTTAAACCTCAGTGGGGAGTTACAAGCAAAACAGTACCAAGTGAATTCAAATTCACCCCATTGCACAAGTAAGTGGCTATCAGGTCTCAGTAGCTGAGTGGATAACGCAATTTCGTATTGAGTGAAAGACGAAATTAAAATAATAAGTTAGCAATTGTCCTACCCTACCATCAAATTACGACAGAAGAACTAGAAAAAATTGTAAAGTAACATGGAGCTTAGGGATTCGATATAAAAAAACACTCATATTTACATCGACACAAAATTATTTATAGACTAGGCTATGTGGAGGCCGTTACATTTTCTTCCAAAGTATTTTCTCGTGAAGTCTTAACTTATTTAAGAGTATAATAAAGTTACTTTAAATAACCAAATAATCCTATTAATATTAAAAATCTACAAATCAACTATACATTAGCAGTACATGCTACATTAAGTAACCATTTTAATGACATTTAACTTGCTCAAATGATCCAAAACGTTTTCGATAACTATAAAACAAGGTAAGTAACTGAATCAGTTCGTGTTATCTCTGAATCCTTAATATTACCAACCAAAATGGACTAAGTATCCAACCATTTAGACAATCTATTCATATAGTTTTATTTAACGTGTCCGAAGTCATGTCACAAACAATTACTAATCAAATTATTTGATCATTTCCATTTATCAGATTTGCATGCATTCACACAATATTTGGTTTAACTAGTTCCTTTTATTAATTTAACTTGCATTAACATGCAATAGCTTTTTTTACTCTTTAATGAAGCGTTTTACCATAAGTCGAGAAATGATTAAACTTTAATATTCTGTTCATTGCGATGTTAAAAATAAATCAACATTTTTATCATCACAATTAATATTTAATTACAAATTGTTCAAATCATTACTGGCAGATAAGTGCTCACGAATGAGATGTCATCCAGATGCTCAGTGTACTGATGGTTACTGTTTCTGTCCTACTGGTTTCGAGGGAGACGGATATTATGAGTGTAAACGAATTACTCAAGGTAGAATAATGCATGTCTTGAAGTTACCATATGAGTCTGCTTTGAATATAGCACTTCCGTTGCATCTTTATTATTGTTTATTTAAAAACTTCATTTGAATACTATTGTGGTGTGTGCTATTGAAGTCGACGGATATAAGTAGTATGTATCGCCAATCGAAAGTGGAACGCCTGGCGGCAGAATGTTGAGAAGATAGATAATGAAGGAAAATAGCTAAAGAATTTTTGAGGTGCTTGAATCCTTTAGGAACATTTTTTCAAACCACTGTGAATATGTTGACTTAATTGCTTGAAAGAAATACAAGAAAGGAGTTTCTGTTCAACAAAGGTATTGTTGATCATGTTTTTAAGCCTCTATTATATGTTTAGAAAGAAAAATGTTATTGTTGACATGATTTTAAGGAACTTCTCGTATATTCACCTCATTCTATACAATCACTTTATTGAATATCTACGTATCATTTTCCATTTCATTTATAATTTTTACTCATTATTTTTCTACCTATTAGATGCATACCTTGTAAATCTATTCATTTTACCTTATAACTTGAACCATAAACCAAGAAATATATATAAATAGTTCACCAGAAGTTTAAGCTGTTCCTGCTACAACGTTTTCCTTCCAATTTTCATTTTGATTCTTACAATTTTCCAGATAATGCTTTCTATAATTCTGTAAACATCCAATGAGATCATTTCTTTAAACTACACACTTACTATACTCTTTGATATGAATGTTTGCATGTGCAAATATTAAAATAAAATTATTCACATCTGATTATAAAATTAAATAATGCATAAAGAAAATTCTGGAAAATGAAAGCCATCATACTTCATGTCTTTCGTCTTTAAAAATAATTTGAGTGTACTAGCTCATATAAAATGAAGAAAACACTTCCTATATTAGCTTTCAAAATAACATAGGTGTTGTATTAAGCTTAAAATAGTAGTAATCATAATGAAAGGTCAAAATAAATTCATTAATAAATTCTAGTTAACTGCTATGACCAGATTCATAAATACAACATGAATTAATTCGTGGAATTATTTTAAATTCTTTCAATATGCATCAATATGCATGCGGTGTATGATATGCAGTATGCTTCTCTACTGTGCAACGACCAGTACAGTACCACTTTAAAAATATTTAAGAGAGAAATGTTAATATTTTCAGATCGCTGTGCAAATGTTCGGTGTCATGAAAATGCTAAATGTGACGACGGGTATTGTCGTTGCAAAGAAGGTTTTGAGGGTGATGGCTACAGTGAGTGTAGACGTAAAAGTGAAGGTGAGTAAATGTGGCAAGGCATACACGTAATTAGCAAGTTAGCATGATGAATTGATTGTTTCAGTGTATGTTTATGTGTGCACGCTTTCTTTGGAAGTAGTTAAATAAACAGATTTTGTCCGTGTTGTGCTCAATATTTAATAAATGTACTATCAGAAATGTATTTTAATCTATGTTCTTTTGCTCTAATTAGTCGCTGTGTCGCCTGTCTCTAAGTAAATGTGTAGATGTTTTTGTTAACTAACAAGTGCTACTTGCTTACAGCACATGCTTTTTGTTAAATGTTTAGCACCCTTTTATCCATGATTTTATGTGTTACTAGCTAATTAATTGTTACGTTATTGAAATATTTAACTAAATCTATGATTTTTGTTTGTCACTGTTACACTCGATGGTGGGCTTTTTAACCACCAGGTTAGGTGACTCCATCAATGTTTACCTCGTTAATTAGTAGTGTATTTTCAAACTTTTTTTCTCAAACTACGTGCCGATGAAGTCATCCAGTTGAATGACTGATCTTCGACGACTGATTAATACAACTTTGAGGATGCTATATAGTTTCTATCTTCTTGAACTAGAAATCATTTCTACCGTTTCAGCACCTTCATGTGTACGTTAATCAAATTTATTCAACAAGCCAAATGCAACGAGGACCTAACCATTCATGACAAAAACATTAGCGGAGTCATCAAATGTTTTACAATAGTTACTGAAATTTCGTTTGATGAACTTTATATTCGCCACTTATAAGTGGAGAATTTTGTTTTCAATAAGTTCCCAATAGGTTCTTCTGTTAAAAATTAGAGGAATAGTCAAGTTAAAAAACGCTCACTGCCACTAATTTAAGAACCCGATGAGGATTTCTTTAGAAGAAGATTTTTTACTTGTTAATCTGTAAACGATTGTTCAGTGCTTCCAGGCTTTCACTAGTGATCTAGCTCAGATCAGTTCATTATTTCTATGGTGAAAATACTACAGTCTCTGCAAATCCCCTGCACTAATAATCTAAATGTTTCGAATTCTAATTTATAATAACCAGAGGACGTCCGGACAAAGGTTTGAGATTCAAAACAATAAGGCATTTTGGTAAGTTTAGATAAGGCAAGAAAAAGGCGAAGCTTATCAGACTTTTGTGATATTTTGTCAGCAGTTATTGCACAGTTCAGTAAAAATGAAGTGTAATGAAGGTCATATTCAATAGAATCGGCCGTGTCTATACAATTATACTATCGAGGATGCAGTCAAGCTGTTAGACGATGTGATACACAACAGATATCCAATAGAAAGCATGAACCTATGAGCATGTTGAAAACTACTGTACTTTTGGGACCTAAAAATAAGTCCATTTCATCTTGTCGCTCAGAGGTGCGTTAAATAGCCTCGCTCCATAACGAAGGCTTGAAATGGTTATCAGTAGAAGGCACTGTGCATCAAACGTCATTATAATTAAACAAAGAAATGTTCATACCTAACCAAAACCCAAAACAGTATATAAACGATTGTGTCATATTTCAATATGTATATATGGAAGAGTAATGATGATTTTCATCTCAGAATGGCTGAAGGGGTACCAAAATTACCCTAAAAACAAATAAAGCTTAATATCCCAATAAAAGCAGATGACAATCACCACTCTCATCCCTTCGCCAAATATACAGTTCAAACAAGTTGTACGGTTGATCTTAACTCAGAATTTACGCACTCATGTAACACTTATCTACAGCAAATATGTCGATTCAATGAGGCTTTAGCCGTTTGAAAAGTTAGGCCCCTTATATTAGTACTTACATTGAACCTGCCCTAGTAATATTGATTTAATATCCATAATGATATAATTTATTATTGTTGTGACGTGAGACTGCAGATTAAAGTGAAGCGTTTTATCGATCGATTACGGTGACACGTAAACACGTAAGGGACGACCTAGAGTCCCGATCGGCCCTGTTTCTCTGTCTATCCCAGTCAGTTGAATCCAAAACACAAATCTCAGCCTCTGACATATGAATCACTGTACTTCACACATACTCTGTTTATATACCAAACAAACAAACCACATCGTACCATAAAATAGAAAACAACATTTTGTACAATATTTGACAAGTGAAATAAATATTGGCCAATAGGAAATGTCCATTTAGCGTCCAAAGACATGATAATTATTGGTATATTTTTCCGCACATCCTGACAATTATGTATTTTTATCAGAATGGGTTTTGTGGAGATTTTAGAAATTTCACAGATTGAAATCATGAGTCAGTTGAAGCTAGACCACCATTGAAAACCTGGAAGCACTGGACGGCCGTTTCATCCTAGTATGGGACTCCTCAGCAGTGCGCATCCACGATCCCGCACCACGCGGGGCTCGAACCCAGGACTGACTCATGATTTCAATCTGTGAAATTTCTAAAATCTCCACAAAGCCCATTCTGATAATAATCAACTGCTCAATAGTGACTGACTTCAGGAAAAACTCCCGAAGTTCTATTGAGAAGCCGTTACCTGTGGAGTTCAACCAGGTCTGTTGTGAGATAGGAACTCACTGAAGACAATGGTGTACAGTGGCGCAACTTCGTGGATTGGTTGAAGTTAGACATTAACACCGTTGGGTGCTGGCTCAGTGGTCCGGTGGTTAAGTGCTCGCGCGCGAAGCCAGTAGGTCCTGGGTTCGAGCCTCGCGTGATGGGGGATCGTGGATGCGCACTGCTGAGGAGTCCCATATTAGGACGAGACGGCCGTCCAGTGCTTCCAGGTTTTCAATGGTGGTCTAGCTTCAACTGACTCATGATTTCAATTATGTATTTCCTTATTTTATTTTTCTTTAAATTTTTCTAAATTGACCCTTACTTCCCACATATAAATATCCTAACAAGTTAAGGTCTGCTCAGATTTTTAAAATTGTTTTGAGATAATATATAAAATAGTTTTAATAAACTTTGTGTCATTGTATCATTCGAGTTCTTATCTTTGTTCTAACATTACATATTATCTACCAAATAATCATACAAGTCGTTAACAAAACAACTAAATCGTGTTGCAATAGCTTATTTTTAGGTGCAAAAGTACAGTTGCAATAAGATTTAATGATAAGTACCATTATGTTGTAAGTGTTACAATAAGTTATGAGGCTAAAACTGTAGCTTTTCACTCGGATCTACAAACTAACTTGGTAATAGCATTTCAGGTTAATGAGATTTTTATCATTTGACGAAATGCTATAGACGCCATCAAATAAATACATACACTATATAGTATATTTTATAGAATATCCAAAAATCTTAATATAACTTATCTTTTATTATTTCTCATCAAGGATGTATGTGAAATACTGTGATTGATATGCCTCTAAAAAATTTATAACTAAATTTCGAGCATCGAGTAATCGGGTTGTACGTACTGAACCAGAGATTCATATATACGTATATGAAGCGTTTTTAAAAGCGTTTTTTGCATAATCATGTTTTATATCAGTCAATTCTATAAAACCCCAATGTAGATAGAGATCCATGTGCACGTATTCGCTGTCATCCCCAAGCTCAGTGTGAGTATGGGTTTTGCCGCTGTAAAAATGGTTATAAAGGTGATGGCTATTGGAATTGTCAACCTATACAAAGTGGTAAGCTCTGTTCCTATCCCGATAAGATCGACAAACTTCAAATACTTGAATTAAAGCATGTTTATTTTTATTTAGATAGTTATCTTGAAACCTTTATTGGCATTATCATACGCATCATAACATCATTAAAACAACGAGATATAAAATACAGAACGTAGTCAAACACATTTTTGGAATGAGTTACTAATAAAATATAAAACTTTAATTTGAAACCATTTTATATTCATATGAAAAATCAACTACCTTGCATAATAAAATGTTTTTCATATACTTTCCAAAGCATTTGTACGTTTTATGCTCTGAACGTTTTGAAAAATAGCATGATATGCTTACCCCTAGATGAGGTCAAATATATTTCCATCTATACTCAGTATAATTGCTTTTGTAAAATATTAACTTCAGATCTATGTCGGGCAGAACAATGCCATCAGTTCGCTAGATGTGTTGAAGGTCAATGCCGCTGTTTGGATGGATACGAAGGAGATGGCTATCAGATGTGTAATATAATACCCGGAGGTAAATATAATCTTGTATATTTATTTGTCAAATCACTCATAATAACACACTAACAGTTATAAATGTTTGCTTATTTGAAAAGAGATAATCCATCATGACATTTGAAATAAAGATACAAAAACAGTTGAAGTTTAAACTGCTGTAATTGATCTAAACCAATATCACAACGTATTGAGACTGTCAAAGAAATAATTAATTGCTGGAACCTTTCATATCCCAATATTATTGTGCTGCCCAGATGATATCGATTTTTACTGATTATGTTGTAAAATTATCAATATTCTCTGTTTGTATCCATTTGGTTACCTTTTTTCGAAAAATATAAAGTCCTTTACAAACTCTCTTCTGTGGAATGAGGTTAACCTCTTCAACCACGTTAGATCCAACACCATATCAAAAATATCTCCTAGAGTTTGTATTTAAGAATGTGAAACTTCATGAAAGTTGGAATAGTTCTCCATCTACAGACAAATGATCGGATGATTATCAGTTTTAATCCACTTAATATTAGCGCCTAATTACACTGCTTAGACAAGCATGACCTAAATATTATGATTGATAACATTTTATTAACACTAGTTAGTCAAAACATTTTTGAAGTGCAAGTTTGAGTTCAACTTCAGAAAGACGTCAACATTTCGCTTTAATTATAAATACTTTTGGTTGATTTGAAAGTGTAAAAACAACTAGGACTGAGGCTTGTAAGATATACGTTATCTTTTCAAATAAAAACGTAACTGTGAATGCTTGTGCAACAGAAAAATAATTTAAGCCATCTTGAACGGACGTAGCTTACAAACTCAGATGAAAGAAGTAATAAGGTAAGATCATTAATGTTTAACTTAGGGAGTAACGAAAAACAAACATTTATAGTCATGACGTACAAATTAAGGAATTGATGTACGAGTTCAACAACAAAAGTAGTTTTAATAACAATTGTTTCGTTTTTCGAGGAAATTTATCATTATTAACTTGATTTATATAAGGAGCGGTATCTTAGCGGCTAGGAAGCTCGAACTTCCTCTATTCAGTACCAGGTTCAGACTCCTCTTCACTTACTTCAGTTTGGGAAACCGGACAATATCATTAGCCCTCACACTTAAAGAGTGGCTCATATGCAAGCATCTGATGGATGATTACGATATATTCTACTTATAGAACTTGATAAGATTCCTCCACTAAGTTAGATGATAGACCTTAGAAGTTATTTGTACTTCATAACCCTTTTAAAACATTAAAATTCCTAAACACTGTGACACCATAATTCAGTGATATTCTTTAACTAAATAGGCCGCAATTTTAAGGAGATTTTTCGATAGTTTACAATGAGTTGTTTGTCAGCTTTGCTGTCAGCATTACTTTAAGACCAACTGGAATAATCTATCATATGTACGACAATGTACATATGTGATGATATTGTGTTTTTTTATATCTCTATTTAAATACAGCAACTTCAGCAGATTGTGGTAATTGCAATGGTATACCTTTCAAAGAAATAGCTCAGTGTGTTGGTGGACGATGTGTTTGTGCTCGTGGATTTATTGAAGTTCAGGCAGGTGTCTGTATGGAATGTGTGCAAGACAATTGTCATCAGGATGCCGTCTGTCGACCGGATGACAGATTTAATGGCGCCTATTCATGTCATTGTAAATCTGGTTTTACTGGAGATGGAGTATCTGTCTGCAAGCCTGAAAGTGTAGGTAGAGAAGATGCCACATCATCACAAGCCATTGATCCTACGTGCGGTGGAGGCTGTAGGATACGAAATGCGGAATGTGATCGATATACTGGAACATGTAAATGTCGATCAGGTTATGATGGAGATGGAGAGAGGGGTTGCTACTGGAATTGTAAGCTGTGTCATCCGAGTGCTATTTGTGATCGTGAAAATGAAAGATGCATTTGTCCATCTGGTTATCGTGGAGATGGACAAACATTTTGTGAACAAATTCCAGTTAGGCAAGGTAAGTTCGATCATCAAGGAATATCTTTCTTGACCCCTTTATTCATAAATGATAGTTTTGTGAAGAGACCTAGATTCATCTAGTGTAGGTGACGTTTTATTAGAAAGCTGTCCGACCTCGGATTCATTTACATATGTTACCTAATGTACATCAAAATGTACATTTTATTACCTACTATTTTTTGTATGAAATCATTGGTGACAGTCATGAAAACATGACATTGTTATTGAATATAATAAACTGATATATGTTTCTTCCAGATTCTATAAAAGTTCGAATAATGGGAGAAGGAGAAGTAATGCATATTACAGATATATCTCATCCGCTTGAATTAAGATGTTTCGTAACTGGAAGCGATCAGTCATATTCCGGTCAGTGGATTCAACCACATTCTGCTCAAGAACCGATAGTGACTAAAACTAGACAACAAGATGGCTATGAAATTTCCCTGCGTATAAATCAACCTACAATAACTGATAGTGGAAGGTATGAGTGCCGTGCAGGGAATGTTGCTGCTTTCATAGATGTAAATGTGGAAGAATCAGCAAGTATGTTTGTAAATTTAACTTTGAACTAATTTTGCACTTATGATTAAATGAATTCAGATTTTAAAATACTGGGAAGTGTTTAAGTAATTTGATCCACGCTTTTTCAAGGAAATATAGTCAAACTTAAGTATTTTGTTCAAAGGTTAGCTGTATGCTAAATACGTCGTCCAACTATGGTAACAACGTATGAGACATTTGGTGTGGGAAGTTAAGGAAATCGTGTTATGATAATAATTTTATGTATATTCATGCAGATCAAATGGGCGAAAAATCCATTTGATGAAAATAAACAATTGACTAAATGATATGAATCCAACGTGTCACAGCATGCATAAAACGAGGATAAATAAACAAATATTTTGACCAAGCTGCTTGTTCAGATAAACGCACTGATTGGAACAAGTAAAAGTAATCATTGGTGTCCACATAATAAAAAAAGGATTTAAGTTAGTAAACAGTAAAATGGAGTTCAGGGTTACTTATCAGTTATTAGTTGCCATGGCACAGTTAATAGTATTCCTTCTCTCCCATGAATATTGTCTGGATTTGCCCATATGTGTAAAGCTTCAGCTGTTAATCTCACTTTGTATGAAATAAAACCATTTAGAGGATTCTTGTACTATTGAAATCAAATATATGGCTATGATTTTTACGAATATAATTTTCCTCCCCAATGACCCGACCCAAGTACTATGAAACTTTTCGATATATTTATACGAAAGTTTTTATAAATTTTTAATATTGTGTTTTGTAACAGGAATGATATAGGTTTATATAATCGAATTTATAGGATCTGGGATTTCATTTCATCGTAAGTTTTCTTACTTTAAGTTACTGCTCTCTTTCTGAAATGAATTGTCTTTCTTAAGATACCAGTTTTACGATGAAAAATTCATCACATTCATTCATCACATCAAATAATCTTATTTAAGTCATGACTACTAGTCATTTCATTTCATCAAAACATTATCATTCAAATGAACAGAACCCTGGTTAAGATTGGCTACCAGATCTAAATAATTCCTAAATAATAGAATATTCCATTGAAATCTGTTGATGATTATAAAACAAATAAGTGATAGTAATGGTAAGTATTAGCACTAAAATTTTTCTTAAGTAGTAATTCGTCTTTAGTCCTTTAACAATCTTTCAAATTGTTATGCTAAAGAAAAATGTAATCCTAAAACTTTTGATCAATTTGATTTTTAAGTTCCATTCACTGTGCTACTTACAAGTGATGATGGAATTTTAATGACACAATCTACCGATTCAAATGTAACCAAAGCTACTCTATGGAATATTGGTAAGTGATATATTGAGAATCATGCTATATTATTGTTTTTATTTTATCTATATGATATGGTATAGTTTATGTGATATACACACTTGTATATTTGATCGTTTAAAGTATTAGTTGATCCGACTAATATGATATTCATCTTTAGGTATTGTAGTGAACAAGAACACGGGTGGGGACAATCGAATGTATTCAACACACAATTACAGGACTTGTTAATGAAATCTTGCAATCATAATGTAAATGTTTAATTTCCAAAATGTCCGCCAACTGTCTCAAAATGACTCAGACTTCATTGTTCTTGCATTTTCATACAAATTGCATCCCGTTTCCATTCTTTACTGTTCGATCCTCTTGTCTTCTGTCCACGACTAACATCATCTACTACTTATGTCAATATAAGTAGCACACACCACAGTATATGTAACTAATAGTTTAAGAGCTTTGTAATGATTTTCTTGATTTAAGATGTAACATTGCACATCTTCATTGTCGTATACATGGAATGGTATTTATTTATTCTATTGCAACAATAAGATTTTAAATTTTGCCCTAAAAAATTCGGATATCAGGTGGTTGAAAGCAAATAAAGAAAGTACTGAACCTAGTTTTATGGCAGTAGTCATTTGTAATCAAGCGTGTGATCCCCATTCTTGAGGGAGTTGATGTTTCTTGTAAGATTTGATCCTCCTCATCTAGTATAGCAGTCAGAGATGTTGTAGGAGAAATATTCGAACTGCAACTAATCACTGTATAACCGATTTTAGTAGATGTTACGCTTCATAATTTTATGCATGCTACAATGTTCCAGAAATACATTAACTAATTTTCCAAATTAATTTTATTACAGTCTGACATCTGTTGAAGAACCTTTCAAAATCTTGGTTTGTTGGAGAGTTGTTTTATTCTAATATAAGGTTTCTCAAAAAACTTCAATTTTCATAAACTTAAAAATAATCATGTACTGTATGTCAATTGACTTCGTATTGGATTCCTGAAGTTCTAGTATTAAACGGTGATCGTTGCAGTTTGACTACGTTACCGACAGCATTGAAATATTATCACACAATATGGAAGTTCAAACGAAGTTTGAAAGTAGACTACTGGAATCCGAACTAAAAATTTATATATATCGTCCTCACCTAGATAACTGAAGGTACCAGATTTGATTACGCACGTGTAATGCTATACAATTCAAAATTAAGGCTTAAAAATCGTCAGGTACCAATTCTTAGTTTTAAATGATTAACTGTTTTATGTTAATCTGTGGTGAAAACTAAATTCGAATTGATCCCTTTCCACAAACCTCTGATATCAGTTTCCTGCACTAATCAGGTGATGCAAAAAAGAGTATTAAGTAGTTTAAATCTAATTTGTCAAAATATTTTAAAACTACACTATTTAACCGTTAGTTCCATAACATGTAATTTATCAGTAAAAAATCACCAACGTCATAATTTATCATCATAAGGGTCTCCAGATGCATTATTTTCAGTTTGACTTACTTTATCCATATGCATATACTTTTCAGGAGACTATCTTTCAAATTAAATTCTATCTTAACTGTAACCCGTAACTTCTGTTTCTATCGCCCTATCCAGCTGAAAATAACAAATATGGACGTGTCTCCATGGTTGGTGATTGTAATAGTCAACGAATTATATATACATCTGATTATGGTCATACTATCCGATGGGGTAATTCAAACTCTGGACAAAATAAATTGGTGACAAAAGAAATATACACTTCACAAATTAACCGATTTCGCAATTTGGCGGTAGATTCATTGTCTGGAAATGTGTTTGCCTGGGAAGAGGCCTTTGGAAAAATTATGGTATTCAATCCAAATAAACCAAATATTCATTATACACTTGAAAGTTTACATAGCCTAACTTCATCTGAACAACAGAATTTCGCTGGGCTAGCTTTGCACTCCACATTAGGGTGAGTAAATAGAATATTGATAGACAAATACATAGTAATATTGTTAGATCTGTGAGTATGATACATATTTACATACGTTCCGTTTTTTAAAAGATTAGATAAGTTGGTAGCTGGTGTATGTACTTTAATGGTGTCGAACTTTCTATTCAAAACGTTTTAATTATAAACCTTTAATTTTCTAGTGTCTAGGGTTTCTGTTAATCGCTTTAAATATGATTGGTTGTATTCAACGCTGAATGCATTCCATTACTTGTTATGTTATCTTCAAGTTTACTGTAACTAGCTTCAAGTTACCAAATTTCCAAACGAAATGACTATGATTTCAAACACTAGTCTTCAATGTAAGAATATTTTTATTATCATAGCATACTCTCACTTAAAATTAAATCTACCTTACCGTCCAAATGCACGATTATATATATTAATTGTGTGATAGATTATAATTCTACCTGCCTATACAACTGTTGGTAGGGATTATGCTTACTGGTTTACATTGCACTTACTTAAGAATACTACAGTTAAGTAAAATAAGGAAACATTCCTCATATGTTTAAATTTCGATACCTTTTAGACACTGAATTTCCAAATTATTCGTCTTTTTGAGATATACATGTATTTACTTGCTTATTTATTTTTTACTACTATAACCAGTCTAATGTACTGGGCAATATACACAGACGGTTGGAGACCGAATGGTACAATCCAAGTGGCTTCAATGTCTGGTGAAAATGAGGAGCAATTATTACAACTAACTGGTGAACCATTGGCAATTAGTATATCACCAGCAACGCCAGTTAATGGTAATTCCGCTGGAAAATTATGCTGGATGCAAAGATCTTCTAAAGGAATGTTTGGATTAGTCACGGAACTACATTGTGCACGATTAGGTCAAACAGGAAGAGAGATATTAACCAATGAAAAGATAAGAGAATTTAGTCCTTCTGAAGAACCATCTTTTGGTATGACACAATATAAAGGAACATTATTGTGGACAGATGCTTCAAAGTAATCAATTTTTGAAATGAGCTTTTATAATAAGTGAAGTGAAGTAAATTTCTTTTTATCGATCAAGGAATTTCACAAAATTCCATTCCATAGGCTAAATTTAATTAGTTTCAACATTATCTACAAATTTCCGTAAAGGCTATTTTTTTAATAAGACTATTTCATTCTAATATCGTTAACTTTTTTAACACTGAACGTTTCAGTTTTTAAGTTCTTATAAGTTCACTCTAATATGCAATAAAAACTGAACAATTAACAAATAAATAATCATTTTGAAATAGATGACAGAATTAGTTCAATCCAACTGATCCTTCATGAAATAACTTCTTTCTAATGTTAGTTAAATAAAATTAAAAAAAGGTTAGTACAAGTAATAGACTTTTTCGATAGACATTAACACAGTTGGATGATGGCTCAGTGGTCTAATGGTTAGGCGCTCGCTCGCAAGACTGATAGGTCCTAGGTTCGAATCCCGCGAGGCGGGATCGTCGATGCGCACTGCTGAGAGGTCCCAAAATAAGACCAAACGGCAGTTAAATGGATTGTTTTTGAATTATGTATTAGGGATTGTTTAATTTTATCATCAGTACGTCTGCCAGTCAGCTACAACGTAGGATTAGGCATACATATGCATTGGTCCAAGTTGCCACACCTCAGCACAGATTGGTTTGTCCAAAAACTAGAACAAGCTATATTATGGGCTTAAAATAATGGCTTACACTAAAATTAACATACAAAAAACTATTTGATATATTACTAAAATTATTCTAAATATTTACATTTCTCCTTAAATTTAGGACAGTCTATTACTCTATCAATCCTGATCGCCGAATACGTGTCCGTTATGTCTGTTGTTCGAATCGTTTCCAAGCTATATCAGTATTAGGTGATTGTCCACAAGGTAATTTCAGATCTTTTGAATTTATTCTACATAATTCAATAGTAACTTCCTAATAAATAAGCATTTATTAAGATCATTGTTTTAAAACAAATTTGACCATGCCATTGATAAGTGATTGTGCATTTTGCGTAATACATGTAATTTTAATAAAACGAACAAGAAGCAGTTTTCTGTACCCAGATTATTGTTAATTGATTATGTTAGGACTCATTTATGGACGGCATTTTTTGTGAGCAATAGGTTACAGGAATATGATCATCCTGATCGAATTTACCCTTATTTAGAATAGAATGAGAGAACCTGTTTGGACAACTAGTCTGAAAAAGGGAAGTTACCTACATACCTTTTATCCACTTGGTGAATAAATTGAATTTGAAATCTTATCACGAGCTGAATCTCATAGTTTAATATTTAGCGCAATACATTAGTTACCTGGAGACATACGGTTTATTTTTCTATTGACAAATCACATTTTATTTGAACTTATATCATCCTTTTCGTCAATAAGGTAGTAGTTTACTACTGTCGTTGTGGAATATCCATAGTCTCCTCTAAAATGTTTTACGCAGATCTAATTTACATACCAAATAGCATGATTATTTTGAAAATTCACTTTTTTATTCACAACTAGAATTAACTGAGGTCAAATTTTTCATAAACGTCCATTTTCTATTGAGAACATCCTTCAAAAATCAAATTTTATGCAGTTTCATGCCTAATAATCTTGAAGGCATGATAAAACGGGAAAGTATCAGAACTTCAATCCGGATGAATATAATGAGTAGATAGATCTACGCGGCTGTGATTGATTCTGAAGCATGTTATCTAATGTATCCAACCATTGATAGTGGTTATCGAGCGGACCTTAACCGGATTGTTAACATCTAACAATTCCTAACGCCATTAGTCGCCTTTTGTTTTGAACGCTCCTAACTTTTTTCAGCCTACCTCTGCACTTGCAAGCTTCACTCACTTAAATCGGCTATGGTTGGGGATACATAACACATTGCATGACCACCTTAGTCTGTGAAAATTTTATTATCTCATCAACCGACTTTTACTCCTACCAATTACCTTATGTCTAAGCTCACAACTGCTCACTCGGTTATTTCAAAAAACGCAAGCAATGCTTTGAAGACAAATATGATCAAAAGCCTTTAGCGTACGAATACCTTCTACTTTGATAGACTATGGTTCACGGATATAAAATAGTACGAAACGGATCGCTGTGGAATATGCTCGTCCCTTGGTTAGCAGACGAACATTTCGTCCAAGCCACAAGCGACACACGTTGTCAAGAACCAACTCAGGTTTCGTCAGACACCAAACTACCAGGGCCGATGAGGCTTCCAAGATAAATGTAGTGGTCAAAAAATAAAACTACTTCACTCCACATCATCAGTTTAGGCGTTAATGCAAACCAGTCCTGAAGCAGCACTTCGCATACGAAACATACTAACATTTTGCTGAAAACGATTAAGGGCTTCTGCAGTTTGTCATTGTTCTCACTTATTAAGAATATGTAATCTAATTATTCTAAGTCGACAGGCGAACTTTTATGTAGGGGTTTGACCTCTGAAAAGTTTGTCGAAGAAAAATTTTATTTCCAAAAGGATATTGATGATAAAATTAAATAAAAATGAGCAGCCCCGATTAATGACACTTGAGGTTAACAATTTCGCTGACGGTTCCTCATACGTTCTGACTCAACCAATAGTCCGCAATTAGAAAGCCTTCAAAGGGTTTATTTACTCATTTGATAAGTCATTCAAGAGCAAAGTGCCACAGAATCTCCTGATCAACATCTGTAATCACTTTTCTATAAAATATTTTCTCCGAAAGTAAGTAGAATTTTTTTAATAAACGAAAATACATAGTATATTTTCCATTATGGTATTGTTGCATTTTATCAATTCGACTAATGAATGAAACTAATATTAGTGTAGTCAATGATTATGGTTTTCGTTGTACAATAATTAACCAGATATTTTCAAAGTGAATGTATACATAACCAAGGGAATATGTGCTTAATAACATGCATAGTATGTACAAACATGTCTTATTTATAATTATTCATTATTTTGATTGATGGATTCATCATCACTATGATGACGATAAATATTTTCATTTACATACCACCCCCCAACCATTTAAACTAATCAAAACAATGAATTATAATATTTTTTTTATCGATATTAATTACTTATTTAGCTTCAACTAATCCATGCACTTATTCTAATGGACGATGTCGTTATATATGTTTACCAAATGATGGTGGTAGATCACGTACATGTGTATGTCCTGATAATGAACCTGGATGTCATAAAGAAATGTGAAAAAATGTATCAGTTATAATTTAATAAAATGATAAATTCATTTTATCCCAGTTCATATTTTTCAACTTTACATTAACTTAATTATTTATATTACTGATTTGTTAAAAGAAAAAAATTAAATTTTCCTTCAATAAAAATATTGTTTTATTTAGGAAAGCTTTATTCTTGAAATATCAATCTTTCTTTTTTTTTTGTATTACATTTTAATTATATTTGCATGTTGTATTTTATTTTACTTATCTATGTGAATTTGAAGAGTTACAATTGAAATAGGTTATATATTATCTAATTAATCTCATTCGTCAACCTAAAAACTGATACACATGAACTGAATAATTTTCATAGAATTAGTTTGTTTTTGTGTGTGTATGTGTGTGTGTAATATTTAAACTTTGATGTTACTATATCCCAATAAATTATATTCAATACTGAAACATAATTTATTTTTGTAATCAGTTCAGTAAATTCATAGTTCAAATGATTAACTAATCTTTCCTAGACCATTATTAGTTACCTGAACAATCAGCATATAGGGTTCTCGCCGGTGTCCTTGAACGACATGGATTGTTCATTAGTCATACAGTAGTTTTCACTACCGTGTTGATTCAGGAAATGACTCTCCCTTCCGATCGATTAGTTGCTAATTGAGTGACAGATGGAGTACTTAGTCAAACTACGCACATAGCTGATGAATCACTCATACTTTGGAGATGCGTCGGGAGTGAATGGATTAATTTCTCAATTGCACACAGAGCTGGAAAATGATAGCAGACTCCATGAATCCTCGACAAACCGTAATTTAAACGAAATAGCAGTTATTCAAGATCCACCCAGAGGTGTAGTGGTCCAGTACTGTCCATTTCAGAAACATCTCCGGTAATGGATTCAAACCCCATTATCCCCGAAACAGCATGTGCAAACAGTGACTTATCCAGCTCTCAGAAAGACGATGCCCTGTTAAATGTTCATGAAATAGTCGCAGTAACCGCCCATGAAGAAACAGAAAACAAATCGAGCAGTACACTGAATCCAGATGCACCAAATGGAGCTCATCATTCTGTGATAGAAGTTTCTGACGAATCTAATTATCGAGATTCCCTTGTTTTACCAGAAAATGTGTCACATGCATCAAATGATAATAAAGAACCTAGTGCAGTTTTGATAGATGCTGTTTACCCTAATGATTCATCATCTACTAATGAGGTTTTCAATAAATTTAATGTAAATGTTTCAGAAGAATCAAACTTTGATGACCTCATATCAAGTGTCGTTGATCCTTACCACTTAGTTACTTTCAGTAGATTCTCTGTTCAATGCGACAAATGTTTTAAATAAATTCAAACTAATTGTAACTTAGAAATATGAGGATCCAACACTATTTCGTGGGGGAAGATAAGCTCGGAAAATCTAAAATCCGGATATCAACTCCAGATCTTCAAAAAAGGGGTGTGTTATGTCCCGATATGGATAAGGAATGGTAATTTTTGAGATCCATTTATGGAACAACACTATGTGTATATTTTTATCGCATAATATATGATATTCTAGCATTCAATTGACAAGTTATAACAGGAGCTTCAATATTTCTACGTACATTTTGAGTACTAGTACTTCATCATTTTAGAACTACTTGTATTCCATACGGTATATAAATTGCTTTATCATATTTTTGCGATTTATCTATTAGAGAAGTAAGTCATTGTTCATATCTGTAGCAATTATGATCAAACTAGATAAACTCACTTCAAAAGAGAAATATTATTTATAAACAATAAGAAATCGGTATAACATGGGGACCAAACGCTGCTGTACACAAAATGTTTGTATTATTATAAGTAAAAATAATGTGTATGAAACTTGGAATGTTAATCGACTAAACCTGCTGATGTGGTTTAGTCCAATGGTGACTACATAAAAATCCATATTTATTACTTCGAACATTGAAAGAGTAGACAACCGTGTCGATAATTTCTCAATGAATAAACTACTTAGACTGTCTGAATACATAACACAGAAACGGTTTTTTGTATCCAAACAAAAACAGGAAAATAATGAGAGTTAGGAATCAGTCAAATATTTTGAGAAAATGAGTATTTTACTGATGGAGTACATTCATTACTCAATAATAGTAATAATGATAATAATAATGGGTAGAGTAGCATTTCAACTATGAACTACCCAGGTAATAGTCAACTCAAAAATCCACTTAGACTGGCTCCAGAAAGTTATTTTATTAGTTCATATTTATTTCCCATTACTTACATCTAACTAATCAGACATAGGACAGTATTGTTGGAAATAAAGGAAATTACCAACTGTACTGTGCTCCAGTAGTGATAAAATGTTTAGCACGGATAAATGGTATCTCCATAGATTGTACCTTTCCACAATTGGAAGCTATCAAAAAAGAGAAAGCACAGATACACCTTTTGTATAAAGGATTCCTGGTACCAATTAGAGATCCCTCAAGAATAAATGTTCTCTCATCCCATGAGAGGTCTGATAGGTTCAACTGCCTGCACAACTCAAGTAGCACCCTAATCTACCTTGATCCCGATAACAGCCTCATCCTAATATTTCTTCTATTCCTGCCATGATCCCTTCTTCTATGGATTTGTTTTACCGAATGTGGCACCAAAATTAACGATTCAAGTCTACCAAGTGCTGCTTTAAGCCTAAAACTGCGCTTTAAACAATAAACGAACTTTCATTTTCGGAACTTCGTGTCAAACAATACAGTAGAACTTACTGCCTAAAGTGTAACACTTCGATCGACTGATGCATTGTTTTAATTGTGCCCAAGTATATATATATATATATATATATATATATATATAGTGACGTAAGCTTAGTTCAAAACTATGATTATTGTAAAAGCGTAAGGTTCAATATTGAGAATAGCTGTCATTTGAAAACCACGAGCCTTCAAGTTTACTATGTGTGTTGATGTTATCAACACTAATCTTCGAATAAATGACTGTTAGTAATATAGAAGACCTGAACCATTCACTCGAATATATTATTCCTAATGAGTTTGACTGCTCATATAATCGAAATCTGTGAATACTAAATGGCAGAATAAATAGACTTATGTGATTACTATTTCATGAATAAAGATTATATACTGAAATTTACCAACCCACAACTATTGTTGATCAAACTTCTATTTATTTATGAAAAATATGTATGATGAAACCATCAGTATAATTAGTGTTCTAAACCAAAACGGAATACACCCATTAAGACATTAAATAACATAGATTAGTTCAGCGAAGAGTTCTCTTTCCGGCGAATTCACTTCTAAAGATGTACAATCGCAAAATTATATATACTTATTTTTCAGAATGATAATAATTATAATACGGATAATAAACTTTGTTAAATATGGTGACAGTGAGGCAAGATAAACAAAGGCATCAAAAAAGAAATTTTAAACAAGGAAAACTTAATAATCGTTTGGTTGTTAATGGCTTAAATAATAAAATCATCCTCTAAAACATTAAATGCTCAAGTTGATATTGGTAGCAAGAAATTTTCGCACACCAAAAGGATTTTTTTTAAACGTAATATCTTGAATTACATTCACCCAAAGATCTTTGAAAAGTGAAGAAATCCAGTTTTAGTTATACCCTATAAACGGACCATTAATCAAAGTTTTCATAATTCCAATTAGTATTGAAGTAAAAGATTTAAGGTCGATTAACAAGATTATTAGTTAATTAAGTTTAGTGACTAATACTTTATAGTAAATAAATCAAGAAAATCACGTATAGATAAGCATTTATATATTTAAATGTAAAAATATAGTATAAAAAATAATATCACAGAATAATCTATGTACAATGCCGAAGGGCTGAATATTCATTCCAGTTAAGTACCTTTTGTTCTTTAGGAAGAGATGTCTGTGAAATAAAATCAGCAATCTGTGCTGCATAGTCTGATTGGGTTATATCGTCAAGCTTTTCTGAAACATCACCAACTAATGCTGTACAGTTTTGAGTAGGAGAATCAATCATTAAAATCGACTCATCAATGGACTTATCAATTCTACAACCACTTTGATCCTTCCTTAGTCTTGGTTTTGGCAATATAATGGATAAGTAGGTACCAACATTAATAGTACTCTCGCTTCCTATCAAAGGAGCTAACTTCACTTTTGAATTTAAATAGCTTAGATCTTCTGAGATAGGAGGATGAAACTCGTTTTTTGTAATGTCTAGAGAATTATTAACTTCCAAAAGATTGCCTGGAATGCCACACACTACAGGATGCTTTATTCCACGATCACAAATAGCATAAGCTATTATATCTGTAGATTTATTCAAAACATGACCTCCATGTTTACGACGGCCTTTGACATTTTTTTTCGAACGATTTGATCCATTGGAAACCTAAAATAATTAAGTAATAATGAAATTATGGGGTATATTCAATGTATCAGTTTCCGTTAAAGATTATCATTCACAAGAATATATAAGGTAACTAAGTTGTATGATAATTATAGTCTCATATTTGCATCAATAATTAACCATTCAGTGAGTCATTGTTTTGATTGTTACTTGATGGATTTTAAGCAAATATTAACCAAATACTATAACCAACATTGTGATCCATTAAAACCTGTTGAAAGACTCTTCCAACAGCGAATACTAGTCTACATAACAGGGAACAACTATTTCTCAACCTTGCAGTCACGATGTGGGAAGATATGATCACATGTCTTAGGTATACATACAGGTAACCGGAATCAGAACATAAAGTTAAGGAAATGCCAATTTCTAAATCTTAAAACTAATTATTACATGAGCTTAAACAAGCCTCCGAGCTACCAATCAATATACTCAAATATCCTGATACAGATAATTAAAAATCACCTATATCAAATTTAATCCGCCTGTAGCTCTTCTAGGGTTACTGCCGGTCGTAAACGCGGATAAAGGAGGACGGTTGAGGATGGGGTCATCAACTCCGCAGAAGAAAATGCTCCACATACTCGAGTTTCTCAGATATTGTAAAACACATAGAATGAGAACCTCATGGATCCAGGATCATCAAAGCATTCTTCAAAACAAAAGAGAGTCGCAATAAATGTTATCCGATGCCATGCACCCACCAATAATAGCAATGACGACGATAAAGATCAGTTTTGCGGGAGGCTGCAGTCGGTCATAGAGAAGTACTCAGAAAACAACCAGACTATCATGATGGGAGACTTAAACGCCAAAGTCGGGGGAGACAAGAACGAGTGTGAAGATATCATGGGACGACATGGACTGGGAAAAAGGAACGAGAATGGCAAGGGAATTGCAAATTTATGTGCATTCAACAAAACGGTTATAGGTAACACTATATCCCCACACAAACACATACTCAAAGCTACATAGGTTTCACTGGACGATACCACAGAGAACCAGATAGATCATATTTGCATCAGTAAGAAATTCATAAGGTCAACGGAAGATGTGAGAACCAGGAGAGGAGCTGACATAGCTTCAGATCACCATCTACATGGTGGTTGACAAAGTGAAACTGAATCTAAAAAAAGCAATGGATAACTAGGGAAACAGCATTACAAAGGTTCAATACAGACTTCCTTCGAGATACTGACAAACTCAGCGAATTCAGGATAACTCTCAACAACAGGTTCCAATCCTTACAGGATATACTAGAAGAAGAAGAAACTACTATGGAGGACAGTCGGGAAGGGATCAAAGAAGCATTAACTTCAATGTGTCAGGAAGTTCTGGGCCACAAGAAGCATCATCATAAGGAATGGATCTCTATGCAAACACTGGTCAAGACTCAAGAGAGGAAAAACAATAGGACAGCAATGAACAACAGCCGAACAAAAACAGACGAAGTCAAGGCACACTGAATACACAGAAGCAAACAAGCAAGTGAAAAGGAGCATTGGAGACGACAAGCAGAAATACGTGGAAGGGCTACATTGAATCCACTGGAGATTGAAACACACAGACCATTCTATAGATGTCACTGAACCAACGATCGAAGAAACCAGGATAACAATTAGACAAATCAAGTGTAGGGAAGCAACAGCACCAGACAATATACCAGCTAAAGAACTGATGTCACATATAGAGGTAACTGCAAACATGCTCCACATTCTATTCTGGAAGATTCAGAGGGATGATCACGTGCCAATGGATTGAAAAGAAGGATACCTCATCAACATGCCAGAGAAAGATCTGAGATCAAAAGGCTGGATTCTGTAAGAATTTGTCGCGCACGGACCAAATCGCGACACTACTGATCATTGTTGAACAATCAATTGGATGGAATTCGTCACTTTACATCAACTTCTTTGACTATACAAACGCGTTTGACAGCATGGGTAAGAAAACCTTGCAGAACCTTCATCGACACTATGGTGTACACGAGATCGTCAACATCACACCGATTTCATAGGACCGACTATACTGCAGAGTTATGCACGAAGAACAGCTGACAGACGTATTCCACGTGAAGACCGGGGTTAGTAAAGCTTGCCTACTCCCCTTCTTTTTCTTCTGAGGGTTAACTGGGTTATGTAGACCTCCATATCTCATGAGAAGCCCGGCATACAATGTACAACCTTAAATACAACTAGACGATTTAGACTTCGTATATCACCAATATCAAAGTCAGAAACTTCAATACTAACGTCAAGACAGTCAGTTCTACTGTACGGAGCTGAGATATGGATAACTACCACATCCATCATCAAAACAGTACAAGTATACTTATAAACAATTGTCTACTATAGATAGTCAATGTCCGTTGACTGGATACCATCAGTAGCAGTCTGGTGTGGGAGAGAACAAACAGCTTCCAGCTGAGGAGGAAATTAGGAAAATATGTTGGAAGTGGATAGGACACACACTGAGGAAATTACCAAACTGAATAACAAGGCAAGCGTTAACTTGAAATCCTGAAGGGAAAGTGAAAAGATCATGAAGCACATTGAGTTCGGAATCGGAAGCAGACATCAAAAGAATGGATAGCAACTGGGAAGGATCGCTCACGACAATGTTCGATGGAGAATTATGGCGGAAGGCTTATGCTCCTCCATGAGGTAACAGGCTTAAGTAATATCAAACATACATTCACAGTAGAAAAAGGCTATTTCGACAGTCATGTGCATACTAAAACTATAATGAAATGCATGTCATAAAAATCAAGCTACAATATAAAAACAAAGGGACGTAATACAAGTTTGCTTAACATGAATGATTTAAAATCAGTATAAAATATATCAAAAAAAGGTAACAAATATTTACCTGATAGTCTAATCCTAAAATTTCGTGAGTTACGGAAGAAGAACAGTCACTAAATGAATTCTTGCTACACCTTTTAAAAATATGGTGCCCACAAGCAAGACCAACAACACACAGAGTATTGCTATGCCTTAATATACAAATATCATTTTCCAACTCCCCACCAACATCAACTAAATAAAATGCATTGAAGTAACGCTCTACAAAACGTTGTGTTCTGTTATCAACCAAGAATCCGCTATTTGGGACGAACACATCCGATTGATGTTCAGAGACAGATCTTTGTGTTTGCATAGTTAAAAACCAATCACATGCTTCATATTCCCTTTCACTGTATTCTAGTGAAGTCATTAGGAACCTGAAAGTAAGACATTTCACTTTAAGATAAATAAGCAAGTTACTTACTGCATGTAAAAAATACAACACAACTCAAAATATCTTTTGCAAATGATATTACAATAATTTATGCATAAATTTTCAAGGAAAATCACCACAAACAAAGTGACTTTAAAACTACGTGAAACAAACAAGATTTGGTTAAAGCTGTTTTAAAATACAGAATAATTACATGGATGTATAAAACGTATGATAATGCAACTATTTTGTTGAGAGCCAGACAAAGGTTATCCAGGAATTAAAACGTTCTCTGCAGTTATTAACCTAACTCAAAATGACCTTCGAAATCAACGAGTAATGCCATGTAATACACAACATACAGTTTAAAAGAAAAAGACTAAATAGTATTCACTTTCAATTAAGAGATACATATGATTTATGTAACTCAATGACTTGGAAATTTGCTCACTAGACTTGTATCTAGAGGGTCGTTTGTTCAATACTAATTTAGGGTGGATAAATTCCTACAATTAATTGTCATCTCATATATAGTTCCAAAAGACTGCGGAAAAAATCCATGTATCATTTAACCTTACCATACAATAATTGTTATCATAAACTGAAATTAGGAAAACTCCGACTACACAAGCCTTTTCCTGTCTTAAAACGTGCTTTCTTTCATGGTCAAAAGGTTGAAACGGAGATTAAGTAAAACCGATAGAAAATGTGTGCCAGTTGAAGTTTATGTACTGCATATCAGCATAATAAATGAAAGTAAGCAAGGAAATAGGATGAATAGTGGGAAACGCCTAAGCGAAAAATGATGCAAATAATGAAAGCGGGAATCCAAGGTGTTCAGACCAATTAAACATATGATGAATCAATTTGTATTGTAAGCTAAATAGCTTAGCATTTCAATCACTTTCAGAGTTTAAGAAATCCACAGTGATTACGAAACTGATTCATATCGATAAAATGGATCGACCCATGTGTTTGACCAATCACGTTGGATAATCTTGTCAATCTTACATAGCGCGCTTGTAGCGTGGCAACCTAGGCTTTGAGTTAACGACATTCTTAAAAAGCTGGGAACCCACTTAAATCTAAGCTAATACGTCAGCCGGCTTACGAATCCTACGCTCATTCAACCTTGTTCTAAACCAAACCACAACAAGCCCTTCTACCCCGCGTGCTAATGACCTTGCAAAACTGTACCTGCATTAGTTAGTTCAAACGATTCAAAAACGTTCTAACATTCTTGTCCCTATTAGGGGATTACTTCGCCAATGAACCTTCGTGTTTGGAAGAAGAGGTAAAAGATTGTAGGAGTGCGAGATGAATGTCTTTAGGTCAAAACATGATTGATCGATGAGAAGACAGATAGTAACAAGAGTAAACTCGGGTGTTTAAACAGTGAAAACCGCAAGCATTAGTTTATGTCAGTCAAAACGCAAGGTACATTTGAGACGAAGATTTGTGAACAAAGAAAGAGGAGATGATAGTTGTGACGAGCAACGTATTCAGATTCGGGCAAAATATACTTGTAAGGCTGACTTTCGTACAACGGAAGGCTTGTGATGCCGAATCTGTCATCGTGTGGGTAGCATGCTTGAGCTAATTCATCCGCCTACTATTATCTGCTGAAATCGATGACATAACTAATAAAGATCACACTAGAATTTGGAGTGTGCTAACACTCAAGCCAGTAACACTTATAATCCAAGTGTATCAGCCTAGTCACAATAGAAGACAGGAATGAAAAAAGTTCGAACATATGTTTGAAAGGTTGTCCAACACGTCGAAGGAACATTTGGTCTAAACTGGCTAGTAGCTGAATAGAGATACGAAATCCGACGTGCCCGCTTGTGATCTAATATTGATGCGGGACACTGAATTTTCAGCTACTTGGGACCAGTAAAATTAATGCGGTCAACACGAAATGTCAAGGACTTACAAAACTATTGATTTCAGAGGTGTACTAACCGCTACACCATCAACGTCTAGCTTCTTCATGGCTAGCTATTTTCTGTAAATGGGAGTGGGCGTTAATAAACATTTCGTTATTATTGAGAAAACTTTAATACTGGAATTTATGAAAGAGTAACGATTAACTTCATGTTCACAATAAATAATAACCTGCATATCAGAATTCAATAAATTTTCATTGTTTGTTATGTCATGCAGGTACTATCAGGTCTTGTAGATGAGCAAGGTGTACCAACTCCTGAAATGGTGCTGATAGATGGCTGAGCGCCTCCAGTTACGGTGTTCAATTAAACTAATGAGGTTAGCATTGATGTCGAAGAAATACAATATATGTTAAACCAGCCAAGTGCCCACAAATTACTCATAAGTGAATCTTCGTTGTGATGTAATTGTTAAGATACAAAGTAATGAGATAGAGTTATGTAATGTCCTACGTGTAGTAGTCGTTCAAATATTCAGAAAACCTTACCTTTCTACAAGAGCGCGTTGTTTTTGGCTGGTTTTCAGATATCTGTGATGTTTCGTTTTGATTGCTGAATATCGGGTGAAGGCATAGTGATTGTGAGGCTTCCATCATTTAATTGTATGGGAGGGAGATGAAGATAATTATAGTTTATTTTCAATTAAGAGACCTGAAGACGGTCAATGCTAACGTTACAATTAGTTCCGTTTTTGCAGATGGTAGAGTAATAAGGTTTAAGATACAGGACATTAGAGGGTCCTTCGCATGCCATTTCGAGTCGACTTCTTAATGAACATTTACGTTCAAAAACCTGTGTACTGTCATAAAGCAGGTTGGTCGAAAACATCAGTAGACTATAATCGTGTGGAAACAGGTCCAGATGAACGCATAGCCTTTGCAATGTAGTTAGCATTGGTGTAGAAGGCTTGCTAGAACTACTTACATTTACAACTGCATATTACATCTATGACTATTGTAAACACATTTATTAAACGTATCACTTACATCAATTCCGTTTGCCTGTATTATTATTGTCGTACAAATCATCCCTAGCTCCCATTCTGAATTGCACTCCTAGTATTTCGTTTTCGTAAGATCAGAGAAACATAAGTTTGCTGCGTGGATACACATCTCTTTAATTACCTTTCATTATGTTGATACATATTTTTACTAGGTTCTGGGTTAGTAGTGACCGACATAAGAGCATAATTCCGAAAAATAAGAACCCTCCCACTTATGTCGCAACAATCACTCATACAAGGGAACTAATTGTCCTATATTACATCCTAAATACATTGGTGTCTTTTGTTTCCAGCCATCGACTAGTCTTCACTTTCCCTTCCCAGTAGAATAGGAGCGACCATACCTCGTTTGGGTGAATAATTGATACAATATGTGGATCGTAATTTCCTCGCAGCTATCATTGTGATGCTTCCAGTTCCCAAATATCTTACAGTCAATAAAATAAGATCAGGTATCAACGAGTAGAGCAGATAGATTCTTCTTCCCCTCTAAATAACTTTTTTTATCTTCTTTCGTTATCATTAGACCCCTTGTTGTTGTAACTTGTCAAGATATGTGTGTTGGCAGAAATGATATGAAATGGAAATCAAATTAATGGGATTAAGTGTCTACAACAGAATGAAGGACGAGAATAGTAGTGATTGCAGTTCTCATCATTAAGTCCGTTACTAGAGCTAGTTCCGAAGTTTGAGATTAAGGAATTCAGGACAACAATGTAGTACTGCATAACAACGCTGCGAGTAAATATACGAAACAAACGATATTGAAAAGAAGAAACCATAATCACGAGAGTGAACAGCGGCGCTTCTGCTATAAAACCTTAATCAGTTACCCAACTAACAGATTATCACAGGAACCACATTATTTGCTTCCATATCTAAAATCGGAAGCTGCCACACTGGTAAACAAAATTACATATCTTGACAAATGAATCGAATAGTTTTTGGGATATGGTGATTACTATAATTTATAGCATTACGAATAAAAAGTCTGAAACGCACATACACAAATACAAATGAAAATGCAGATGTAATCACAAAGTCATCACGAAAATAAGCATTTACAAAGATAATGAAGAAATAAAAGCCACAATACGTTCCTTTTCTTTTTTGATATAAACAATATTATACCAATGGGTATTATTATTATTACTCAGGGACTAGTGGAGTTTTTGAATGTTTAAGCGATTTATTTTCAATTAAATATAGATCATTCACTTCTAAAGAATCAGTTGGTTGATTAACCCGGTCGTTATCACCAGTCGGATTCATATTTGTATCATCGACCAATGTAGGCAAACTGCCTGACCACATTAGTTTCCATTCATTTACACCATCACAAACGATAACAACAATGAAGGTTACAAGAAGAGTAAATGGACATAGGTACAATAAAGCTGGTTGACTGACATTAGTAACGTTTAACATAATGATGGTAACTATGAAACCAAGTGAGTAACCTAAAATAGTAACCAAAGTCAGTGATAAATTGGTAAAGAAATAAAAAATGAACTGAATTTCGAAAAACATAAACTCTTATTCAGATTTTTTTCAAATATATGTTTTTTTCCTTTGGAATAAAATTTATCAGCAAACAATACTGTTTCTAATGTGATCTTTGCTTAAATATAAGGTAATATTTACATACATGTATAGAGAAAATAAGTCAATTAAGGCCATTTATGATAAATACATTGTTACCCGACCATTCAACAACAATACGATAAGATTGGTAGAATGTTGAAAAATAAAATGATTAATAATTTCAAATAAACATTCATTTTATCAAAATGTTTCTTTCTAGTAGTTAAACTAAGTATTAGTAGATCTCTCATACCACTTAAACAGAAAGATGTAAACATTTCCATCAGTTCAAGGTCATAAGTTTTAACTGAATACGATAGTTTTCAGTATGAGTATTTGTGTGTGCGTAACTAAAAGGAATTTTAAATACATATATTGAGTAGAGTATCGATGATGTTAGGAAATGTAAAATGTTTTACAATTGATGATCACGTACACAAGTGCCATAAAAACGCAGGTGATGTAATAAAAATTATTATTTAGAAGATAATTAAAAGTAGGAATTAAGTATGCAGTAATATGACATATCGGGCATATTTTGTGAGATATGTGACAAAGAAATGACTCCGAGCTACATATTTCAATTGTTGATATTAAACATCGTTTTTAATTAGACATTTTGTATAAGCCCCTTGTTACTGAAAGCATTTTTTAGTCAAATGCATATAGGAAGAAGAAGAATAGAGATTTTTAATTATCGGATATTCAAATATTATTTTGGGTAATTTTTTTAAGGATTGAGAGGCAAATAATCAATCGGATGCGACTTAAATGAACAATTAAATGATAATGTAGTTCCCTAATTTTGAATACTAACCAGATTTTGTTTTATTTTAAAATACGTAATAGCGTTAGTAAATTAGACATCCTGTCATTGTGCTCTATTGAAGGTCGAGTAATGTTGAAAGCCATAAATAACTTCCACAATATTGGAAGTAGACATCAAAAGAATAAATAACAACTGGAAAGGATTGTTCAGGACAAAGTTCGATGGAGAATCCTGATGAACGGCTTACGCTCCACCACGGGGGGTGACAGGCGTAAGTAGGTTGCTTATGAGAAAAATATTGTTTTTACGTTCTGGTTTTATAATTCGGCACACTTAAACACAATTGAAAGCTTTCTCAAAAAAGTCGAGGAAAAAGATTTCAGAAAATTATAGACCATTTGAACAGCAAATATGCTAATCATAGGTACACAGAGTTGCTGTAAAAGCACTGATACATTATTATTTCTCATTTCTACTGTATTTTTTTACGCATAAAAAAATTAAATCGATCATAGAAATAGATTTAAGGAAATAATTTTTTTTAATAAAAAAAAACCAACCTAAAAGTCCACCTAAAAAGTGTCGATAGTACAGAGTGCGCCAACATGCATCATAGAATGCCAGAAATTGGATAAATAATCCTGAAAATTATTTTTTTTTCGGAGAAAAAATAGGTAAGAAAATGATCAACTAGTAACCATAAAATGAATTATATACAATAGACTGTCATCTTTGTACCGTGAAATTAATATATTTCTTGCATTATGAATAAATACTCATTTGTACTTACAATCATAACAGTGACAGACAATGAGGAAGCGTAAAAGTATAACTCATATATGACTAATATATAAGTCATATAATTTAAGTAGTCTTTAGCTGTTTTTCTTGTTAATTTAAAATGTATTTATTTCTAAACATACGGAGTCCAGCAAGTAAAATGATGCAATAAAGTAAATAAGATGAAGTACTTGATTGTTTATATTTTTGTACTAATGAATATGTCTCAAGGTAGGTTAATTCAAAATAATGCAGATTGACATTATGTTCATTTATGATTCGGCTGTGAGATTTTATCATATCTATAAAAAAGAGAAACTTTTTACTTTCCAACGGAGTATTTTGGAAATATAAATCTCTGCGTAGGGCTGAGATGCTTACGTACATCGATTGTTGAGTAGTAACCTATAAGAGATTATCGATAGCCCAAATAGTTCAATTCTAACAGGTTCGAATATCAGTTCCCTTAGCGCTGCAGAAATCTCACTTTTTAATAAATATCAACCAGTATGAGACTTAAATTCGGATTTTTCGCTAGTTTGCATTCAATCACTGAACTTAATAACTTGTAAATTGCAGTCTTCCCTGAATACTGTCAAATAACCTAATACAAATTATGATGCAAAGTTATGAAACAAATAACTCTAAAGAAACAAGAATACGATACATATATATCCATTTGACGCAATAAAATCTAGGGACATCAAATGAAAGGTACCAATTACAAAAACTAAACAAGCACACAGAAGCTTCATTAGAAAATGACTGAAATTTCTGATTAAAATAAAGTGAACATTAAATACACCTTTGTAGACCACGGAAATAAAAATCTTGCATAGTCATTGGAGAGATTACTTAATTTTAATAACATTGCATTTAAAATTACAGTCAAGAAAATCGATAAAAGAATTTTACTGAAATTATGAACCGACTAATGATAGATCACCATTGAAAACCTGGAAGCACTGGACGGCCATCTTGTGCCAGACTAGGAAGAAAAGACTGTTCAGTGCTTCTAGATTTTTAATGGTGGTCTAACATTGATCGCTTCATAATTTTAGTGAAATTCAACAACTCAATCAACCAAATCGATAAGAGAATAATAAAAATGTCACATATATACACTATTAACAAATAACATAAAATGAAAGAAAATTTTCCCATAGACAAACTTTTATTAAAGTAAAAATAACAAGAGTATTAGAATAAGGTGAATTCATTTATTTCATAGATCCTCATCAGCTGCTTAAAACCTAGAAATAGTAGTAATAATTATTTTTAGCCAATCTATGTGCATTAATGAAGATTAGTAGAATAACGAAAATTGTTGTCGTCATCGTTTCGAGGTCGTAAGGAACTGACAAGGATCTACGAAACAAATGAATTCCCCCTTAATCCACTACGTTTGTTGTATTTGCTTTATTCCAATTAACATAAAGTTCAATATTTGAAATTGAAGTCTCTAAGAAAGCACCAAATGACGGTAAATTTAAATAGTAGATTTTGAATTGTAAAAATAAAACCAAAGACCATTTTCATTAGATTACAATCTTTACAAAAAATGAGACAAACAAGCATAAAACTCTACGATCTCCATAAACCCCATAATACTGATAATTATCATGTGCTCACGAGTGATTAATTTCGAGGGGTAATTCATGAAGCGCTAGTGAGAAGCCGTAATCAATAGAGTTCGGATTTCTTCGGCGTGAAGTGACCAACCGCAGACAATAGCAGACAGTTGTGAAGTACTGAGAATTGTTTAAAGTCAGACATGTAAACCATCGGATGTCGACTCAATAGTCGGGAGGTTGATCACTCATCTTGAAACCTAAGTCTTAAAATCGATCCTCGATGGAGCAGTGGATGGGCACTGTCACAAAATCTCAATAATAAAAATGAAACAGTTTTCCAGTGCTTCCTGGTTTCCCATGGTTTTCCAACTTAGGTCGGTTTGTGATCCCAATAGCATTCAACAATCGTCAAAAACTCCCTATATTGATAGATAAAATTTTATTTGCGGAAACAAACAAAAATGTATTGACCACTTTACCGGGAATAACAGCATCACCAAATCCTAGAAGAGAAGAATATGGCATGGTCGCGGTATTGTGTTTATTCACTTCTATATGTTCATTGATAAGTAGACGAAATGATAACGGTATCAGTTCTCCACTTTTACCGGCTGAACCAGTTGCTACGGCTTCCATAAAACTATGAGCAGTTGAACGTCGTGCTCTAGTAAGTTGGATATGCTCAGAGGAATGACTAACATTGGTTGATGCAGTTGACTGCGGAAAAAATTCAAGTAATTAAAAAGAAGCTTGAGTTGTTTGATATGTGTTTAGTGAAATTAGATGTGGTTGACCATTGAATGTGGACAAACAAAAAGCTTACTGACTATTATATGTGCGATCTACTTTCATACCACTGATTTGTACTTTAAATTCATTGAGTGTGACTGCTTGCAATCGATTCAAATAAAGTAATGTCTTATCTATGCTCTGACTATTTTTGGTCATGAATCGTGTGTCTGGTGTAATGCTATCCAGTTCGTGCAAGATCTAATGATCAAGTATTCAATCTTTCTTACATACTTATGCCTGTTACCTCTCATGGAGGACCATAGACCGCTCACCAGCATTCTTCATCCAACTCTGCACTGAGCAATCCTTTCCAGTTGCTATTCATCTTATTCATGTTTGTTTTTAATTCTCGAGGCAGTGTGGTTTTTGCCTTCTTCATTTTCGTTTTCCTTCAGGATTCCAAGTTTGTGCTTGCTTCATAATGCAGTTTGATGATTTCCTCAGTGTGTCCTATCCACTTCCAACATATTTTCCTAATTTCCTCCTCGGCTGGAAGCTGTTTGTTCTCTCCCACAGTAGGCTGTTACTGATTGTATCCAGTCAACGGACATTGACTATCTATAGTAGACAATTGTTTATAAATATACTTGTACTGTTTTGATGATGGATGTGGTAGTTATCCATGTCTCAGCTCCGTACAGTAGAAATGACTGTCTTGACGTTAGTATTGAAGATTCTGACTTTGATATTGGTTGACCGACAGATATTTTAAGTTCTATGTGTTCTTCAATTGTAGGAATGAGGCCCTTGCTTTGGCCGTATTCAATCTGACAGTAGCATAATCTCGGTCAGCGGACGAATCATCATATTACAGTACTATATTTTGAAAACGAGAAAACATATTCATTCATCTGTTATATCATTATCAAGCTAATGCTAAAATGAACTTAACTGTATTGTTTAACTCAGTAATCATCATTTTCTTTTAAAAAAGGTTAGTGAGATCATTCATATATTTTCAACTCGATAGATGGTGTGAAATGTTTGACACATGTCAACTGATAGCCAAAAATCAACTTTTCAATACACTGAGTTCGAACACTCAGTCAAAATGAACATTTAATGAACAGAATTCTACGTAAACTTGCTGAAATCTCAGATTAGAACCTCATTGTTTATGAAAATTTAACTGAATGTGTTTGTTTTATTCAAATATGCAGACTATGCTGAAGACAATATTAAGACAATGAAGAACGATAGAAATATGTAAGCAAAAATTAGTGGAATAAAAACCACTTATGAATTCATATCAAATTGAAACTAAAAAAAAATCGTCAATGATGGTGATCAATAACTATGCGTAAAAGGAGATTTAGATACATTGCAAGTCTCAAGTGCAAACCTCATCTTATTTATGTTGGTTCGTGAATATCTTTAGTAGCCTTATTATTAACGTTACAAAAAGATATCAGAAATTAATAGAATCTTTTTTTTGATAAAATCAAATGATAACTATAAAATATACCAATTAGTTTAAAAATACATAAATAACTTACTATGAATAAGGGAGTAATAAATACGAAGAATATATCATAGATCAAAAATGCAGTAAACAAAAGTGTACCAACCTAACGAGAAAAGAATACGAAGAAAAAAAAGAATATAAAGAAGTCACGAAATTATTTTTTACAAAGTTGTCAACCAAAATATAACCAGACAAAGATGATAAGACCTATGTTATATATAAGTGCAATAAATCATGAACAATTTGATCATATATATACTTGTTGAGAAAAAATTCAAACTCTTTTTATGTATTCAGATACAGTTTGTATTTGCTCTAAATCTATTCTTGGTAATATTTATTTACTATTCATAGTGGTGAGTTTTATACTGTTTGTTCGCCTAATTGATCGTTTATTAATCATATATAAATGTTCTTAACAAAAATATAGATGTGGTCAGATTGTTCAAAATGTATTGCGCTAATATGTCATATAGTTTTGACAATCTTCATTTTCTTATTACATTATCCAAAATTCTCAAGGGGACTGATTATTTCCAATTAAAGTATACTTATATACATAGGTGAAGATATATATTGTAGACTACACTCTGTAATACGGACACAGACATATAAGCCGATAGAACAACAAACTGAAATAAATGAAATCACCTTTAAAAAGACGATGAAAGATAGATCAGAAATTTACTTTTTGTATGATTTGAAAGACTATGCCTTATATCCGATATCTCAGTAGCAATATCCCCAACTTTGGTGAAGCTTTGGATTCCACAAATAACATCATTCCCATCCAAATTGCAGATGTAGCTTACTGATGTGTGCTAAATAACATGAAACTTAGGTCCAGGGTTATCAATAATCTAACGCTGAATAAATTAAAGCAGTCCAAACTATCACACCGCAAACTCACTACAAAAACAAGAAGTTTTCATCAATATAACAAGTAAAACATAAAGGGTAACTCTAACCCCGAGCTTCATTTGAACAAATAGACACATAAAAACGATCAACGCATTTTACGGGAAAAACAATTGAGGATTCAGACAACAAAGAAATACAACCAACCAAAGAGTAGTCGAGACACAATCATAAGACATTTCTGCTAGAGACAGATGTCTATAGACTTTAATGGCTTTTATACACCTGCATGAGGGTATTCTGACTTCTGAACAGACATTAATAATTCAAACAGTATGTATCTAACACGTCATTCTTTGTCATCCTAACCATTCTTTAGTCATCATAGATAGGTGAGATCGGCTGAGTAACCATGTTAATCGTGGTCTTATTGATTATTCACTTTTACCCATATACCTTTTTGTAACTTTGTATGTGTTAGTAAGTACTTATCTAGGCATCTACAAAGTGTTAACTGACTACAAAAGCTGAGTCACACCCAAGTCACCGATCTTGATCAAAACCCGATTTCCATACTCACTACACGTTTTGTTTGCCTGGTCACTCACGGATGCTTGAAATAAACGCGCCCCATATAAATTTTGTATTTTAGCGCTTTCGCGACCGCATTGTCAAAAACGAGATTTAGTCAAAGAATATAAACGATATATATATATATATATATATATATATATATATATATATATATATATATATATATATATATATATATATATATATATATATATATATATATATGAATCACATGAGCTATCACAAGACTGTTGTGTAAAAATTATAATTTACCAGTGCACTAAATAGAAAATATATTTTGAGTACATCAAGCGTAATCATAGGGTATTATAGTGATTACTGAATTTAAAGTTTTATACCACAAAGTTCAGTCATGACAGGATTGAGTTACCAGTCTATAGCACCGAGTGATAGTAACGCAATATCGCGAGTCGATTACGTTAGAATTGTAGATCATTGGATGATAAAATCAGCGGTCTGAAGGTTAAGGGTTTAACTTCTAGTAAAGTTGTAGATCACCATCCTTGAGAAGTCCTATATTGAAACTAAACATTTGTCTAGTGCTTTCTGGTTTCCAATCTCTATTTTTTTAAAAACCAGTTCGAGGTGTGAAATTCCAAGTACCAAATGTGACGGGTAGATGTAACAAGTAAGAAATGGGATAGAATTTATCACAAACATACTCCTCGATTACCTTGACTGATGGTAAAATCAACCCAGATGAAATAATCACTGCCACTATAAACATCCCGATAACAGATTGCAAAGGCCAACCAATTCTAATAAAAGATTCAAATAGTGTAATGAATGAGAATCATAATGTCAAAGTATAATTTGATAACAATGTTTTTTTAAACAAAATGCTCATTTAAATAGTGTTAATGGCACCTTTTCAGTTAATGACTGTATTATACAGCAATAACATACCATACACAAGGGGTATATGTATTAGATAGCATGATACACAAGGTTCTATCTCAAAGATCGATATTACACTAGATTTTTATTCTAATTTCAACAACCAACAATTTCATATCTTCCACAAAACACATAATCTTGTAGAATACGATGAAACAATTATTGAATTGCATTTAATCGAATATATTTTAAAAACCTAAGCAGTTTAAAGAAACATTGGAAAGTAAAGTTTCTTTAACTAGCGAAACTACTCGCCTAATCACAAAATTGCTAATACACAAAATTTTCATAAAGCTTACTAAACAGTGGGGATAAAATCATGAATGTTGAGATAATTTCATAACAGAACCTGATGAACTCAAGATTTTAACGTCACACAGCAAGTGTTACCTTTAGATTACCGTGATGAAACATATGTCTACAATCTGTTCAACTAAATAATAACCTAATACTTTACATTACGGACTGACCTTAATTAAAAAAACGATAAACGCCAGGAATTACTGGACAGTTACTTTATCTCATTGAGACTGCTCAGCAGGATGAACTCGCGACACAGCTTAAGGATTGTGAATCGACTGAATTTAGATATGGAAACCACCTGATCCTAGTTCAATGGTCTGAAGGTTAAGGACCTTGGTCAGACAATTGTTTGTTTGATAAAGCGATTGGCGCACTTCATTTATTAGGGTTAAGACATGCATCAGCTCAGCACAGTATTGAAGTAAGAATTTTTAGTTGAGAAAGATATGAAGTATCTCAAACATTCTCAGATTTTGACTAAAAATTTCTATAATATTCACCCATTAAGCCATACGACCTACTGAACAGGTCTTCTATTTGCATACTACAAATGGATTAGGTAACATCTGGAGAAGGAAAAAGTTTTTGAGCATTTGTATAAAAAAACTGTTGCTCTTGCTAACATATGTATGACAAATTATAGAATATAAACCCCACGTCATAGTAATACATAAACATTTGGATTTTACCAATGAAATTGAATGGTAAATGATCATAAAGAACATACGTGTACATGATGATTAAAAACAAAGACATATAAAACTGAAGCTTACATTTCATTATTACGAAATACCAACCACGTTGCAGTTATGGCCAAACCGATTGGTAAAGTAACTAGAGAAAGAATACATATTTTTCCGGGACTAATAACTCGACAACATTTTACATTAATTGTTATCCTAAATAAAATTAAAGGGGAAAAATGGAATATACGATGAAGTATTACACAAAGCTATAATAACATTCGATCTAAAATGAAAGATCTTTTGCAGTGAAAAAACATCAAATATTTATTGTTTTGATTTATTATTAACTTAGTATCAGCTTATATTAATGACGTTAGAGATGCAATTTTAGTTTAGTAAAAGTAATAAGTGTACAAATAATGAGCATGAGAATAGTCTGCTAATCACTCACTATTCTCCCTCCTAAACTTCAAAATTAATGAACTATACCTTAGATTTAACTTCCGTTTTCACTGAAATCATGAACCGACTAATGTTAGACCACTCAATGAAACCTAGATGGTCGTTTCGTCCTGGTAAAAGATTCCTCAACAGCATCCATCCACGATCCCGGACGTGGGCGTATAGCACGCTAATGCTTAACCTATGGACCACTGAACCAGCACCCAACGGTGTTAATGTATAACTCCAATCAATCCACGACATTGCACGACCATCTTCTATTGTCTCCGGTGGTTAACTGTTTCACACCCGGCACGGTCAAACTCTGCTGGTCAGTTCGTTTTTGTAATCTATGTAAATCCTGTCACCATCACAAAAATCTACACTTATCGTTATTATTGTTATCTTCATTACATTGATTTTGTATTTGGAAATATCTCCCCATCACTTTCAGTATTTTCCAAATACTTATGATTCTCCTCATTACTGCTTCCAATATCGATTTAATTCATTTAACCCTTCTAATACCTTCAATTATTGTGATAAAAATTTTTTAATTATCTTACTTTATTCACAGAATAATCAATTATTAACCTATTAATTTTACGCACACACAAACGTTTATTGTTATTATTCACATTATATAATCTAGTAATATAACTTTTCTGTTACATTATCACATTTATTCATGGTTTATATGCCTTCATATGATTGATACCTCATTTATATATAAAGCTTTATAACAAATTCATCCAAAAGAGATCCCTTTTCATTTTCAATGAATTAGTATAAGTACTTTTTAGGAGTATCTATTAAGTGGTTGTCCAATGGGAACAATTTAATTCTAATTGTGACCGCGATTTGAATTTATTCAATATTGTTACATTATTTATAGGTAAGAAATAACTATCATTCATTTGTACGAATATTCGTCAACATTAGAACGAATAGTTTGACAGTAATTGAGCGCCGATTATAGAGAAGTCATTATATGTGAAAATTATATTTGAAATATTCTCAGCGATTGAAATTTAACTAATTCTAACGTTTCGTCCATCTAACTTGTCTGGACTTCTTCAGGGTAATAATCAAAATCAATCATTCAATTATAATGAAATTATTTGAGAAAAATTCGTTAAAGATGCTCATAGACAGACGACGCAACACCAACCAACTCCTTAAAAAAGAGGTTTGGGATTTCGTCAGTTCCTAAACATTGGTACGAGTTGAGTGACTGGAGACATTTTCGGACATCACTTTCAGTGAAAATTGGAACACAACTATTCTTCAGACTTGTGGATATAGGAAGCATGAAATCAGATGATTGACGTAAAAAAAATTTATTTTAGTCACAAACATTCAGCTGGTTATCGTCACTAGTGTGTCTCACACTTGTAAGCTCTTTAAATAATTTCCGCATACTTGAAGAGATTTTACAAAATGGGAGTTTCTAAATAAACATCAAGTTCATGTGTCTAATCTCTAGGTTTATTAGATCATTTAGCTTTCGAACTTCAACAGAATTTTTATCCGCGTATATTCTTTCTGTTTGCCTTCGTAATCACTTTAGTTCTGGGGATGTAAGTCAAACAAAACTTACAAAAATAGTTTTATCGAAACAACAAACAATAAAGCAGAATTTAGGATTACAAGTGACAAAATCAAAGGTATTTCCCTGTGAGTCATTTGTAAATAATTTCCAGTTTGTCGTACGAAACATGTTTTTTCCAGATTTTGGATACTTCCTTTATATGACTGATGTATTTATTTGTTTATTTGAACACACAAATAGTAGTACAAAGGGACACCGAATACATATGCACCATACAAATCACTTGACTTGTGTGTGTGCTGTGATACTGCCCCGGTGCCCAAATCGAAGCCTTCGACCTAAATGTCTGATCCACAAGGCAGTGGAGCAACTTAAGGAGATGCAGTCCCATGTTGGCCGGTGACCAACGACTGGTTCATACGCCATTTGTTCCTTCAGGATACTGGAGTCCATGTGCACCACTGGTTTGACATCAGGGTTTTCCAACTCTCCTAGGTGGATACTCCGTGTCCACCAACACGGTTAAAGCGCCAGACATTCGCCTTTCGTCCTCTCAATTTCGTAGACAACACCGCTGCCGCGAGAAGGCAGTAAGTAGGACTTCCGTGGTAGTGGTTGCATGCACGTGGCCATGTGAGAGTATTTCGAGAGGGAGAGCTAACTCTACCCACCCTCGACCGTACCACGGCATTTGGGATGTACTCTTTATAAGTTTGCCATATACTTTGGGTAGAACACAAATAACACAATGATCAGAACTAAACAACGGAACACGATTGAAAGTCACATATATTCCCGCATCATTAATGAAAACTAAGTCTACATGGACATCCGAACGAGTGGGAAAATCGATTACATTTTGGTGACTTAGTGATGAAAGAAAACTACAATCACATGGATTAAAATCACTACAAATGACTGAAAGAGAAACATTGAAGCAGATATCAGTGAATTCGTCAACGAAAACAGATAGTGCAGATGATATGCGTTCCGGAGTTACGTAAATGTTTGTAACAAAAATACGATTGTATTTGTTCAAGTGCCTCGAACGGCATCATAAATTTAAACAGTCGATAAAGTCGTTTTTCTAAAAATTTGAAACATGCACCAGTTCACATTGACAAATGTGGCTAGACCGCCGCCACATTTTCTTATTGCTTCATCGTTTCTAATGATAAATATTGAAACCAGTTAGCGATACTAAACAATCGTCGTGTAAAGCATTTATCCAGGATTCTTGAATTGTGATTATACAGAAATGAAAAAGTGTGTTTACACTTAATAGTGATTGAATATAGTCCACCTTTGCAATTAGCGATCGGCAGTTGAAAATTAGCAGTTCAGGAATCGACATCTGATTAATGTTCATTTTTTCCGATGCACATTGCCATACACTATGTCTCTGGTTGTATCTTTTAGAACTTTGTGAAGCGATAGGTTGTAAACATTTTATATACGCTCTTGAATAGGTAATGAGAATAATAGACATATTAATGTTTTAAAACAAACAATACCGATAACTTGTTGAAATATCTAGATGGTAGGATCAGGTAGCTCAGATATTCAGGCAGGCCGCCACAGTTTATATAAATATAATTAACACATCAAATGAATATTGAAAGAAACTAAAATTAGACTCACGTTTTGGTTGTTGCAGGAGCAATACGTTGGATAATAAATTTAAGGAATTTCGAAATTGAATTTGCGCCTACCAGTACAAACAGTGCTATTAAGAGATATACTAAAAGAAAAGAGAATTATGCAAAACATTCATTAAAATATGAAGCAAAGTGCTGAAGACAAGAGTTTTCAAAGAGAATATCTGTATAAGAAGCCATCCAAATGAAAATAACCATGAAAATTGCAGTACGTTCGCAAAATATCTAGTAAGTATATCATTCTTTTGTGAAGAATATTGTGCATGAAATAATCTTTGAGTGATACAAAGGTTTATCATTTGATTATTTACGGTTAATACGATAACATAGTATAACGTGCACGCATCGAAATCTAATATATCAAACTTTCACACGATATATACTAATCTTTATCTAGGTTCGTTCTCTCTGTCTAAAATCTAAGAGGTTACTCTTTAAAACGTATATCAACTGGTCGATTAAGACTTACACTTACCACTGAGTAACACTGTAAGAAGATCCTTTGTATGCAGTTAAGAATCTACTATATGAAAATCCTGCTTCGAAATTGAACTGTTACAAAGTTTCGGTTGATATTAAGAATCGAAGAAGTTTAGCACACTGATAACTTTACGTATTTGATCAATTCTAATGAGTTATTGAATGATGAATTTAAGCCATCTGTGACCCATGTAATACATTCATCTGCTAATTAAACAGTGACTATAGTGAGTAGTATTCCACTCTGTATTAGTTTACGAATATGAAAAACAGCATCTAAAAGTCGACAACATACATGAGTTGTTGATAGATCCGATGTCGCTGAAGTACTATTGGTGAGGATGTGTTATCAACTTAATGGTACTGGTGATAGGCACACGGCGCTTACATAAATATGTTAAATTTATTGAGAACATTTACTGACTTAGGTAGTAAATTATCCATACCCAATCACCACTTAATTTAGTGCAATACACTGTATAGAATACAAGTATTCTGATAACAACATCGAGTTACAATAAGATAGTGATATAATTCAAATTGAGCAAAGAAAAGTATAGATATTCTGGTTAAGATCCACAATATAATTATAATCTACTATTGTAAGTTTAAATCTTAGTTGCATTGATTGTTTATTTTCACCTAAATCTTGATCATATTACCATTTATGTATACATCATTCCTAAATTTTACTTGCATCCCATGTATCTTTTTTAAGTTTATTGTTTTAAAGCTATTGGACACTATTAATTTCAACAGACACAAAATGTGACAACTTCAGCCAACACATATTTGACAAAATGGAAGACAAGGTTGAAAGTTACCAAACCACAACATTTATGATCACCAAGGATTCAACAGTACATTCTTTTAAATCAAATAATAATACATTACAGTTGAAAACTTTATTCTCCTATATGATTCAAAGATATTTATCACTAGGGTAAACATAAACTGCATTTAATTACCAAACTGAATCACCACACTTTATAATTTAGTAAATTTGGTGACTAACTGTAGATTATTAAGCAGAGAAATCATTCGATGTGTGTTTATACTGGAGACTGAGATGATTTCAGCATGTTTTACACATGGTAAACTCTACCAGTTACCGGATATAGTAAGATTGGTAAACGACAAGTTAAATGGCAATCACGTGCAATATAAGGAGACCACTAATGTATGGTGTTGTAGATACATGGTTTGTATCATACGGAGAGCTTCTAGATAACAGGGTCGGGTTTTCAAGACATCGACACCTGTTCCATTGGGGATTTATGATCATTGTCTGTCACTGTGTCAATAAAAAAGACAGAATTATTCCGATTTTTCATTGCGTCGAGTTGTATCTTGTTCCACCACTTTGCTCATGGTCTCAAAGCTTTTAGAAAGTTAGAAATCCCATACATACACAGTGCATTGAATTACTGAGGTGAAAACACTAGATGACAGAGGATAACGAGTGACAAAACTTAATTGTTTTGGAAAACACAAATAATTCTAATAACTAAACATTTAACATTTCATGAAGTGAACAGCTTTAAACTCTAAGCATATCATAATAAAATTAGACTACATTGTATAAAAAAGCTTACCTAATACATCATACAGGAAGTAAGTTAGCAACAAGAGTGTAACAGAAATTACCAAACATACGACAATATATAAATACAAAGAAGATTTGAACTTTGGTAGAAAACTTTGATGTCTAACGTAATCTAGTAACCTGGAAATAATATAAGACAGAAACAAGAAATCTACGTCAGATTAACGTCACCGAAGCAATCACTAGGAAAGAAAAGTTAATTTAATCAGATATGATTGAAATATAAACAAATACTTTGTAAAATGAAATCTAACATGATATATGTGTGGAGTACTTCACAGTTCAACTGAACCAAATCACAGATAGCAACCAAACATAATGTTTTACGATTCAAGTCACTCATAATCAAATGTCATACATAGGTCGACAACAAGGGTTGTTTACAGAAGAATTTGTTACGTCCTCTACTTAATTACGGTAGAATACGGTATACAAATATCGGCACTCGAACCTGTATAACCCCACAGTCCCAAATCAAAGTACGGAAGAGGCAGGGAGGAGTGATTATTGGATAGGAGTTAAAAATGTACAGAAAACACAGAGGTTTAATAGTTCTTAATATTGGCCATAACATAGTTATAATCCAGCCAATCAGCAAGGAGGAAATCCATGCAATTGTCTAATCATAGCATGCCACGTTGATATTCCATAAGACTCGATCAGATTATGATTGGACGGAATCTTTTCAGCTCATTTAGAACCTCTGGAGGCTTCGTCGTGCTTTTTGGACCTGTCCCAACAAAATTATTCGACACCATCGCTCAGATGAACAAGAAATATTCACAAGCAGGGAATTATTTGAAAATTCATCGGGAAAACCGCAGATACTATTAGGTAATACCTGTTTCGTTACACGATAATCGATACGATTAATTTGAGATTGTTAGCGATAAGCAATTACTCATGACTTGAAAAATGCTGATCGATCTTTTCATCTTTTATTTACAATTTACATGGATCACTGATAGATAAGAACCCACGGCCCACATCTATACAAAATCAACGTGTTCGATAGCTGAAATAGTTCGATAGTATGTTGAAATAATACTGTAAGCTAAATTTTAAATTTCACTTTAACATAAATACTTTATTAATCATTCGAACATAATTGTAAGCAATTGCATCGAGAAGGTACGATGATGAAAATAACAATAGTAAGGACTGAAAAGTGTTATCAACTCCATTGCCAACATAAAAAAACCCAATAAAATGAATTAATAATGGATTTTTTTTATATGTCAATGAGCAGAAAAATTGTATTTCTAACGTTTCATGACTTAATGTAAGCCACTTCGTCAGAGTAGATAAAAAACAAAGGTTAAACAAGTAAATTCAGTAAATATTTCTGACAAACCTTTATGTGATCACCTTCCAATGTATTCAAGGTGTTAGTCGTTTCTTTAGACTATAAAGTCTCATTAGACTTGTGTCTAATTTTATATCCATATATAGATAAATTCATACGATCTTTTACAACAAATATTTCATAATTTTTAGCCATTTATAGTGTTTTTACAGAGTGGCACAACAGAAATTCTTCGATTTTTACTCCTAAATAACAGTTTTAATCTTTCGTTTCCCAAATACAATCAATAACAAAACATTGGAGACTTATTACAATTACAAGTTTCTCATTGATGATAGGCTTCACGTTTAACTTGTCTCGTCAGAATGTGAATGGCAGAGATTGGATAAACTATGATTTAAATTAATTAGTCATCTATAAAGTATAATCGTGCCAATAAGTGAACGAGTTTCTGGCAGTTACAATTGATAACAGACAATTATTAGGTAGTTGGAAGTAATCACCATCAAGTCATGGACCTAGGTTTTCTGCCCACTACCTACAAAAAAATACATCCGATAACAAGTCATTTAGGCTAGTAGCTATACAGAAATTCGATAGAATTTAGTTAGCATTAAATACTAAACCATGGTGAGTTAATGAAAACTACCTATCTACTAAACATTAAATTTGATTGTATTTTAAAAGAAGATAAATAAAACTGAAGTTTAAAGGTAGCACAGACAATGAAATCATAATCTAATATCTAAGCAATCAATCATCAAATTCATGATATGGAGATGAACTGTCAAGTTCAACTTTTGCTATGTGTATTGACCAGTTCAAAAACTCCTGTTGACCAAGTTATATTCGGCCAGCAACTAGACAAGTTCATTAATACACTATCTTTTATAAATGAACAAAGAACATCGCAAAATAGTAAAAAGCTTTATTTTTGCACATATAATCGAAAACTGGATACTGAATTTATGGTATTTAAAAACCATCTAGATCAATTCCAATAATTCAAGATTTTAATTGTTACATTCAGTGAAAATCATAGAAATTCACTTATTTAAACTTAACCATAATGTCGAGAAATTTTTGCACGCTTTTTCTCCTCTATTATAATATTCAATTAAACCAAATGAAATTATACAAAACATTTTCCACTTTTTATTCATATATTAATATAGACAATTATAATAATTAAATAATATATTTGTATTATCCCAATGAATAGAGAAATTAGATTTTCTGACATTTCGTGACTTGGTGTAAGTCACCTCTTTAGAAAATAAATAACCAAATTAAAATTAATCCAAGTTTAAATAGTACAACAGAACAACACGAGAATAATAGACATATTAATGTTTTAAAACAGACAATACCGATAACTTGTTGAAATATCTAGATGGTAGGAACACGTAACCCAGATATTCAAACAGGCTACTTCACCATATTATTTCCAACTAGATTGTCATTAAGGTTTACTTTAATATATATGAAAATTTATCTGAGTATATTAAAATATTAAATCAATCAAAGAAATTTACGAGTCAATGATCATAATCAATTAGATTACACAACTAAAAAGTGAAAAGTACAAATTAGTACACTAGTAATAATAAGAATAATACTATCATAAAAGTTTTAATCATTAGTTAAACTATGGAAGTAGCTCAAATTTGAACAAATAAAGTTTAAAATCATATTTATCATAATAATAACCACATGATGATTGTCTGTGAAGTGTAATTAATCTACTTATCAATGATGTTGTTATTATTTTGGTTTGATTACTACACTTTCAACCATTAAATCATATATTTGTATTTACTACATTTTTGTTATCTTTTCTTTAATATAATGAAAATATTTTCGAGATTCATAAGATATAAAAAGGAGCTTATAGATTTTTATTAGTTTTATTTATTTTCTTTTTGTCTTAGAAACTTCGTCCTATAAGTTTAATCTAAATTATTTAATGTAACTCTTGTTACTAACATTAAACATTATTAAAATTTTTGCGGTTTTTATTCCAAGTTTTACGAGTAAATCGTTTGTTTAGTAATAAAAAAAAGATTATAAATGACACAAATAATTTTGAGATGGTGGAGATTTGTAGCTCAGGTGGATGATTTTGGTGGAGTTTTGTTCTCTGAGCTGGATAATTTGGTCTTGGAGCTTTCATCGTTCTTCTGAACGACAACATCAGCACAAACTTCAGATAGAAGGGAAGTGTTCGAATCTCAATACATAGTGCCCGCAGTGTCGAGTCACCTAGACTGGTGGCCACATTGCAACATGATCGATAGCATTCGATCTACACTAATAAGGACTAGACAAGCAAGACATTGATCACCACCCAGTGATCAATCAATTTTAAGTGTTCGAATTTCTCCATATGTGTTTCACAGCTTGTTCTGTGCACCTCGATGTTGATTGGTTCTTATTGACCTTAAATTTGTCATTGTTTACTCCTTTGTTTCGGTTGTGTCTCTCATTGTTTTGATTTTTGTTCTTATATTTGTGCATGATTTTCCCGATTGGTTGATAAATTGGATTGATTTCAATCAATGATTTACTCATAAAACTTGAAATAAAAACTGTAAGAATTTTAATAATGTTTAATGTTAGTAACAAGAGTTACATTAAATAATTTAGATTAAACTTATAGGACGAAGTTTCTAAGACAAAAAGAAAATAAATAAAACTAATAAAAATCTATAAGCTCCTTTTTATATCTTATGAATCTCGAAAATATTTTCATTATATTAAAGAAAAGATAACAAAAATGTAGTAAATACAAATATATGATTTAATGGTTGAAAGTGTAGTAATCAAACCAAAATAATGACAACATCATTGATAAGTAGATTAATTACACTTCACAGACAATCATCATGTGGTTATTATTATGATAAATATGATTTTAAACTTTATTTGTTCAAATTTGAGCTACTTCCATAGTTTAACTAATGATTAAAACTTTTATGATAGTATTATTCTTATCATTACTAGTGTACTAATTTGTACTTTTCACTTTTTAGTTGTGTAATCTAATTGTTTATGATCATTGACTCGTAAATTTCTTTGATTGATTTAATATTTTAATATACTCAGATAAATTTTCATATATATTAAAGTAAACCTTAATGACAATCTAGTTGGAAATAATATGGTGAAGTAGCCTGTTTGAATATCTGGGTTACGTGTTCCTACCATCTAGATATTTCAACAAGTTATCGGTATTGTTTATTTTAAAACATTAATATGTCTATTATTCTCATTACCTATTCAAGAGTGTATATAAAATGTTTACAACCTATCGCTTTGCAAGGTACTAGAGGTACAATCAGAGACATTGTGTTGGCTGGTAATAAGCATTGAAAAGAATGAAAATTATTCAGGTGTCGATTCCTAAACCGTTAACATCTAACTGACGATCACTCAATATTTATCGTCAAGATCGATCAAGAAATAAAAAAGGCAACCTGCTGAAATACTCTAGACTGAGAATTCTAAATTATACCAAAAATATAATATTAAATAAAGCCATTATTATTATTAAATATTAATATTAAAAATAACAATGTTCTTAGCTCATATGTGTTACAACAACAAAAGTTAGTGAATTAAAACAACACTACATATGATTATGTTTAACTGGATTTGTTTTTTGTTTGTCTCCAAAATCGGATGAAAGTATTTCTGTTAAATTATAGTCCCTTGCTCTGTATTCTGTGTCTTTGAAACGCGTGTACACAACTCAAGTGTGATTATTCACCTCTGCTTACCTCATCACTGTGGTGATTTAACACGATTTACCTTCACAAAATCTTAAAATTTACAATCATTTTATCACGTTTTTTATGTATTTGGAAATTGCATCAATTTGAGATATGCAATGGCTGGCATGATAATCACTGATATTGACTCAACACAGATCGAGTCAGTATCAGTTACTGTTGAAAGCTCAATACAGAACTATCACTACATATCGAATCCATACATTACCTCTGATTATTCTACAGTGTGAACATGTTTATCTTTAAGTAAAACTGACTTTATTAGCCATTAGTTTTTAATTAAATAAATTTTAGCAAAACACCTGACTTCTAATTGAAGTAAGATCTGTTGGTGTGATCCTGAATGACAGAAAAAGCTTCATAACTCAGCCACCCAGCTCAAGAAACGAAACATCATCAAAGAACAATACGTACGAATATAAATCTAACTATTATACATATGACAACGAAGTCTCACTTACAGTTTTTCATGGTTAACAATAATTATCCATGCGCCCAATGAGATGCTAGTCACAGCAAATCCATACAACAAAATCCAAATTAGAAATTTATACGCCATAGCGTTTGGAATAAATGGAAAAACGGATACTGAAATATTCATATTAGATTGATAAGAACGCTTGCTCTAAAAATAAAAAGGAGCACAGCTAAAATGCATGCGCCAGACATAGTAAGTTTATATGATCGTTTATTTAAAGTTAACGAAACCAGTAGTAGTGGTGATATTGGCTGTTGTGAGCTGATAATAAAGAGATCCATGATCTTACCACGCTAACTTTTAATACACTAGAAAATGAGAAATCATATACGTTTGTCGGCGGAGGGGAAATCTCTCATGATTCTAAAACATTCAATTTAATATTATTACTGACTAAACAACAAGTCTTTAGTGGCCCTATATATGACTCCAATTTGATCGTATATTGATCGTTATTGAAATATGCATACTGCCAAATCCTAGTATAAACTTATCGACTTAAATCACGTTAGTGAATAACAGAATTAAATAAGTCAAATACGAGAATGGATTTTTGAACACGTATATTTCATACAGTCGTTGATCAGATAGAGAAGCAAAAAAATGACGCGAAATGGAGAAAACGTGTAAGCTAACTCGATTAAATCCAGCGTTAATCGATATTTCATAACCGAACAAAAATAAGTTACAGACATGTGATGAGTAGCATAAGAAGTGCACACACACGCTCACATAAAAACAGACAATGTTGGGAAGATGTAGTCCGTATAATTGTGACAATTTTCTCAGACACACCATAGTGTCGAAGAAGGTTCCATAATGTTCTTCTATCCACATTGTCAAACGCTTTTTCATAATCAAGGAAGTTGATGTATAGTGACGAGTTACATTCAACTGATCATTCAACGATGATCAGTAGTGTCACAATTTGGTCTGTGCACGACAGATTCTTACGGAATCCAGCACTTTGATCTCGAAGTTGGGTGTCTAATGCGTCTTTCATCCGGTTCAGCGACACTGTTCAAAACTTATCCTTGTACTGATAGTAGTGTGATGCCTCTTTATTTCTTACACTTGCTGGGATCTCCATTCTTTGGAATCTTGATGAGATGTCCTGCTCTCCAGTCCGTCGGCACATGTTCTTCCTCCCAAATCTTCAGGAATAGAATGTGGAACATGTGTGCGATCACTTCTATGTCTGACTTCAATGCATCAGATGGTATATTGTCAGGTCCTGCTGTTTTCCCACTCTTCAGTTATCTAATCGCCATCCTGGTTTCTTCGATCGTTGGTGCAGTAACATCTATAGAATTATCTGTGTATGTTGCTCCGATGTCCAGTGGGTTCAACGGAAATGGTTTGCTTAAGTGTTCATCAAATTATTCTGCCCATCTGTTCCTCTGCCCTTGATTTCAGTGATTGGCTTGCTTTCTTTGTCCTTGATCGGTCTCTCTGGTTTACTGCAGTTTCCTGCTAGTTTCCTTGTTGTCATATAGTTGGTTCGTATTTCCTTCTCTTGCAGCTGGAGTAGGAGCAGACTGTAAAAAGGCTAAGGATATTTAGAAACACAGTGCTAATCAACGAAATCACTGACTGTTAATCTGAGAGGTGAAGACAGTGTTAGGTTTCCTGGTTATACTTTGTGAGACAATCGTAATTTATGGTTGGGAACATTTTTAATATGGTTCAAAACCAATCAGAAAGGCGCAAATGTATCGACATCTCGCCATCGTCAACTTCTGGACACTGTACTACTCAACGCCACTAATTATCTAGTTTCATTTGATTCTTTTTCTGTATATGAACACATTTTAGATATAACTGGCAAGCGAAAGGATTCTATAAGGTCAGATAAAAAGTTAGACGTTTCTGAATAGTTAATAAATACTGGCTAAAGCAATACTCGAAGGAAGCAATCGATGGATAAGAGCTTCTTCCTAAATGGAGTAGTTCTAATATGTACCTATGCTTTTAGTAGGGAACTTGTTCTGTAGTTAAGGATTTTCACTTTCAGCGACTAGGTCACAGGTTTGGTCGCGCTACATTTACTTAAGGTTTAGATAACCGTGTAGTATGGCTGGTCCTCATAATTAGTGACTCGAAGTCAAGTAAACGAAAGTGTACCTAGTAAACAAGCTACATAAAAAATAAACATATTACACAATACGGGATTCTCAGAATGCGATATTTAAAAAACTTTCTCATATATATGTAGTCTACAATTAAATGAAATATTTTTAAGAAAGTGAAAATCCCTTCAATCATGGATTGGTAACATGTTAAAGAATATAAGTTCTTAATTAGACCAGCTCATACAACCTGTTTGTTGCGTAGTATATTTGCTAGATAATGTTGTAGAGTTGTTGCACTTTAGTTCCATGAATGGATTTTAATGTATCTGCAACTCGTTCTTCCGGAAAATATACAAACAGAAAGACATGAATGTAGTGGATTGTTAGTATTTAGTAAGATAACGCCTATCAATAATCATATTTATGATGACAGCAAAAGAGTGTCCAACTATTTTAATAACTGCCTTTAGCACTCTCAGCAACATAGAAAAATCTCTTCTCAAAATACAAGGAAACAATAATGATTGACAGGTAATTAACAGGAACTTATAAATCGTAAAAGTAAATAACGAGTAGTGCGAAAAACATGTAGTCTCTTCTAAGCAGAGATGGATGGTGGCTAGCAATGGAATCCGGGTCGCGCGCTTCGTCCTATTCGGGACTCATCAGATGGACGAAACCTCTCTGTATTACAAGTCAGGCGGAGAACTTTCTTTAACATTAACAAAAATTTTAGAAGACCAAAAGAGATTAAAAATCTTACACTAAGACAGGCGACATTTGATATCGTTTTACTTACACAATCTCCAATAGGGTAAACTTTATGGGATTCCAACAGGGTCTTTAAGTGCTGTTCATGTCTCAGGCTTAAGTTAACAGTTTGACATTTAGAAGAATTAAGTGTGAGACCATTAACAACAGACCATCGTTGAATGAGAGACAATGAATCATTCATTTTAAGGGAATATGAAGATGTAGAAATGGGAGTTAATACAGTAGGATCATCCGCATACTTAACAAAAGTATTTTTTGTAGAAATTCACAGATCAGGCAAAATATAAGTTAACAGAATTTCACAGGAAGAAAAAGAGCTAGATAGTTAGTTACTATAGTTTTCTAAACATAATACTTGAATCTCTAAAATTGAAGAATTACGTCTGCTACATAATCCATGCATCGATTACAAACAAAGCCAACATTTTATACATTTTTATTCATGGATTTATTTAATAAAGAAACCAGAAACAATTATGATCAGATTGATAAAAAGTATCATTGAAATAGAATTTGAAATCAATGTAAAAATCAAGCTAAATTATACACAACAATTTGACCAAATAAGTATACACTTACATAAATTATCTCATTAAACTGATCGACATCCAAAAACAAGTTGGATCTGTTGAATACTTCCCATGCATATGATTCAAATATAATTTTTAATTTTGAATTTAATTCCCCATCATAAACAATAATCAGAAGCTGTGGATTGATTGATAATATTTCTCTATCACTAAAATTATTCCACATAACAGATACAGCCAGTGATGATGATGAAGATTGAGGATGATCTTTAGTAGTAGATATAAAATTTACCAGTTTCAGTTTTGTCTGTAACAAAATTATATACGTAAAATACAAACAGTATTCTTATTAAATATATTCAGGAAAATTTACAGGTATAATTTTGGTTTAATAACCTTAAACAGAATAAAACTATATTTTCCTCACATATTTGATGCAACAACTGAATTAAAATGTTCACTTTGCGTCATATCTTCTGTAGAATATTGGTTTTGATAGTAAATAAAACGGTAACTTATCCTAAAATCATTACCTTGGACATTTGAATCTCTCTCCATCTACTTCAGTACAGGCAACATGAAAATTATATGGCATAAAATGGGACTCAGTTCTCACCACCAAAAGTTAAACAGCTAAATAGTACCATTGTTTATGATAAAAAATTTAGTTTAAAAATTGGTGAGTTGCATTTTATTCATAAAACATTTAATCAATATTGGACAGACAAGTCGATCATGTTTATGATGAGAAAAGTACATCATATGGAAGGATAGGCTTTAATTAATTGAGATTGTTAGGATAAATGACGTAATAATCTAATCAAAATTCATGTCTAAGTGTAAAGTCGGGTGAAGTAAAGGTATTCAGTTGAAAATTCAGCGAACTCAAATTAAGATATTATTTAAGTAATAAGAAGCAAATAAGAACAAAATTATTGATTATTTCAACATGATAGTCGTTCAGTCTAAGATACATATTTTGACGATTTTGGCCAGTAATTAATTCAGTATGTTATTGTATTGTATTCTAATGATCATATCACGGATTGACCTTAATGAAATAGAATCGGAAACGATAACCACAGTTTTGGTTATCTTCTTATAACCGATTTGCATCAACCGCTTAATTTTTAGTGGTTTAGTTAGTAACCAAGTCGACGTGCTCTAAACATTGAAATATCTAAGAAGCAGTTAAGTAAAATGTGACGTTTAACTTAGTCTGTTGATCATACTACAATCGTTGGATGATATACGTTGACTAATATTGCCAACTTTAGTGCAACATTGATTGACACTAAACGATTATTTTAAGTTGAGCGATAAAATCCACATGACACAAGAATAAAACAGAGTGAACAATCTTATGGTACACGAGAGGTATAAAAACCGCTAGATGATGATTCTATTTGGTGAAGTAAATTAATACTAGATAGTTGAATGAAAATGAACTAATTAATAGGATAAAGGTATTATGACACTTGGAACTCATAAATCACATTCCAAAGTTTTCAAGTTTGAAAACAGAAATATAAATTCTCTTGTTATACCGGAAAGATGTAGATTAATCATCTAATAAAACTCATAAAACTCGGAATTACTTTTTATTAACATTATTTCATAAAAACAATGTAAGTTTACATGTGAAAAATACTATATGAAATAATCAAAATCCATAGGCGACGTGATCACTAAGGAAAGGAAGGTTATAATCTAGCATAAAATCTTCATTGCGATTTCTAAGTCCAGAATACTCACTTTTTGCAAAACGCAAACATCGAAAATCAGAAAACTGATAAAAGTATAGGTCAACAAATCACAAAAATAAATTTTTAGCTGATAAATGACCAACCAATTACAGCTTTGTGTTTTTATATTATGTTCTGATTTAAAAACGGGTAGTATGGACACCGATATATCATGAAAAAAATTGGAATCATTAAGAATACTTTGGAGTATCAATAAAAACCCAAAGCGTGAAAGTATACAACAATCCTTCGACTGCCACCCCAAAATTGGAACATAGGAAGGAATGGAAACATATATCATTTCAGAAATGATTATGCTATTTAGTGAAAAACGAAACGCCATGGGACAAGTAACTGACGAGTGATACAGAACGGTAAAAAATAATACAATATACTGAAAGTAAAACCTGACTGGAAAAGCCCTCTGTCCATACGAAAATACCCCGTTAATACATTAGAAATTCAAAATTTACAGAGGAAACAAATACAACTAGGAGCGAATGAGAAAGTATTTCCAAGAATTAGTTTACGAATTTATGTAATTATTTGAACACACAAATAGTAGTACAAAGGGACACCGAATACATATGCACCACACAAATCACTTGATTTGTTTGTGTGCTGTGATACTGCTTGAGTGCCCAAATCGAAGCAAATGGTTTTCTTAAGAGGACACACCAGGAACCTTCGACCTAAAGATCTGATCCACAAGGCAGTGAAGCAACGTAAGGAGATGCAGTCCTATGTTGGCCAGTGACCTCTGTGTCCACCAACCCGGTTAAAGCGCCAGACATTGGCCTTTCGTCCTCTCAATTTCATAGGCAACGCCGGTGCCGCGAGGAGGCAGTGAGTAGGACTTCCCTGATAGTGGTTTCATGCACCTGGCTATATGAGAGTATTTCGAGAGGGAGAGCTGACTCTTCCTACCCTCAGCCGTACCACGGCATTTGCGGACCGAATTAAACAAACTGCTTAATGACTAGGGACGATAACTGACTGCTAAAACCCAAACAGCTTTAAAGCCAAAGTTTTAGATCCATAAACTGCCATACCATATATGCTAGTCAACATTGCCCTATCACCACTACCTGGGGATAGTTTTGGAATATAATAGTGCAGTGGCATTTTGTTACATTATTGGTTAGCTAAAGCTCTGACACTCTGACATTACAAGCAGAAAACGATTTAGTCCTACTAAAAATGCAGAGTGTGAAACACTTATGGAAAAAACTGCACCTAGTTTCACTAACAAACGTAAGCAATCGAAACCAATTGAAGATAACTCGAAACTAACTCCCGACGATATTTTGGAGCAGACATAATTTCAAACGAGTTTGGATTTGCTACTCCAGTCATATCCACATACATGATCAAGCTGTAAAATGTTGGCCCTGGAAAAATACAATAGGCTGATGATCAAAGATTTTGGAGAAGGATAGTTCCATATTTAACGATCTTTCTACGTCCGAAAAGTGTATTGAACAAGGAAAGAAAACTTAATTGTTTGATTTCGGTATGTAAGGTACACATTTAATAAATTCAGTAAGCTATTCTCAACCAATAAGATTTAATGACGTTTTTAGCCCAAATAAAAACCGAATCAAATGCAATTACACCATTAGAAAAGTAAATTGACCAAAACTTACCGTTGTTAGGAGTGGATCCAACTTTCCGGTCTGTGAAATATAAAAGCACCGATGATTTGATACATCATCACCCTTGTAAACTTTTAGAATCTCTAACGACTAAATCGAGGTTGAATAATAAAAATAAGCAAATAAAATAATATAAGTAATGAAAAGCATGTATAACAGCACTTTTAACTATATGTATATATATATGTACTTTCGTAAAGGATGAAGCGAAAGCTAATACCGTCACTAGTGAAAACCCTTAAATGTGCAATAGGTTTAGTACGAGTTTCATATTGAAAACATAAACTGCTGATGTACAGCTTCACTTATGTTATATTTTTCCCACATTGACGTAAAACTCCTAAATGCTAGGAGATCTAAATTATATGAACTAAACTGACCCATGGTTTTTATCAAAATAAACATTCAACTAGTCAAAAGCAACGTACAACCAGAAAACTACGTCTATTGACCTAAATTGTGAGGTAAACAAATACCAAAGTAGTATTAGTAGTAGTGCCAATGAATCCCAGGCAATCATTATCTACCTACTAATAGCACTTAAACCAAGAGTAAATGACTTCGTGGAATGTTTCTGTCCTGGTTTGGTCGCCCCTAGCACTCTTTCAATCTACTTTATTTAGGATTAAACGTAAAGGTAAATAGTATCTGAATATACATAATACATGTTTTAGACACTCAATCAGATTATGATTCACATTCTTGTCAACCGATACTCGATCTTAACTCAGTATCCTACATCGAGTAGTTGTATCAACTGAAACGACCATTCCTTTAAAAACAGTAAACTGAAATATATGAGCTAGTTAAGTTTAAACATTTTTGCCTATCACAGGAAAAATAAGTCCTTCAGTTCAATTCACGTCCAACTGTCACAATTAACTCACTTTATAGCGACAAGTTAGATGTGGCGTAGTAACAGGTCAGAGTTTAAATCATTCACAAAAGCAGCGGATACAAAACTTTGCACAGACCTCGTCTTCATGCATTATTGCGATGATGTTGCAGGTGTTTAATTCGTACCCGAAACGACAAATAGTAACCACGCTGAAGTGTAATTTGGGTTTGTAACATGATGTTGAAAATGACTCCGTTTACTATTATCACACAGTTATGTCAGCCGTAAGAGACAGTACTGTCTTAAATAACTAGAAGGTTGAAATGGACTAACACATTAAAGTATTGATGAAATTAAGATCACATTTTAAGAAGCCAAAAACCCTTTCATATTATTGAGGAAGTAAGGTAGGCCATCTGGAAGCTGTTAAAGCATACGAAATATCTCTGGAACTCATTCTGGACGAATTGTCATGATTCGAATTAGTCATTAATGCACCATCTATCGAACACAGCTCCCATACGATTAAGAACAAAAAAACTAATAGCCATTGTGAGCTATGACTTGAAATTATCTTCACATCGGAATGCGATGGCTGCTAAATGTTTTCATCGTTATGGTCACTTCACTCAGCCTTCAAATGCTTTATCGAATGCATTTACAACATTTTATGCCCAACCCATTCGAGATCCCACCTAGAGTACTGTATCCAAGTGACCAGTCCATTCCTTATTAAATATAATATTATTGAGTACTAGACACGTATGTACTAAGTTTGTAACAGACCTTTCCAAACTTTTGAGTGAACAGGAAACAAAGCAGTTAAGTCTTTAGCCTCATTTGTGGGGTGTGAAGCGATATTGTATTGACACTTTGTATCGTATATAGGGATTTGAGTTATAAAATGTGTAAGCTTTATCATAACTTTGAAACTATCTCCAAGGCTATTATAAAAAGAATCAAAAGGCGTGATCGATCAAATCTACGCATTTTTTCGAAGGGCAGTTCAACTGGCCTGCCCTCCATGGCCGGTGATGACTGATCCACCAAACGAGGAGGAAGTCCGCAAGGAACTCCAACTCTTGAAACTTTACAAATCACCTGGCCCAAATGACTTACCTCCGGCTCTTTTTAAAGATGGTGGTGAATTTCTGGCTAAGGAACTGACGACGTTGGTTACAAAGGTTTGGAAAATAGAGAGTGTACCAACGTCATGGAATGAGTCAATAGTTGTCCCTATCTTTAAAAAGGGTTCACGTCGTTCCTGCAACAACTATCGGGGGATAAGTCTACTTCCGGTTGCGTCCAAGCTGTTGGTTCGGTCATACTTTGTAGGTTGTTCAAAACCCGAGAAAGATTGACTCGCGAGGAGCAGGCTGGGTTTCGTTTTGGTCGAGGATGTATTGATCATATTGTTACCCTTCGCCAAATGTTAGAACACCGTCATACTTATCAAAGGTCAACAATCGTAGTGTTTCTTGACATCAGGGCTGCCTTCGATTCGTTGGACAGGACTGTTCTCTGGGATTGTCTATTGAAGAAGGGTGTGCCTGAGAAGTTTATTAACATCCTAAAAGCCCTATATAAAAACACCTCAGGCAGAGTGAGGGCATACAACCAATCTGGGCCACCTTTGGCACCTTCGTGATGTTAGTCTGGCTGTAAAAGGTCGGATCTACAACGCGTCGGTGAAAGCAGTTTTGCTCTATGCTTGTGAAACCTGGTCCCTCCGAGTTGAGGACGTTAGACGACTCTCTGTGTTCGATCATCGCTGTCTCCGAAGGATTGCTGACATTCAGTGGCAACACCATGTCAGTAATGCAGAGGTTCGGTATCATGTGTTTGGGCACAGAGATGATAATTCGATTGGTGTCACCATCTTGAAACACTGACTTCGGTGGCTTGGACATGTTTGACGAATGTCGTCCCAGAGAATTCCACGTCGTGCATTATTTGCCGACTCTGGGACTGGTTGGAAAAAGCGGAGAGGTGGTCAGTGCATGACATGGTGTCGTGGCATGAAAGAAATCTGCAAAGGGTTGGCTTGTGTTGGTCCTTCACGACTCCCTGGTTGGGGTCTGAGAGATGGTTCTACACAGTGGCTAGAGACGTTATCAGATATGGCTCAGAATAAAAGCCAGTGGCGATCCTGCTGTAACCTTCTTTTACTTTCTTCATAAAAAGTGGTTGTGTCTCCCTTACCTGAAAGATTCTTTTTCCGATTGCACCACACTACCTTACACCAATCTCTTCGTTATTGTTCTCTTTTTTTGCGCTCCTTAGCTTTTTTTCTATTTCTCTTCGAATTCTCATTGTTTTGTGTGGCGCATATATATTGGCGCTCTCTTGTATCAATATTCATGTGTTCAAATAAATAAATAAATAATTTTTACTAACTATTTAACGACTAAGACAACCGGACATTAAAATTTTATGTTTTGGAGCACATAAGAAAAATACTCATCTGCACTAAGGACAGAATTCATACCTTGTATTGAGGAAATCTGAAATCTCTTAAGTATGAAATACAAAAACATATATTATCATGATAATTTACCAACGAAAACTAATCAAAGGGATTGAGCTACAAAGCAACCAACAAAGGGAATATTCCGTTAGAAAGTAAGGAGGAAATAAAAGTGAAATGCAACAAAATGTCTCCTTCTTTGCGTCATGGGAAAGTAATGCAAAATTTACCAATTTTGTTGCCTCATGTTTGATTGTCGACAAATCGTCTACTTTTTGCCTGATTACAAGCTGAATTGTTTATAGATATGATTGATATATGATATTATATAATGATCCATTACTTGTAACTTTCATTCCAGATCTTCTAAATGACACCAAAACTTTGCACTTACAGTGATCTTAAAACGATCTTTGATCGAGCATCTGTTTTCTTGTACGCTATGATGTTATTTCTTGTTGATAAGTGTCTTTAACCACGCATCGTTTTTAATGTAGTTGGTTAACCAACCGACTACAATTGTAGTCAACGTGTTTAGTAATGAAAATAAAAGCAAACACAGGACATTTGGAGCCATACGAGAAGGAGATTCTGAATGAACTAAGGGTGAAAATAAACAACTTGATGACAGTTCGGACATAAAGCGATAGAGAGGAAGAATCTCGCATTATTTCCCAATGACAGGCGGAAATGACTATATAAAGCCTTGCGCTTTTGAATTCTTCCTTACTTTTAAACAAAACGTCCATTTTATTATCCATTCTTTGGCTTAAATTTCCTTTTTATTAGTTGTTTGGGGTATCAAAAAAGATAGAACTTATGTTATAAACAAACGTTGAATTACATTTGTCTCAAGATGTCTCTATCGTGCTCGTAAATAATGTACCTGTATATCAGCAACTTTGATAATTTCTGGAACTGTGTATACATACGCATATTGGTATGGATACACCGATATAGGCATATAACCATACCAAGTTTCTTATACCTGGTACTTGATTACTGTCACCTTTACTTTTTGCTCTTTTACATACAACCCGACTCATAACATTTTATTTATATAAAAACAAATAACTAACGGGCTTTAAGGCATGTCCTTGATAAACAAATATTGCAAACGCAATAACCGACAGGACGACCTTCATTTCACACAGCGCTCCTAGTTTCCAAAGCCAATATTTGAATATTTAGCCAATATAAACCAATCATCTACTGGACTGTCACAATTATCGTTATGAAATGCTATTGGTTTGAAAATAATTCCATAGTCGCTTATCTTGCTTCTTGACAGCCTTTGTCTGTTGTTAGATTCCTCGACGCGCGCTATCTAAACAGGACAGTGATATTGTTTCTCGTTAAATTAGTAAACTGTTTTGATCGTAAGTTAGGTATCAAAACTACGATTTACACTTTAATTGAATCTGCTCCAGTTTAGGTGATATTTTACTGAGTTTTTTCGGCTTTTGTGTATTTATTACAATCGAAAGCATTCTTGGTCTGTATCAAAGTACTTTAGTTAAGGTTTGACATCTTGCTAGAGTTTGTCTTGTGGTTCATACTGTGATCATATTGTGTGTTACACCTTGATCAAGCCAAAATGGTTGGTAGTACACACAAATGTGGACAACCAAACCGTTTGTCCCCTGTGGAGGAGGGAATGCAGTGTGACGAATGTAATAAATGGTTCCACAAAATGTGCACCCGTTTAAGTCCCACTGCATATAAAAAGATGTTCGAAGCCTAACTCACATTGGCTTTGCATGTTTTGCTGTGCCAACAAGGCATTGCTAATACAGGAGGCTATGAGTCTATTGGCTTTGGCCTGTAAGAAGAATGATGGCATATGCGCCGACAGTGACGAATGTGTCAGTGTTGTTACGCAACGCCTCAAACAACCGACTCTGAACGACGTAAAAGCGAAATCTCCGTTGATATTAACAGAAGGAGTAGTACCACCTAGTACTGACATTGTTAATAATGCACCTTTAGTGGTAACCGAAGATTTGGATAAAACAGTCACCGTTCCAAATAGTCCCAGTGTTATGAGGGATGAAAAATGGACTACGGTACGTAGAAAACGAAATGAAAAGGAAAAAGGTGTAAGCAGTACACAGGTAGTTAGTAACTCACTGGTGGACTCAAACTGTGAGCCACAAGTTGCACTTCCAAGATCTGATCATAAGAGTGAAACCCATCCTGGCGTAACTGAGAAGAAAAATCTAATAACATCGAATATTATTGTGAGCAAATTGCGGGAGTCAAATGACCTTGATCCGAAAATCAGGCACGCGCATGACTTAGAAAAGCTAGGAGAATACATTCGTAGTATTTTACCAGATAACTCCAAAGGAGTTCATGTTAAAAAGTTGGTAAGAATAGACAAGAGGACCGAGGACAATGTTGAACCCCTTGTCTATGCAGACTCCTTAAGGTAATCCTAAGATCGGAGAAGCAACGGGATCTCTTGTTAAGTAGCGCTCGTTGTCACGACAATTCTGACATCCGAGTTAGACCTGACATATCTCTCGAAGATAGAATAAAAAGGAAGAAAGCACTAGCTGAACTTGAAACACGTCGGCAAAACGGCGAGGAAAATCTCCGGCTAGTGGGTTTTCGGATAGTCAGGTCTTGGAAGCGAATGCTACCAAGACCTGTGTGGATAGGCTGTTCTACTTAGGAGTTTTATATGCCAACGCTCGTAGTTTACGAAATAAGTTCTATGAACTAGAAGCACTAGTGGACAGGTTAAAGCCACTCATAGTAGCAGTGACAGAAACTTGGTTAGTCGATGGCTTAGACATTACTCCAGAATTATCCGGATACCATTGCATCAGGAGTGATGGACATAGATGTAGGAAAGGAGGCGACGTCCTGTTATACATAGCCAATAGCATAAATATCCGCTCCTCTACTAGCGAATCCCATGATAGTGGCACTTGTGAAGTCATTAGCTGTAAGTTGGCTATAGGATGTAATACATTTATGCTAGGTGTCATCTATCGGAGCCCAAGCTGATGACTTTGTTTTAGAGCACATTCATCTTTGGAGTGAAAATACCAGATGTTTGATAATAGGAGACTTTAACGCACCTGACATTAGTTGGACTGATATGACCACAGAAGGATCTATATACTACTTTGATAGTAAGTTCCTGATAACAATAATGGAGCATGCACTAGTACAGCATGTATCCCAACCCACACGTTTTGGTGTTAACCAGGGTTCTTCTCTGCTGGATTTGGTAATCACTCATGAGACTGAGAATATTGTCGACTTAAATATTCTCCCGCCGTTAGTGAACAGCGACCACGCTGTTTTGTCATTCACGTTTCGAACTAGGGACATGTTATACGATCAGGTTACACCTCGCCCAAATGTATGGAAAGCTAACATATCAGCCATTCAGGAATGTGCTGCTAAGACAAATTGGTTAGTAGATACTAGCATATCAGTTGAAGAAGCATGGTCTGTATTTAAAGGTAAATTTAGACTAGTTACGTCCCCGTTCATACCATACCTGGTACCGCGAAGACCGAATAATAGTCCACCATGGATAACTAAAACGGTCAGGAAACTCCTTAGAAAAAGGAAGAATCACTGGGATATGTTCATCTCTACTGGCTTAGAACAATACAGATCCAGTTATTGTAAGATTAGAAATGCCTGTAAAGCGTTAATAAGTAAGACTAGACTATCATACGAAAAACAATTGGTTAGGGATTCTAGATATGGTCTGAAACGGTTATTCTCGTATATAAAAAGGCAAACTAAGAGAAGTGATGGGATTCCATCACTTTTGATACGAGAAACTCCGTTAATCTTAACAGAGAATGATGCCGAAAAAGCTGAAGCTTTATCGGAATACTTTAGTAAAGTGTTTTCTATCGGTAATGAGGTACGACCAATGATTCGTTGCGACCGTGACGGCTCGCTGATGGATCCTGTAGTCATTGAGAAAGATACTGTTTTAAGGCTACTCCAGCATCTCAAACCTGATAAGTCCAGTGGTCCTGACGATATTCATCCTAGGATTATGAAAGCCATATCAGATGAAATTGCTGAACCATTAGCGATACTATTCGACATGTCTCTGAGACAGTCCAGACTTCCTAGAGACTGAAAAGACGCTATAATAAGTCCGGTGTATAAGGCTGGGGGTAGGGATTTAGTTAGTAACTATAGACCCGTTAGCTTAACTAGTGCAGTTGTAAAACTGATGGAGAAAATCATTCGGATAGCTGTCATAAACTATGTTGAAGGGCAAAATCTTTTCTCCAGGGCACAACATGGTTTTCGGAAAGGCCTATCTTGCTTGACAAATCTTCTCATTGTACGAGAAGATTGGGCTGCGGCAAAGGACCCGAATGCTCCTGTGGATGTGATTTTCATAGATCTAAGTAAAGCCTTTGATAAGGTTTCCCACTCTGGTCTTAAATTCATACTGAAACGTTTTGGAATCCGTTATACAGTCGTCGATTGGATAAGTAACTTTCTCCATGACAGGAGACAAAGGGTAAGGGTTAATGGGACTCTCTCCTCGTGGGTACCTGTAAAAAGTGGGGTTCCCCAAGGTACAATCCTGGGTCCTCTTCTCTTTCTACTTTATGTAAATGAATTGCCAACTGTAGCAAAATCATCCGTTCTACTCTTCGCTGATGACATAAAGATTTGGAGACCCATACATAGTATGTCGGATAGAATAGTATTACAGGACGATCTTAGCTCATTAGTGGCATGGTTAGATAGGTGGTCACTAGAAGTAAATTCTAATAAGAGTGTAGTGATGCAGTTAAATAACTCTGATGAATCGCATGACTATACACTACGTGGATTCGTGCTACCAAAAGTAAGAAACTATAAAGATTTAGGAGTCATATTAAGCAATGATCTCAAAACGACTAGTCACTGTAAGGCTGCTGCTGCGAAAGGCTATAGGGTATTGTGGTCAATTCGTAGGTCTTTCCAGTATTTAGATGATGAAATGTTTAGATTACTATACCCGATTTATGTGCGACCACATTTAGAATACGGGATTCAAGCAGCGCATCCTTGTTTCAAATATGAAGCAGGTATGTTAGAAAGAGTCCAACGACGAGCTACTAAGATGGTACAACGTCTATCTGGCCTATCTTATGAAGACAGACTGAGATACCTTAACTTATTTCCGTTATCTTACCGTAGAATAAGGGGTGATCTAATATTGGCCTATCGTATACTGAACGATGACCTTGGTATTAACATGTCTTACCTTTTGCTCCCGTCTAGAACCGATCATTTGAGAGGACATTCGAAGAAAGTTCAAAAACTGAGATCAAACCGTTTACGTCTGGAGTTCCGTTTCTCGCACCGAGTAGTGAATTACTGGAATTCTCTACCGGAACACGTAATATCAGCACCATCTGTTAATATATTCAAAACGAGATTGGACCTCCACAGTATTACAAATTGCAAGGATTAATATAGGCCGAAAGACCTCCTATACTTATTACTGAAGACTGAAGACTGTATCATAAAGTGGTTTTTGTCAGATCACACAGACTTATCTACTAGGTATTAACAAATAAATGAGGTAATAACTAAATCTCTGAAGTCTCTCTGAAATCCGGCCACATAATCCGGTAAGATGAATTTCTAGTTCCGGGTATTAGGTCGACGTTATCTCGCGATTGTTACACAGTTAATTGTTTCTGACAACTTTCATCACTGAGCACTAGTGTATTTCATTTTTCCAATTCTCTCATACATGTTAACTATTTAAATCGCCTAGCATGCAGGGCATCCTTAGTCTAGGCACAAACCAAACAAACGATTAACTCTAATAAATGATTAATTCAAGAAGAGACTGATGCGTTAGACTAAGCCGTTTGCATGTGTGGTACTTTCTTAAACCTTGATAATCGAGTAACAGAACGGATGTACGTAGTCAGAACATTTCATGATGTTCTGGGCTACAAGAATCACCATCAAAAGGGATGGATCACTGTTGATACACTGTATAAGATTCATGAAAGGAGGAACAAGAAGGCAGCAATCAATACCAGCCGAACAAGGTAACAAAACGTCAAGGCACAAGCTGAATACACAGAAGTAAACAAACAAGTGAAGAGGAGCATCAGAACCGACAAACGTAAATAAGTGGAAGATTTAGCAACGACGGCGGAAAAGGCT